AGCCTCAACTCAGCCTTAAGTTCTGACTAATGTTAAAGGTAAGTTTGAGTATATACCATCGATACAATTCGACTCTTTTACACCTTTTCCTCCATCCTGTACAATAAAATTGGAGTTTCCGTCAATGGCGGCCGAAAAATCCTAGGGGGAGGGCCCAGTGGCACCAACCTCGCCACCTCTGCGACCCGTTCGGCAGTCCCCGAGGTCCGTTGTTTCACACATATTACTCATTATAATCTTCGCCCAGCTACTTTTGCGAATGGTGGATGTTCTATATACTAAAATATGCTATCGTAATACATATTAATATGCTGAACTACTCGAGAGGCCGCGTAACCTAGAGAAAAATACATATACCAACTGTCATCCGCGCAGATGTCATCCGTGCGGATTGACCATCCGTGGATATTCTTCCCACGGATCTCTGGATGCATCCGGATGCATCCAGGGAAAGCCCTGGGCGATTGTGTGCGAAGTCAAACATTTCGAGTGTTGCGATGACGAAACCGGTTTATGCTGCATCACGGTCATACCGTATATCATTACAGCTGTTTGCAATGAGCCTTGTCCGAGGCGACTTTTTCTTCGCGCCGTTTCTGGGCGCATCCCCCGAGCACCACTGGCGGTCCGTTTCACTCCGGCGCTGTGTATCCCCTCTCAATCCCCCTCTGACCCTGGCGAGGCTTGTGGCGGGAAACTCAAATATCTGCAAAGAGAGAATCTGTCTCTGCATCTACCGCACAAGACCTCTCCACTTCAAATATATATCTGTATATTTGTATGTATTTTTGACTACATTTTTCTGCCCACGTTTTGACATCAGTGAGCTGTTGTACCTCAATCAAACCTCTATCACCCAATTTCTCGGAGCACGATGACATTGTCATCACAATTTATAGACTCTACAGGCTTTCTCTTCACATTGGAAATACATACAATAATTTTCCGTACCTATTCCCAGAGTACAGACATCATACTGCCTGATTTTCCCGTTGTCTGTCGTTCAATCACAGGAAGACAGTGACGGTGGCCCTATGCTCCGGCAACTTCATCATATGAGCATCACCCGGAGGCCCTCTCATTCCGCCTGCTCGGAGAAAACATCGCCTCTGAAAAGGTTAAAAATTATTGTGAGTACCGACACTCACTTTCAATTGCGGGCTGGTTCAAAGTCCGCCGCGCCGCGTCTCGCTTACTCCCGTAGCCGAGCTGCCGAGTGGCTGCAGGCTGGTCAGTTTTGAACATGGCAAACCAGATGCTGTGATGATTTGCATAGCGACACCCAAGATGGACCACATATAAAATCGTCCAAAGTATGTTTATTTAATTTGGTTGCGACAGAATTCTTTAATCTCAGCGTGAACGAGCTACATGACAGACATTATGCTCATATCAAATCACTCGAGGAGAGTGAAAAATTCTGTCGCAACCGAATGAAGTAAATACATGTAAAATAATATCCTAGAATTTATTGGATTTACCTGTGGGGTGTACATTGAGTCAAATGTTCAATGGTCTGGTACGTAGGTGCCACCCAGCCAAATCAGTGAGTCTTACTGTGGCCCGCGTCGAAATGGCGTGCGGCTTGCTCGGCAGCGTTCAAAGTCCGCCAGTTTGCAACTGACATGGCGCTCGGTGGGAATGCCGGTACTCACAATGATTTATTGAAACGGCTTCAAATATCGTGCATGAATGGGTTCGTCTTCAGTTTTACATCAAGTCTACTTACTAAGTTACTTATGACGGATCGTGTTTTTGTGGCACCAATCGATGGCAGCCGATGTTTCCTCGTCCTCCTCTTGTCCCCTCCCACCATAATGTCCGAGAGTAAGTACTACTTTCTCGATATTGTACAATACGAGCCTTGCCTCTAAATAATTGCGTTGATCTGAGAACCTAGGGCGGACACTGAGAGAAACATGGAGCACAGGCCACACCCGCTTGGCTTTCCATAGTACCCAATGTGTATTAGAATTCGACCATACATTTAGCCAGTTCAGAAACCTTCAGACATTTGTTATATATTGTCGGATATCAAATTGAACTGCTACAAGTATGCCCTATTATATGTAGTCACTCCATATCGGGGCAGAAAAAATCCTCCATTCCAATAATGCGATGGGCCCTTTGTCGCATGGCCTGGCTGTTGTGTAGCATTGCGGAGGGTCTGAGGTAGCATTTGATAGAGTGAGTCCACTCCAAAACCGATAGAAGTAAAAGAACATACGGCAGCGACAGTAGCTCTCCTGTATCTTTGGACAGGACGTCGTGTACAACGACTCCCTGTTGAATGTCTATTATGAGCTTAAATCCTACGCATCGTGAAATAGGGATCACAACATTTGATAGCCTCCTCGTTCCCCTCCATACCAATGGTACTTCTACACTCCGACTATCTCGATACGTCAATCGCCGGCCTGTCTGCAGTTATTATAAGCGTCAGTTAGAGCAACTCAGTGAATGTTGCCTGGGCCACGGCGAAATATTAATCACTTTGAATCTAGGGACGTTTTCAGCGAATCTGATCGGGAGCCAATCCAAAACCCTAACGTGGCGCAAAGCGCGCGACTCAGCGTAGACCTGTTCTAGTTCTCGCGCGTGCTGAGTTCTCCACTCTGTAGGCCCGAATATGTAGTTCGGATCACTTGCTGCTTCAATTATGGGCCTCACATCCCTGCAGAATTCTACGTCAAGGACAATGGTAGGATCATCCATATCGGTCCGTGAGATAGTAAACGATGCTTGACAGTCCGAATGAGAGCTAGTACCAATGCATTAGCGTAAGGGTTTGCGAAAATGTCACGAATTCAGCTCATTCGGCAGGCTTACCAAACGGTGAGTACGTCAATGTCTACACTGAGCACAACTCTTCTACAGCACGGACACTCAACATCAGAGCGGTGATTTGGCCGTGATTTCCGATGTATGATAGCCTTCATCTCCACCACAGTTCCGGGCTTCATCGTTGTCGACCACTCGGCATGGTCGATCAAGCTGAGCAAGGAGCGACTCCCAGCGGTCGTCAGTTCGTAATCTCCTGTGACGATGAACCTGTTGCCTTTTCGGCCATGAAAGTACATCCTAAGCATTCCATCAAAAAGCTTTGCCGGCGACGTCAGGTTTTTTTATTCGTTGCAAAAACTGAGTTACGATACCTCGGGAGTAGCGCAGAGATCTAGAGGTACGTCAACGATATGATCGTACATGTCTCGAAGCCGTATAGGTGCTGTGTCGGCGGTCGCTCCGCCTTCCCAGGTGTATCCAATACTTATGGGAAGGTGCCTCGTCAAACAGTCAAGCGTACGTCGGGTTTGTTGCCCGATTTCATCTGTCATTGCACTGAATCGAACATAATTTGTAGGTAACGAATGTTTAAAAGGTTTCAGTGACGGAATCTGATGGCCTACCGCTGCGCGAATGACATGACAACTTGGATGGTCTTGACGTGATATATCAGTTGCCACCGTATTTTTTTTACTTCGTCATCCTTGACGAGCAAACCCCATCCGATCTTCCTCCAAGATTCCATCATCATTCGTTTTGATCCTCCCCTTCGCAACTTGTCCTGGTAGGTCATTACCTTCTTCTCGAGAATCTCCAGAACATCATGCGACGATTTAAGAGCATTACGACCTGTATGTACCAAGGCGGGAGAAAGTTGTGAAAGCCGAGTCAATGTCGAACCTGTGGTGGCCATTCGAAGGATGCGGACCAATGAGTCGACTTCGACAAGTAGCATGAGATAGTCCTCCGATCCACCAGAGGTAGCATCTAGTGACCTCTTGACCTTCTGAGCGAGATCAAAGAGGGCGACGAAGTCACCAAGTGCACCGAATGAGAAGGCTGCGATCGAGGACATGGTCGCCAGTGCTAGAGAGCGAGCTACGAGCGACTCTCGACTGATGAGAGCCTGTGGGTGCTGGAGCGCCAGGATATCGATAAGGCAGCGACAAAGGAAGATACATGCGGCCAAGCATACGGTGCGAGAGGGGAACTCCCGGACATGCGTTCCAAGGATTACGGGAAGACGTCGAAACCAGCGCCGGGGAACAGTCATGAAGACCAAGCATGGGAGCGTCCTGTTCCGGCCCATGGGCGCTCACTCTGTGCATTGCACGCGGGAGAGAAAAAAAAGTTGACCGCCTCCCGTGTCACATCCGGATACTTAACGGCTGGAGTTTCGCCTCTGATCACAGTCCTTTTTTAACCAGGATTGTCGGCGCGCAGAGAAGTCGGAGAGAGTGTGGGCAACTTCGCTGCTATGTAGGCTTTGCCACAAGATGTCAGAACTTGTGAATGGGATCGGGTTTCAAGTTTCAACAGTTCTGCAACAAATGCCGATGGACTCAGAAAGGAGGGCCAAGTACGGCGGAATGCAATAAAAAACGACGACGGCCGGCACTTTCCGGCGCCGGATCATCTGTGAAGCTTACTAAGTTACTTGCCACCTTCCCTTCGACTTTCGTTTGACTCACTTGAGTTTAGATCCTTGCCCAACAAATGACCACGCATACATACGTACCGACGCACTGTATTCGGCTGCGTGGATATAGTCCAATGTTGGAATGAGTGATTGGCCTGCCGCCTAAGGAGGTGTCAATGACGTGATGGTACTTACACTGGCATTCAAGTTGACAGCATCGACCTCAGAAGCTGTTCTATAAGTACAGTCCGCTGCCATGCCATTTCCATGCCATTCGCCTGGTCTGTGCTACCTGTAATAATCCCCGTTTACTATGGCCATAACCTCACAACTTCGGAGCAGTATAAGAGCTGAGTGCTGAGCGACCTTGGACCGGTATGGTGGAGAACGTAGTCACAGTGTTCTACATGTCCGATATCGATGTTCAACCCCTTGTTCCTCCCGGAACGCACTCAGGTATGTTCGGTCGCGTCGTTGCTCTATAGAAAAGCGTAGACTTGAGTTGATTTATCAATCATGCGTCCACGGAGGCACTTAAATCAGATAGTAGGATTACATGAGAGGGTATCGTGACAAGCTCGCTACGCAATATGGGTCAATGTCCTCGTTCTACATGCGGCCGTCTGCAACGAACGCGAGAACTTATCGGTCCATATCTATCTCGAGCACTGGTATATTGTGTACTAAGGCGGAGGGACTAGCACAACGATCAAATAGTGAGCGAGTACAATATCTGTGACGGACAGCGATGGAAGCACATACGGTAACGACAGTAATTCCCCAGTATCTTGACAGAATACGTCGTGCATGACAACACCCTATCAACAAATATAAGCTTTTGGACCATATTGAATACGAAGAAAATTCGTCACATTGGATAACGTTCTTGTCCCCTCCCACAAAACAGGCACTTCCTGAGTCGATCCAGGATCTCTGTATGTCAGCCGCCTGATACCCTTCTATCAGTGTGATGTTGCCTCTGTGAGTTCGGCGAGGAGTTTAAAGCTAGGACAAATGTCACTCGCCTGAAACTTTGGAACCTGCCGAGCATACCTGACCTGCAGCCAGTCCAAAAGTCTTACATGGCACAAGGCCTGCGATTCTGCATAAGTCTCCTCCAATTCTTGTGAGTGTTGTATCCTCCACTCCGTAGGTCCATATATACAATCGGGGTCTAGAGAACCATCAACGTCCAGAGAATTGATCGGATCATCAATGTTGGTTCGAGCGATAGTAAACACGCAAGGACAATAAGGACTTAAGGTAACGTATAGATCAGCCTGTTGCATCGGACTACGAAACTTTAGAGGAGATTGCTCACCACGGAGTGGAAGTATCAACTCTGACATCGTGCACAATTCTTCGACAGCGCGGACACTCAGAATCAGTGCGATCATCAGGTCTCGACTGACGCCGAATGATCGCCTTCATCTCCACTTCTACCCCGGGCTTGACGACTGTCTTCCACTGAGCAGGCTCGATCAAATGCAGTAAGGAGCTACTACCAGCGGTCGTCAGTTCGTAGTCTCCTTTGACGATGAATCTGTTTCCTTTTCGGCCCTTGAAATACATCCTAAGTACATTGTCAAAAAGCTAAGCAGACGGGATCAGGACAGTGGGCATTGATGATGAAAGAGGAAGACATCATTACCTCAGGAGTGGCGCAGAGGTCGAGAGGTATGGACAGGACGTTATTGTACATATCTCGAAGCTGTATTGGTGCCGATTCTACGCTCATGCCTCCTTCCCAGGTGTACCCGATGCACTGTGGAAGGCGTCCGGTGAGGCGGTCAAGCATGAGCTGTGTTTGCTGCCCCACTTCGTCCGTTCGGGCACTAAGGCGAAATGCATGAGTTGGTGTTCAAAGCAGCGCAGAGAGAGGACTCGATAGCTACCACTGCGCGGAAGACATCACGACTTGGATGGTCCTGACGTTATACGACAGCTGCCACCGTAACGTGATCACGTCTTCGTCTTTGACGAGCAAGCCCCACCCGATTTTTGCCCAAGATTCCATCATCTTTCGGTATGATCCTCCCTTTCTCAACCTCTGCTGGTAAGTCTCGATTTTGGCCTCGAGGCGTTTCAGGTTATCTTGCGCTGATTGGAGAGCATTACAACCTGTCTGCACCAAGGATGCTGGGAGCTGCGAGTGTCGAATCGAGGTCGTAGCTATGGTGGCGATTTTCAGGATGCGAACCAAGGAATCGATATCCAAGATTAACGCCTGATAGTCCTCCGACGGGCCAGAGCTAGCACTGAGATGTTTTATGACCTTCACACCAAGTTCTATCAGGGTCACGAAGTCACCAAATGCGCCGAATGAAAAGACTGCAACGGAAGACATGGGCCGTCAAGGAAGGGGCAAATCTACGTCAAGTGTGAGCGAACTTCTAGGTTTAAGGCTAGCGGGTCGGCAAGAGGACCACAAAGGAAGACATACGGGGCCACCGGTACGGTTTACGAAGAAATTTCCCAGGTACGCATCCCGGAAGACAAGAAAAGCGCCAAAGGACAGCGGCCGTGCGGCGGACCAAGTATACTGATATGGAAATGATCACAGGCTACATCCCGGTCCTCTGCGGCTTGTGGATTCGCGAAGCAAGAGCAAGAAACAGAGTCGAACTTGAAGCTTGAACACGGCAGGACTGTCCAACATCTAGTCTTGCGCTGTCCTGCGTCGAGAGGTTTAACTTGAACTAACCCCGGGCCACTGGCAGATGCCACGTACCGCTCTAAGTATTCTAACGCACGGCATTCTCCGAGCCATACGTTCAACAATCTGTTTCTCTTTCCAGTCTGAAATACAGTGTACGGGAAGTTAGAGACTTGGCCACAGCAGTTGAGTCCGTTATTCCATCATGATCCCTCTTCTTACGCTCAGTGTATGCAGTGCTTCTGCGACATGGATGCAAACATATATATGAGTCGAGAAACGTGCAGTTCTTGTTAGTCTTTCCTCGTTCCACATCCTACACTAGCAGCGAACACAGTGGCTACACGACACCAATCTAATCTCCAGTCCTTGCACAGGCGAATCAGGCCATCACCTCCTTCTCTCCCTTCCCAGACTCCTCAGGTACTATCTCAGCTTCCTTCACCTTTTTCTTCAGTTCCGCCTGCTCCGCCGGCAGCTTGAACACCGTCGACTTCTCGAACTTGGAGTCGCAGGCTACACGGAATTCGCCTGTTCGTGGTGATTTGAGGTCTTTGAGGAAGGAAATGATGTCGAGTGCGGTCTGTTCGACAAATTCGAAGTTGTGTCAGGACTTGAAATGTCTTTCGCAAAGAAGACGAGTGGCTGGGAGGAGGAAACTGGAGATGATGCGAGGACAGGCACGTACCGGAATATCTAGTATCACCTCGGGCCCCAACACCCCGAACAGGAGATTCTCGACCTCTTCTCTTGAACCGTGGAGTACCTTCAATCCCTGTGCAGCAGCCAAGACCGCACGGGGATCGCTCGGGTGTCGTTGCAGGTATGAAGAGTTGTAGGCTTCGCTCGTTTGTTCGCTTTCGGCGGGGAGGAGAGCAGAAAGGGCTTCGGAGACGATGGCAGCCGTGGAATCAGGGAGTGGTTCGGATAGTGATGAGTCTGTATTACGTGTGAGTATACACTATAAAGAAGGGGGTCCAAACAGTGGTATGAATGGACAAAACGTACGAGTTTTGCGGAAGTGGAGTAGCCGAGAGTGAAGCTCGGGGTGTTCACCATTGAGAGCTTTAGCAGCGGTCAACGCCCTCGCAGCCAGTAGCCACTTTCCTGTAACCATGATCACAATGAGCAGCTCTTCCTTTCGACTCCGCGGGAGAAAGAATGATACACACCTCTCCTCACAGAAACATCATAAAGCGCAATCCACACGCGAGGGTCCTTCTTCACCCTCTGCACATCCTCACTCTCGCTCTCGGCGTCGATGATAGCAAGTAAAGGACTCAAGAATTTCCACGCTTTCTCAAGGGGATCAGTAGACGTGAGAAGTTTCGAGCCATCCGGGTCCTCGTCTTTTGCGGGCGGGACGTCGAGGCCTTTGTCCTCGCTTGCGGAGACTGTGGCGATTGACGTCGTATAAGCAAATAAACATCAACGCCAAATATTCAGGGGAGAAAGGAGTGCTCTGCATACCTTTCTTCTCCTCTGCCTGCTTCTCCTTATGAGCCGCCTTCTTCGCTTTCTTCTTCGCCTTCTTGTCAGAGTCGGTATTGCCTGCAGAGGACAACACGTTCCAAGTCTTAGCAAACCTCGAAATCAGTCCGACCGCGGCATTGGCAGCGACAGCGACATCGGCATGATGTTCATTATCGCCTTGAGCCAAAGCTTTGCCGTTGTGGGACATCGCATTGACCGTCTGACTATGATCTGGACCGTGGGCCACACGCACTGTGTCCAGAGCGAGCGCCACACCGGCTATTGGCTATTGCCGGCGAGAGGAATGCGAAAGAGGAGCAATCACGCACCGGACTCTAAGCAAGCCTGGGCGGCGGAAGGGTCGTCGTGCACCTTGATGTATATCTGACCAGACAAGCAGCAAAAAAAGTCAGCAGGGGTCGAAGATGCGAGATTCGAAGCATATAGGACTTACTCGAGTAGCGGCGATTGCGGCGGCGACGTAGGCAGGATGGGCTCTGAGCTTGTCTTCCCACTTGAGAAGGCTATAAGTGGGTTTTAGTTGAAGTTGCATTCGTGGATTGAACAGTCCACGCACTCGAGGTAGATGTTGACGGTAGATTTGCGTATTGAATATCCATGGAAATCGTACTGGTCGTCCTCGATCTCGTCGAAGACCTGCGGGGATCGTTAGTTGGAATCTCGGTGGACTCGAGCAGTGAGAAAAACACACCTTGTGTATCGCATGATACTTTTTGAGCGCAAGATGTAGCTTTCCCGCCCGGTTCTGCGCGTTGGCTTCTTCAGTGAGATATATCAACGACTGCATATCCTCCAAGTCCGACCCCGGGCTCGGCGCGTCTTTCTGCAGCATAGGCATTAGTTCAATAACTCTTCTGACTGTGGCTGGTTCGACGTAATATGATGAAAGAGGAAACAAGTTCACCTTGGTGAACAACCCGAACACCTCCGAAGCCTCATCCACTCCCCCAGCCCTCAACCAATACTTCCCACACTTTGCATTCAAGAACCTATCCTGCCCATCCAGCCTCCTCGCTTCCTCCATCGCGCCCACCGCCCCCCAGGGATCTCCCACCCTCTTCAAGACCCTCGCCTTAAACATAAGGAGTTCAGGCAAAGTGGGGGTATGTTGGATCGCGGTGTCGAGGAGGGAAAGGGAGAGGTCATGATCGGGTCGCGATTGCGATTGTGCGGGGGAGTCGGCGGTCAATGAGGAGAGGGAGGGGGAGGGGACGGAGGAGTAGTGTTGGGCGAGGAAGTAGAGTGTCCAGAGGTAGGTTGTTGGCGGTTCGTGGGCTGAAGACGACGCTCCCGCAGAGGACTCGGTGGCGGAGGGATCAGAGGTGGAGGGTTCGGAGAGAACGGCGCCGGATTCCTCGAGCGATTTATACGACTCCACGACTTCTTGTATGATCTGTCGTTTTGTAGGGTCCGAGGAAAGACTTTTGACGTCTGCGAAGAGGGAGGGAATGCCCTTTTTGAGGCCGCGGAGGAGGTAGGGCTGTACGAGGGTTTTGAATTCGTCACCTGTATACGACGTATTTTTGTCAGCTTTAACGAAGGTTGAAAGGGGGACGGGTGTGGCGTAAAGAATATCTCACCTGTGGCGACGGTCAGAGCGAGTCGTTTGGGTGTATCTGCACGGGGATTCTGCTCCGAAAGCTCCTTTAAGATGTGGAGTGCTTCTTCGCGATTCGTTTCTGAGATATCGTCTACATACGCAGGTTCACGTCGTAAATGAGCTTTTTCTATAGTTCTTTGCTTGGGGAAATTTACGTGAAGTGGAAAAAGTGCGGCAGCCTACCTAGGTCGATGTTTTTGCTCTTCAACAAGCCGCGATAATACTCATGATTATCTGGGTTATGTTGAATGAGTGAGCGCCAAGCTTCGTCTGCACCGTGTTCCGAGTTCATCTTGGAGAGCAATCGTGCTGTTGAAACGAAGGATGAGTATTTCAAACGTCGACGACTGTAGACGATTCCATTGCTGATGGGTTCTTTCAGCACATATCGTCCCAGCGGACAAGGTCAAGCTTCCATATTCACATAGGATGCAGATTTCAAGAAAGCCCGTAACAAAACATCCGACGACAGAAACAAGAGAACGAACGTACCTCTCGTCTCCATGATCGCCACTCTATCCGTGATGACCCTCGACTTTGCACTGATGTCGAGCAAGCGCAAAGCCTCCTCGGTCTCCTCCAGCTCCTCCAACACACGTACGTGGTACAAGACCGCTTCAGAGTGTTCTGCATCGTAATCTGGCACGTTCTGATGTTCGTCAGTATCTTCGCCACATTCAACCACAAAGATACCTCGTAGTGAAGTAATGAAGACGGATTATAGGGAGAGCGGGTAGGAGGCGGGTAAATGGGATCAAATGTATGGATGAAGATTCGATGACCACAAGAAAGTACAAAGCACCTTCAACATCTTCTCGTACCCTTCCAGTATCTTCTTGGACTCTGCGACGTTCCCGTTCAGATGATGGGCCACCGCAAGTCCGATCCAGTTCTGGCGAAGGTTTGGACGGAGTCGGAGGAGCGTGTGCCGGGTGTCGACAAGTTGGTCGTAGAGACGAAGTTGGGTTTGCAGGTGGGCAGCATCGCGGAGGATGTTCATATTCTCCTGCAGGCATGGAAAGGAATGGTTGGGTTTGTAAGTCGGTATATGGGACGGTAGGAGGGAGGGTATGAATGGGTGGATAAGGAGGAAAGGGGCATGTCACAGGAGCAAGGACAAAAGGAGAGCGGACGAAGTGATTCGCTTCGCCGACCGGCACTGGTACATTCACCGCAGAGAACAGGTCATATACAAACACAGGACGAGTCGCGCCAATGCTATTTCGGTATCGAGGTGGATGCTATCCTTCCGGCTGAAGACGGCATGGAATCGGACGCGCGTCCTAGGAGTTCGATATTTAGACGTATAGCTTGTCCTCAAGTGAGAATACACTTAAAGCCTGACATCGAAGGAAGTGTGGGGCCGTAGAAGCCGAGGAGTAAACTCGTGGGCCACACAAGGCAAGCAGATGCGGGAACGATGCGTGCAAAATGGTAGAGCAGAGCTCCCTGCAAATCATGCGGCGAAAGAACGTACCTTGTCGAAGCGCAACGCTTGCGTGTACGACTTGAGAGCCTCCTCATAGTTTTTCTCTCCCTTCTGGATGAGACCGAAGACGTGCCAGACGATATGCGAGGTAAGATCAAAGCGGATGCCTTTCCGAACGAGCTCGAGGCCTTCTTCCCGTCTGCCCATGTGGGTCAGAATGAGGCCTTTCATACATAATGTCTCTGTTAAATCCAACAAATATCATGATGTCAGGAAATTTAGATTTCGTGGACGACCGAGAGACAAGCGGACCGCCATGCTCTGGATTCTTCTTGAGTATTGCGTCTGCAGTCTTGATGCCCTTCTTGAGCTGCCTGTTTTCGTAAAGACCGAGAAGTTCCTTGAAGAGCGTCGCTTCCTTGGATGCAAGAAACTTTTTGGGAGGCATTATATGAGAATTAGTGACTTGCGGAGGAGTAGTGTGCTCGGAGAGGGTACAGAGAAAGTCGGACAGATCGGGCGAGCCAAATCTGGACGACGCGGTGGCCTCAAGTGGCGTAAACACGGACACACAACGCGCGCGCTCACGACACGCGCGTCGTTTATTGTCAATTTCACAACTCTCTCCTTCCCCTCATCTGCTCCCCCCAGCAATGGTCGCCAAAACTCGTGGCGGCGCACAGCCATCCCCAAAGAAACTCAAGTTTCACGATAAACTCGTAGGCAAGGGGCTCTCGACAGACACACTTCTCAAGAAGCTCAAGACGCTGCACACCGAGCTTGCAGATCTTGACCAGGAGACGGTCGACACTTCGACCCTCGGAGGACCACGCAAAGAACTTATCCACCAGACAATCCTTCTCCACAAAGATCGGGGCGTTAAGGCTTATGCAGCCTGCTGTCTTGCCGATCTGCTCAGGCTATACGCGCCAGACGCACCATACACCCACCACGAGCTTCGCGACATCTTCCAGTTCTTCTTCCGTCAACTCTCCGCTGGTCTCACCGGCCCAGACGCGCCCTACTACAATGAATACTTCCACCTACTCGAGTCACTGTCGACTGTCAAGAGTGTCGTGCTTGTTTGTGATCTACCAAACTCAGACGAGCTCATGGTCGACATCTTCAGGAGCTCCTTCAACCTCGTCCGCCTTGATCTCGCGAAGAAAGTCGAAATGTTCTTGGCGGATATTCTCGTTGCGTTGATTGATGAGTCTCATACCCTGCCATCTGAGTTGTTGGAGACTATTTTGGCGCAATTTAAGGACAGGAAGTCGGTGAGTTGTGTTTATGATCTTCGCCTTTCATTTTGTGGCGCGTTTCCCGTCGTTTGGACCTGTCAATAAGGTCTCATTCATGACACATACCATCCACCTACTTGAGCGATCTGGTTGAGCTCTTGTCCTCGAGCGAAGCAGCCGCGGCTACCATGCCCCTTTTGCGCCAATCGGTGTTTTACCGCTGTGTGGCACGCCACAATCTTGAAACCTCCTTACTCACCGTCCATATCTTCCCAGGGGCTGGACAACCCAGCATACCGTCTCGCAGTTCAAGTCTGCAACGCCACGGCCGACAAACTCCAACGCCACGTCTGCCAATACTTTACCGACATCATCCTCGCCCACACCTCCACCCTTTCCTCCAGCCATCGCGCCTCCTCCCGGGACTCGTCACCCCCCGACTCTGAATCCACCCTCGCCGACCTCCGTTCCGCACACTCCTTGATCAAACAACTCAACCGGTCCTGTCCGTCCCTATTACACAACGTCATCCCACAATTGGAGGAGGAGTTGAAGGTGGAGGACGTACCATTGCGGACGATGGCGACGCAGGTGTTGGGTGAGATGTTTGGGGACGGGAAGGCAGGGAGTGATTTGGCGAGGAAGTATCCGACCACTTGGAATATGTGGTTGATGAGGAAGAATGATAAGGTTGTGGGCGTGCGACTGGCGCTTGTGGAGGCTGCGAAGGGCTTGATTGCGAATTTGCCAGAGTTGAGGGAGCAGGTCGAGGGTGAGCCTTTTCTTCCTTTCTTCTCCTCCTATATATTGCGGCAGTGCGACGCGGTATGGAGACAACGGCTGATCTGTGGTTATAGAGGCGTTGCAGACAAAGATGTTTGATCCGGACGAAAAGGTTCGCGCGGCGACCTGCAAAGTATACTCACATCTCGACTATGAAACTGCACTCCATCACGTCTCGAAAGGCACATTACAAGTCGTCGTGGGTCGTGGTCTTGACAAGAAGGTAGCCCAACTCATCTATTGATCCCCTGAACCGAACGAAAGCTGACCGTCCTAACTATGTTGTTTAGCATTCCGTCCGCGTAGAGGCCATGAACAGCGCAGGAAAACTCTATAGCCTCGCCTTTCCTGAGATGTACGTCCTGCACCTCCCTAGTTGTTAACATAATACTTATCCGTTCAATTTTTGGGGCTGCAGCGAAGCAGGGGATCCGGCAGCCATCCAACAATTCGCTTGGATCCCACAGGCGATCCTTCAAATGATCTCTACGACGGCGGAAGTCAAGTACGTTGTCCCATCACTTCCAAAGGTTTTTTCGCTCACCATGCAGAAAAATGCTAACCTCATGCCACGTTAACGCCACATCAAACTTATCATAAATAGAGCCGCCGCCGAACAAGTCCTCGCCGAATACATCTTCCCGCTTCCTTCCCTAGCCTCTTCGTCTTCATCCTCAACTACCGTTCGCCGAGCAGACAAGAGCTCAGAGAACGTGGCGAGCGGGAGCAAGACCGTGCATGGTGGCGCTGCAGGGGATGTGGATGAGGTGGCGTGGACGGATCGGTTGTTGCTCATTATGCGGTTCTTGGACGAGGGTGCGGTGGGTGGGTTGTTGAATTTCTCGGGCATCAAGGCGGTGTATGTCCTTTTTCTCATTTCTGTCCTCCCCTGTGCATGTGAATCCCGTTGCCTTTTCTGACGTTCGAGCGGGTGGATAGCCGGCCAACGGTGTATGAACGGTTCATTGACGCTTGCGAGGCTAATAACGTCCGTTTTTTTTTCTCCTCTCGGTGTCATTATGGTATTGACTGGTATGGGGCTGACTTTGTACAGGGCGGCGTGATCGACGACAACGAGGATAATGTGATCAGAATGTTGAACCTTGTTATTCAGAGATTGGCAGGTTCGTCTGTGCCTCGTTCCTCTGTCCACTCCCATGACTTTATTGGGCTCTCATTCTATCGGTGGTCGAGTTTATTTTTCTCGTGGCTGACAACCTCTTTACTATTATCTCTGAATGTAGCAACATTCACGGACCCGCAGAGAGCGACGGACGATCTACAGACGTTCGCAAAGATGAACGAGAAGAGGCTATATAAGCTTCTTAGGACGGTGATGGATCCACAAACGGATCTGAAGACGCTGGTGAAAACTACCGTAAGCCTTCCCTTCTTTACCTTTCCGCCCTCCTTTCGTTTAAATCACGATGCCTCATGCTTATATGTCGAATTTACAGAACGAAGTCCTCAAACGAATCGACGCCTCCTCGCCCTCCATCCTCCCCACTTTCACAACCTTCCTCCGCCGCTCCTCCCTCCGCCTCATCAACCAATCCTCAATCCCTACCCTCCTCAAGCGCATGCAGAACCCTTCCTCCAGATCTTCACACTCCGAGTCCCAGTCACAAGCTCTATCGGCAGGCGCATCTACATCAGCTTCCACAGTCGCAAATCACATGAGTTCAGCCCAGGCGGCGGCGAAGAACGCACAGGCAGTACTGATCTACGTGTCAAAGCACCTTCCACAGCTCTATAAGCCCCACATCGCCGAACTCACCAAGGGAATAGCTCTCTCCAACGACAAACCATCGTCAACTCGTAACAGCCGAAACCACACCGCGGGTACCGCACTTCCGGATGAAGAAAAGATGAAGACTGTGGAGGTGTGTCTGCAGGCGTTAGCGTGCGTGGGCGCGTGGGACGAGAAGGTCGTGCACGGGCTGGCGGACAGGGATAAGAGGACAGGGGAGAGGGTGAGGAAGTATGTCGTTGAAGGGAATGAGAGGTGTGCGAAGTTTGCGGCGAGGTTGGTTGCGAGGATGAGGGGCGCGGAAGGTGTTTGTGGCGCGCTTGTGAACGTAGGTCTTAACCCCTCGATCTATTTATCTATCCTTTTCTTGCTATGACCTCACTGAAATCCTGGATGGCGTTGGATAGACTATCGCTGATGCGCTGGAAGACGTGGACGAGGAGAAGCTGGTGGCACACATCGCTGTCCTTTCAGAGTTTGCGCATGTTGCGCCGGATGCATTTGAAGAGCAGAGCGAGGCCATCATGACGTTCCTTGTCAAGAAGGTCCTCATGACGCCTGCGCCCATGGACCCGGTTAGTCGCTCCGCCTCCTTTCTTCCTCTGTCTGCCTGGCAAATCGCTAACTAGGCGATATCTACATTTGTTCCTGATTTTGTCCGCACCTCATTTTTGCGACACAGAATGACATGGACACCGACACGGAATGGGTGGAAGATGAGAATATGACGCCTTCCCTCCGTGCGAAGTTGTTGGCGTTGAAGGTCTGCCGAAATCGGTGTATGGCACACGCTGAGGACGAGACAGCACTGGATATTGCGAGTCCGGTGTTGAAGATGTTCCTTACGCTGTTGGAGCATTCGGGGTCGTTGACGGCTGATGCGCAGGACGAGTAAGCCTACACTTCCCTCCCCTTTTCAGCCTGATTCCGCCTCCATGAAGGTGACCGGGAAATGTTGCTGACCCAGACTCGGATTATGGCAGCCCGAAGGTCAAGTCGAGGATGCGGCTCCAGGCTGCGGTGTCGTTGTTGCATCTTTCGACGATGACGAAGTACTCGAATTATGTTTCAACCAATTTCGTGTTGTTGGCTCTGACGATCCAGGTTGGCCCTCGCTTTTCTCCGCCTCTCCCTGTACCCTATATTGTGTGGCTTTACTGACGGCGTTACTTAGGACCCGTGCTACGAAGTTCGGCACGGATTCCTCCAGAAGGCTATTATGTTGCTGAAGAAACTGCCCGCCCACTTCAACCTCATCCCATTCTTGACTGTACACGATCCCGAGGCGGATGTGAAGACTATGGTATGCCTTTGTTCCCTTCGCTCTCTTCACTTCTTCATGTACTTCGTGTTCTGATACAAAAATTTCACCAGGCAAAAGCTTACGTCTCCTACGCCTTCCGTTCCTCACCTCAATCCGTCAAAGTCGACAACTTCGAGATGATTTTCGTCCGGTTCTTACATCTTTTGGCGCACCATCCGGATTTCGCGCTCACACAGGAGGGGTTGCATGATATGGCAAAGTACGTCCGATTCCTTGCTTCTTGTTCGAGCGCGGTCTCGATATTTCTGGTTGGTGGATGTTGACGATGGTGACATGCTAGGTACATCGACTTTTACCTCGAGCTCATCTCCACAGCGGATAATGTCTCGTTACTGTATCATCTCGCCGGGAAAGCGAAGACGGTCAGGGACTCGGAGTCGCATGTCTATAGCGAGAACCTATATGCACTGAGCGAGCTCGCGCAGCACGTCATCAAACAGCGGGCACAATCTCACTCGTGGACGCTACAGAGTTATCCGGGCAAGGTCAAGCTGTTTTCCGATATCTTGAGGCCATTGCCGAGCCCTGAATCTGTCAATGAGGTGCGCTTCTTCTTCCTCTCAGTGTGAAGCATTTATCGTCATGTTAACGGTGCTGTGGCGGTGTTATTGTCGATTTTTTGTGGCACTAGATCCTGAAGCATGTGTACTTGCCGGCGGAGACAATGGAATGGTTGAAGGAACAGGGCAAGGCTTTGAGAGCCGCTGCGATCGCGGACGGCAAGGTTTGTGGTTTATAAAAGGGTCTTTGCGGCGACCATCATTACTCATCTCGGACTTTTTGTAGGAAAAACCTAAGCCTGTTCGCAAGCGTAAAGCTGCCGCTGTTCCACGGACCAATGGTCAAACTAAGTACGTTCTTCGTATTCAACTTTACTCCAAATGGTATCTCACTGATATTGGGATACAGGCGACCACGAGCCTCCGGTGGTCGTCGCAAGAGCAACAAGTATGAAGACGATGATTCTGACGAACAAGAGTCATCGGAAGGAGAGGAGGATGATCAGGATGACGAGGGTCAGGAAGATGCCACGGAGGCGAAGTCTGTGTCGAGTTCGGATGAGGACGGAGAGGAGAGGAGACCGAAGAGGGGTGCGAGGACTAAAGCGAATGTGAGTCCGATTCTAGCCTATATATATATATTGCTCTTAAACTGATACGTGTGCCATATCAATTCAGGAAAAGATTAAGCAACAGGTCAAGAAGAAGCCGGCAAAGAGAAAGGCTTGAGTTAGCCCAAGAAGAGCGCCCCAGGAGACCGCTGCAGGACGACCTATGTTTGCTCCATATACTCCATTTCCTTACCTCTCCGCACGTACGTATGATTCATCTCAAGACTGCTCTATGATCTATTTCCGCTGCCTGTTCAAACCTGCTTCAGTGCCTGTCTATAATCTGACTCTGGCTCTATACTGCTTGTCGGCTTGCTACATCATCACTTGCTCTGGTATCCTTATATGATTGCTCATGAGGAATGCTCTGTTATCGCGACGTCTGGTCTTCCGGACGCATATCTAATAAGTTATCGAATGTTGTTTGTTATCTATTCGAGATTCGGTGCTGTTCCGCTCTGCCTGGTGTGTCAAGTTTCTCGTTTCTCGTTATTCAGTGATCTCGGCATGGGCAAAGATGATGGAACACTTTTCACAACACATTAGCATCCAACTGGTGGAATGCAAGAGATATTTGCACATATACGCTGCGAAGCAGAGCACAGCACGACATAAATTTCGAAAGTAGATTTTTGTTGGATGTTTGCAAACCTTCCTACAGCATCTGGCTTTTTTGTTGCAGGTATTCCCTTGAAGCTTGGTCTCATCCAGCTCCGGGATCTTATGGCCATGTCAAGTCAGTAACGGAGCCGCCCTATCCTCTCTCGACTTCTTTCTCTGAATTTTTTCTCTCTTGCGCGTGCATTGTGGGTAAGCGCTCAAGGTCCTCAACAGGACAACATCGCTCCCATGCTTAGTCCGCATGACTGTCCCCTGGCGCTGGTCTCGACGTCTTCCCGTAATCCTTGGGACGCATGTCCGGGAGTTGCCCTCACGGACTGTATTCTTGGCCGCACATATCTTGCTTTGTCGACGACTTATCGATAGCCTGGCCCTCCAACACACACAGTAGAAACGTCGCTCGCACCTCGCTCTCTAGCACTGGCGACCATGTCTTCGATCGCAGCCTTCTCATTCGGTGCATTTGGTGACTTCGTCGCCCTCCTTGACATTGCTCAGGGCGTCCCTCGGTTGACCTACATAGATCACGTCAAGAATAGAGGTTCCCGTACTGTGGGAGGGTACAGGAATACTATCCAATGTCACAAGTCTTCATTTTCGTGTCCAATATGGTCTGAGTGCTTATACTTGTCAACAGGGAGTTGTCATGCATGACGTTGTCTCTCAGGAAACCGGAGAGCTACTGACGTTACCGTACGTGCTTTTCGGTACTCCAGAGTACTGATGGCATGCTCATTTTTTCCTCGCCGTGTTAGCCCCTCTGCATTGATACACAACATACGAGTTCTCGAGAGATGGTTGCACCTATTTTTCGAGCCAGGCAATAAAGCCGTCTTTCCACACCTAGAATGAGGAGGTTCATGTCGGACAACGTTGTGTGACATTCAAGCCCCTTTTCAATCAAAAGACTGCACTAGCAATCATCACACTGAGAAATTCACATATAAGGGCAGGAAAGCGCGAAGACAAATGAATTTTACAACGTCGGTGCGCAAGTATGTTCATGGCCGGCGCTCGTTCACAGATCGCAAGTACTCCATGTCATCTAACATCATCTCTTCCATCATAAGATAAGGGAGTTCATCCTCATCATAGTCTTCCTCCTCTTCGTCATATATTTCCGGGTCCTCGTCGTATACGCAATCCCCTCGATCGGGCCCATTGAATTCAGGTCCTATATGCAGGTTGATGCGCACGATTCCATAGGCATCGTCATCGGCGCATACTGGCATGGCTTGTATCTCTTTCGCGAAGGCATCATCGAACGTATTCTGCTTAGCAAGACCCTAAAAATGGTCGGTAAGATTCTATGTTCATGAAACTAGAAAGCGCACCTTCTCCCACGACCGATATGCGACACCGTTCAACACGAACTCCAGCCTGCCTCCCATTTCGAAATAATGAGAAGCGAATGAGTACTGCCCCTCCGAGTCGTTGACCATGCAATTTAGCTCCTGCAAAACCGCCGGAACGGTCGGTACGTCGCCGCGTTCAAGTACAGCAGACACAGCTGTGTAGCAGGCTGAATACCCGAAGATGAAAGGTTGATCGATGGGCTGGGAGCGGACGGGATGAGAAACGTATTCGATCATATTTATCTTGTTGACGATTGCGGCTGGTAGGAAGCGCCCCGGACGGCGGGTGTGCATCTTTTCCATTATGCTACTTGACGACGTTCGAGCGCAATCTAGAAGATTCCACAAAACATAAGCACACAATTTTAGGACGGACAGAAACGACGGGTCTTACTTCGAAGGCGAAATGCCATTCGCGGACTAAGCCATCCACCCCTGCATTGGCCGCAAGTGCATCCCCACTTGATCAACTCGGCGGGCGGTGGGTTTAGACCCATCTCCCGCATTATGAGTACCTTGCACTGGCACATCGAGTCGTCATGCCCCTTAAACTCCGATTCTTTTTTGAGCTCCCGGATTCTCGCCATTTCCACATCCAGATGATTCAAGGGGGTACGTCCATCATTGTCCTTCTCGTGCAGATCGTCACGAGCGCCGAGCCTGAGTATCTCGGATACGGTGGTGGGACGGCCACGGAAAGCAGCTACATGAAGTGGTGTCACACCCTGGTGGTCCTTGACGCGGATGCAGGATGGGTCTGCTGCATGCTGCTGGCGAATATAGTCGAACAGGGCCTGCCCACGACCAGAGCGAAGGGCAGCCTGTATACGGAATGGGGCATCAGGTCTCATGCGTGCCTCCTCGAAAACCATGTCGCGAAAATCGGGCAAACCATCTTCATGCAATTCTCCCGGAAGGGGTGGCATGACCGGTTCTGCATCGCCCGAAGACGGAAGGCTACGAGAGGGGTGGTTGGTGTCCATGAGCGCATATCATACGAAGTTGGATCGCCCAATGCGTCTGAACCCTATTTTTGCAAATATCTTCACTACCGATTCTTCGATAGCAATAAGCTCGACTTTGGTCCTGAAAGTAGGCTCGAAGGCGGTAGGCCATGCATATGCGAATCGGCAGGATGCGACGTGTTCGGAGGTGAGGATCTGGCGTAGAAGCCAGGTACCAACTCCCCTTCCCCTGTAGTCTGAGTCTACGAAGATGTTTTGAATATAAAGAATTGACCCATGGTCCAATTCATGTCCCCACACCCCAGTGCCCTTGTCCCTTGATACGATCCACTTTCGGTGCAGCTTCGCGCGCTCGGTGAAGAGTTCGGTGGCGAACTCGAGCATCTCGTCGTCGTGACTGTCCATGACATCGTACCAGTCATCTAGAAGAACAATGCGGTCCTTGTGGATAACGAAACTGGTGGAGGATGCAATAGGGGACGGAGAGTTTGAACCGGGGACATAGATTTGGTGCTCTAGAAGGAGTGTGTGACGCATTCCGTCTTGTTTACCACATCTCGTTTTGAGACGAACGTAGAGGTCATCCGAGTCGGGAAGAGAGTGTGTAGTAGATGAGTGGAAAATTGGCATATCGAGTCGCTTTTTGGTGTGCAAACGGGCTTGCTGGAGGAGAAGAGTTCGCGTCGTCGACGTGTTCAACGTTGGCTATATTTGTTCATGTTCGGTTCAATTGACGTAAATGCTAGTAAGCAACACGCGTTTCCCACTGGTGCCACAGGAAACCATATTACTGACAAGCCACACGAAAGATCCAGTCAATATTGTGAAACCTTCTACAACAGGTCTACGCACCTTCGATTTTGATAAGTATGGGGCATGGTATGATAGACAAGTCGATAAATGGATGAGCATGTTTCGGATCAATTACATACTTACAAAGTGCCCATGCACTTGGATGCCAGTGCAACAATTGCGTTTTTGGTTGCAAGTATGCAACAAGCCGAATAGGTGATGAGAGGGAGCGTCATCGAGTAGAAAAACCAACACATAGGGAACTCATATGACACAGACAAAGCGAGACGACGAAATCAGAACCGATCCCACAAATACGCCACGATGTCAAGTAACTCGACTCCTAGAAGTCCATACACAGCGCTCGAACATGTCCTTCAGCTATTCTCCTGTTCATTAGTCGACAGAGTCTTCCGAATCTATTTCCTCGTTTCGAGCCACTTCTTTATCAGAGTCAGGGTCATGGGTAGGTCCGTTGAACTCGGGTCCAAGGCCCATGTTGATGCGAACAATATCGTAAGCGTCGTCGTTCTCGCATGTGGGCATGCCCTCCATGTCGTCGTCGAAGGTATCGTCTCCCGCGTGTCCCTGAAAAGTAATTGAGATAAGACACTGCAGTAGATGCTGGCGTATTTCACTGACCTCCTCCCATGAGCGATATGCAACGCCATTCAAGACAAACTCGATTTTTCCTCCCTTCTGCAAATAATGATTCGTGTAACGCGTATCGTAGTCGAGAGATGTTAACTCCTGCGAGACGGTTTGAACTGTCGGAATGCTACCGCCACGAAGGACGGCAGAAACGGCACTGTAACAGGCCGAATATCCTTTAATGAAGGACGGGTAGATAGGTTGAGCGCGAACGGAGCGAGGAATGACGTCGATAAGATAAACCGTGTCAACACTTTCGAGAGGTTTGGGGTGAACCAGAGAACCAGAAAGATCCACTGAGTCGAGTATCTTGTCTGACGATACTTCAGCGCAGGCTAATGCGGTGCAGAATAGAAATACTTGAGTAAAGTAAACCTAGGAAAGCGGAAATGAAAACCCTCACTCACTTTCGAGACGAAACTTCATGCGCGGACTCAGCCAGCCTCCTTGGCACTGTCCGCAAGTACATCCCCACTTTATCATCTCGAGCGAAGGAGGTGGTAGACCCATAGCCTCCATGATGAGTGCCTTACAACGGCACTTATAAGTCTCGTGGCCTTTGAATGGTCTATGATTGAACTTGGCGAACTCTCGTGCCTTCGTCATTGCGTCGTCGATGCGTTCCAAAGGCGTTCTTCCTTCTCCATCCTTCTTGTGCACATCGTCACGAGCACCAAGGGACAGTAGCAGCGATACGACGGCAGGGCGACCCGCCGAGGTGGCCATGTGAAGGAGCGTGGCGCCATCTGGGCCTCTGACGAAGATAGAGGATGGATCTGCTGTGTGATGAGCACGTATAAGGCGGATGATCACCTCACTGCTGTCGACGAGAAGCGCTGCATGGAGTGGGTACTGGGCCTCGATTTGCGCCACAGTGTCGAAGGCACGAATATCCCTGACAACTGGTGGTTCTCCGTCGTCATTCTTCACTTGCTCGGCGAGAGGAAGGTCAATTGGTTTGGCATCTTGAGATGCGGAAAGGTGACGGGAGGGATGATTGGCATCTGCGATCGCGTAGCAGACAAAATTAGACCTTCCCACCCGCCTAAAGCCCGCGTTTGCAAACACCTTCAGTACTGCGCCCTCAATGTCCGCGAGATCGGTCTTGGAGAGACGGGATGGGTAGAGTGGTGTAGGCCATGCGTATGCGAATTGACAGGCTGTGACGTGTTCGGAACTGAGAACTTGCTGTATGAGCCATGAGCAGAGTCCCCTCTTCCGGTATTCCTTGTGAACCTCGATAGTCTCGATAAAAATAATGGCACCTTCATCCAACTCGTGGCCCCAAATACCCGTACCCTTCTTAGCTTCCGAGTCGATCCATTCCAATCGCAACTTGGCGGATGAGTCAAAGAGAGCATATGAGAAGGTCTCGGTCTCCTGGCTGTGGATGTCCATGGCACCGTGCCAGTTACCTTGACGAGCAAGACTGTCTTTGTCGATGATAAGGCTGGCAGCAGATGCTATATATTTCGTTGGCTTCGACGAGAGTAGAACTGTGTGCTCGAGTATGAAGGTGTGGGGCTGCTCATAATGTTTTTTGTATTTCGTTTTGAGCTCTACGGAAAGCCCGTCAGGAAGAGTGTGCGAGGTTCGAGTTTTTGTAAAGGCCATGCTGGACAGTTTTCGATAGTGCAAAGCAAGATGTGTGCCTTTGAGGGGAGGCGAGATGGAAGGTCCAGTGAAGCAGATCGAAGTTTCGAACACGGCGGCTTTCAATACATAAGAAGAATCGCCGGTGTCAAACATCCGCAAACAACCGACATTCGTCACGTACTGACGCCACCAAAAGTCGAGTGCCTTCACGATGAGAATCTGACTGTTGCACACGGTGCTATGGAATTACGCAAACGATAATGTGGGTACAAAGTGCAATGAACCGGGTAAATCAGCACAGTAGCTTGAACGAGGGAGGGATGAATAACGAGGTCAATGTCGAGCACAAATGAGCCGCACTCGGAATCCACCATATGGATAACACAGAAACGATAAGATGACATCAGGGCTGAGGAGTCCCACGTATAAGTACATCACAAAGCCAAAGAGTACAGTTAACTCGAGATTCGTATACAGCGCCCGAGAATTTGTCTCGGCCATTATTCTGCTCTTTAGTCGGAGGAATCTTCCGAATACATTTCCTCGTCCTCATCCTCATCAAAGCCGGAGCTCGAACGGCCATAATCGGGTCCGTTGAACTCGGGTCCAAGACCCATGTTGGTGCGGACAATGTTGTAAGCGTCGTCGTTCTCGCATATGGGCATCCCTTCCAGGTTGTCGCCGAAGGTGTCATCGAACGTGTTGTCTCCAGCGGGTCCCTGAAAATTGATATAGGTAAAACACTGCAATCCCAGTAGACACGGGCGTATTTCACTGACCTCTTCCCATGAGCGATATGCAACACCGTTCAAGACAAACTCGATCCTACCTCCCTTCTGGAAATAATGGGCCGTGTAACGCGCATCGTAGGCGGGAGACAGTAATTCCTGCGAGACGGTTTGGACGGTCGGAATATTACCGCCCCGAAGGACGGCGCAAACGGCCTTGTAACAAGCCGAATATCCGTGGATAAAGGACTGGTAGATGGGTTGTTCACGAACCGAGTGGGGGACGAAGTCGATGAGATAGACCATGTCAACATCTTTGAGTGGTTGGTAGCGAACCAGAGTACCGGAGAAGTCCATTGTGTCAAGTATAATGTCTGACGCTACTTCAGCGCAGGCTAATACGAAGTAGTACGGGACAGCAAGTTTAGTAAGGCGAACCTAATGAAATGGAGATGTAAAACACACTTTCAAGACGATATTTCATGCGCGGACTCAGCCAGCCTCCATGACACTGTCCGCAAGTACATCCCCACTTCATCATCTCGAGCGAAGGAGGTGCTTGGCCCATAGCTTCCATGATGAGCACCTTGCAACGGCACTTGCTCATCTCGTGGCCCTTAAACGGCACGCCAACCATTTTGAAGAACTCTCGTCCCTTGATCATTTCGTCGTCGATGCATGCCAGAGGCGTCCTTCCCTCCTTATCCTTCTCGTGCAAGTCGCTACGAGCACCAAGGGACAATAACTCCGTTACGACGGCAGGACGGCCTTTCGAAGCAGCCATATGAAGAAGCGTCGAACCGTCCGGGCCCTTGGTGCGAATCGACGAGGGATCTGCCGCATGATGGGTGCGTATAAGGTCGATAATAGTTTCGCTGCTGTCGGCGAGGAGCGCTGCATGGAGCGGGTACTGGTCGTTTATTTGCGCGGCAGTGTCGAAGGCGAGCCAATCTCTGACGACCGGAGGCTCTCCGTCACCGCTGCTCGTCTGCTCGGCGAGAGGAAGGTCAAGTGGTTTAGCGTCTTCAGATGCGGGGAGGTGACGTGAGGCGTGTGTGGCGTCCACCATCGCGTAACAGACAAAGTTAGACCGCCCGACCCGCCTAAAGCCGGCGTTCGAAAACATCTTCAATACAGCGCTCTCGATGTCCACGAGTTCAGTCTTGGAAAGACCGGCGGGATATAGTGGCGAAGGCCACGCGTATGCGAATTGACAGGCTACGACGTGTTCAGAGGTGAGGACCTGCTGTAAGAGCCACGAGCCGATGCCCCTTGCTCTGTACTCCTTGTTGACCTCTACACTCTCAACAAAGAGTAGTGATCCGCGGTCCAGCTCATGTCCCCAGACACCCGTACCCTTCTTAGCCTCTGAGCTGATCCATTCCGGACGCAGCTTTGCCCGCGAGTCGAAGAGGACAGAGGAGAAAGTCATGGTCTCTTGGCTATGTATGTCCATGGCGGAATGCCAGTCATCTTGACGAGCGAGACGATCCTTGTTGATGATAAGGCTGGTAGCAGATGATATGGATTCCGTCGAGTTCGACGAGAGAAAAACCGTGTGCTCGAGTGTGAAGGTATGGGGTTGCTCATAATGTTTTTTGTATTTCGTTTTGAGCTCGACAGAAAGCCCGTTAGGAAGAGTGTGTGAGGTTTGGGTCTTTGTAGAGGGCATGCTGGGCAATCCTTGGGGTTAAAAGCGAAATATGTGTGTTTGTTGAGAGATGAGATGGGGGTTCGAGTGAAGAAAGTCGAGCATGGCGGTGTTCAATACGTTCGGATTCACCGTGGGAAGTAAGACATCCGCAAACAACCGATCTTGTGCTATCAAGAATGAGCGCTTTCGGGCCACCTCCGTTATTGTAAGAATCTGACTTTTGGACAAGGCATTATTGAATTACATATGCGAACGGTATCGGTAGCTTACAGGGTGGTCACTGAAGAAAGGTACGGCCAGTAACGAGCAAGGAATAAGTAACGAAGTCAAGCCTGGCAGTCGCAGATGAGCCACACTCGGGATTATACAGTAAGTACAGCGCCGCTGAAAGCAATACGGTGAGCCGAATAAGTCAAGCATATCTTGGACTAATTCATGAGCAAAACGCAGAGTTCCAACGAACGATAGGAAATTAACAGAGCCTCCTTGAAAATCCACACTAAGCCGCCTCTCGTCAGACGCGGTGTTAAGAATGAGCCGTTCGAAGATGACTTCCATGGTGGCCGGTGACTGAGCAATCCGAAGACGTCCACATTCTCTAATCCCAGATATGGATCGCCCTGTATCGAAAGGCTGGTGTCCAGAGACGCCGTCCATAAGATCTCGTGGTCGAGTGCCGCTTGAACAATCCAGCCTTTCTTGAGGTAAGTCAGCTATAACACTGATGTGGCATTCTGGTGACAACGATATGTTTAAGAAAACGTCCTCTCCGAGAGTAAGCATACTGTGCCATGCGGAATATATAATATTACGACTGCGAATGGAGATGTCTTCAAGGAAGCGCTCTGGACGTTTCTGGGTCGTCACAGTGAGAGATGAAATCGTCGAGGGAATCCCTCTAAGCAAGGTTATAGAGCCATTGCGTCGAGGATCTCAGCTTTGTATTGTGAGGAGCAGGCAAGGTCAGCGTCTGGGATAGGTGAATCCAAAGCATTCACAATGGCAGGATCGGATGACAAACACAATTCACGCTGGACATAGGTATTGACATCGCCTAAGACAAAAACTGCTGTACACAAAGTGTAACGGCGGCCAGAGAAGAAAGTCACTGAGGTCGGGATCAAAGAACGGTTCGGTATGGATTCGAAAGCAAGCCAAGTTGGGCCAGACAGCAAGATCTCCGCAGATAGTGCATTCATGATGTTCGTGAAGCGCGACCCTTTGTAGCTCCGGCAGAGAACAGAAAACCATGAATTTCGCACTAGAAAGTCACGGAAGGTGTAAATCTTTGTTACAGACTACAGTGGTGAAGGAACCTAGGTCTTTGTGGGACTGCAATGAGTGTCGCCCCACGAGTACGGGCTGCGGGAGAGTCCGAAACCTTATTTCAGGGAGCTGTATAGTCATCGTCCTGCCGGAAATTGCCGTAACCAGCCAAGCCGCCACTCGACATCGACCGACCCGACGCCCAAGCCAGCCCGTCCTCATCAAAATGGTCAACATTCCCAAGTACGTCGGGATTTGTTTACTGCAGGGTCGTAATACTGACGAAATGCTGCTCGTAGGACCCGCCGAACATGTAAGTCTTGACCTCGATTTGGGAATGGCTGCAAGAGGGATCTAATGAAATGTGATGCTGGTGGAATGTAGACTGTGCTGGAAAGAAGTGCAAGAAGCACACGTACGTCGTTTCTGAGTCGTACTCTCCCATTGAACTTACAAGCGTTGTGTTGCTCGCGTTGATCCTATAGTGCCCACAAGGTGACGCAGTACAAGAAGGGCAAGGATTCGCTCGCCGCGCAAGGGAAGCGCCGTTACGACCGTAAGCAGTCAGGTTACGGTGGTCAGACTAAGCCTGTCTTCCACAAGAAGGTACGTGATCGCTGCGTTGCTTCACTCGTTAAACCGTTACTTATGCCCAGTGCTTGTGTGGCGAATAGGCTAAGACTACTAAGAAAGTTGTGTTGCGGCTGGAGTGCGTCGACTGCAAGTATAAGATGCAGATGTCGCTCAAGCGCTGCAAGCAGTGCGTAAACCCTCTCTCACCGTGGTCCATCAACTCACACATTCCACGTCATTTAGCTTCGAGCTCGGTGGAGAGAAGAAGACGAAGGGTGCTGCTCTTACTTTCGTGAGTGCTTTCAACTCATACTTATCCTTGTGTGGTCCATTGACCCCCCTTCTCGTCTCGTTCAGTAAACGCTCTCATCGTTCCCTTGCTTTCAGTCGGTCTTCTTCTCCCTACCTTTACTTTGAGTCCATGTATCCTCTTAGCAGCTATGTGATATGCGACACAAAACACACCATGCGCACACCCGATATCTGACTGCACCACGCCCGTCAGCATGTCTTCGCCGATGGACATCGTCTACCACGAAACCTTCTGAGCCAGCGGAAGATCGCCTTTCTTCCTGGTATTGCGTTCATTCGTCTTAGATCTCTCCCGTCCGGTTGGCTACCTCGCGATTTCAATCCGGGGGTGGCGGTGGGCACAGCGCTCCAAGATAGCACAAGGTGCTGATATGTCGAAGACTTCGTGGCGCTCCGAGCCTCCTCCGCCACTGCAACAGCCTAGTCTGCATGAAACACCCCCTCATCTTGCATTCACTCTGTCCGGATTACTTATCGTGCTTACGGTCGTGATATCCTCATTCATCGGTGAGGTAACCTCGGACCATAAGAGTTGCTCACTCTGACTGGCTCTGGGACCTTCGCCTCTACTCGTCAGCGGGTCAAATCCTCAGCCAGAAAAATCTCACCAAGGCGCTCAGCCTCCACTTCGTCTGCGCTCAATTCATACCCCTCCGCCGTTAAGGCAACTTTGTGTCGCCTGTGGCAGTGCCCATTTCCGCCGACTTCGTCGCTCAGCCCTTCCCGCGCGACCCTTCGTTAAGGGTAGCTAACGGATCGCGCTCCTACTCCATCCCAGACTTCAACGCATCTGTTGCCTCGACGAACCCCTTTCTCTTCGTCTTCCCACTTTCGAAATAACATGTAAGAATCATTACACTGAAGCATCCTCGCGCACCGTCACGAAGAACATCGCCATTTCCGGAGAGCTAGGCATGCGGTCTCACGGGGTGTTGAGTCTGGAGAATATGGGGATCGAGGAGGCCTGCAGCCGAAGAAAAGCGTTGTGGGTGTTGAAGGCATGAGTATTCGACGGTCAAGTATCCTGCATATATTTAAGACGACGGGGCAAGGGCAGAACGGTCGTTGATCTCGAATTGTGAGACGGTATTGCAAAGCGGGGTCGACCGAATAAGCCATGATGTGTTTGGTGAGATCAGACTATCTTCAAGGTCGAGCTTCACAAACATCTTGGACGCTCCGATAACATTCGGTTTCCTGCCACGACATTGTGCATTATTGTCTACCACAGTATTGAGGGTCGTCTGTCCGACTTGTATTCGCATCTGGAGCGGTCGTTCAATACCGAGAGTCGTAATACATCACTCAGAATGCCGCTGCACACAGCAGTACTCACGAGATATCCATGTACAGCAATACAGAGAAATAATAGAAAGGAAATTACAATGCAAAAAATGTGATCAAGCTCTAGTATACGGAGAATCGCAGGGAACACACAATAGACAATAGACGTCAAGGCACGTACATGCAAGTTACAGCTCACGAACAGTGTATGGGGACTACTCCAAGAAATCAGCGAAACAGCTCCGGAAGGCCTTGTTTCCGTCCTTTTCGAGCACGTCCTGGAATGTAAAGAGCGGGTCGATCAGCAAGTGAGAGATTGTTGGAATTAAGAACGAGAAATAGAGAATGAGTGGGCAATGAGGAGGGAACGTACACCATGGCAGGGAATCATCCTCTCAAAGTCCCACGCCGCGACCGTCTTACAATCGCGCTTCATCGCTCTACGCCACCATTCATTTTCGTCAGCAAGGCTTAGGGCGATAAGTGAAGGGTGAAGAGTGTAAAAATGATACGCACTCGACATCCACACCCATCCTTTTAGAAAGCGAGCGATGGCCACCCGAGAAGGGCGTCAAGTCCCCAAGGCCGAAAGGTAGGCGGCCGGAGAACCAGGATTTGGAGTACTACGAGGACGAGCACACAGTCAGACAAGGGAGTGAGAAGTTTCGACGGTGAGGGGGGAAAGAGCACGTACCTGTTCGGTAGCCGGCATGTTAAACATGAGATCGGCCTGTATAAGCGTCTTGGATGGTTGATGCAGGAAAGCCATGTCTTTGTTCTTGAAGCCGGAGAAATAACTACCTCGCGAGATGCAACGTGGGTCAATATCCGCCGGTAAGCGTAGTACGATTGAGAGAAATGCGAACCATGATTTGATCTACGATACGAGCAAGCAAAGATGTGAAGTGTGAGCCTGGAGTTGTGATGGACTGGATACTGAAGCGAACCGACCTCATCCTCAAACCCAAATGTTTTCTCCCTGTCATTATCTGCCCACCCTATTCACACCAAACGAAAATATCAGCAAGTCTGTACCTCTTACCTTTCCCTCAAGAGAAGTACGTACAGCCTGCCCAATTCAACTTCTCCTCTTTCTTCTTGTTGACGGCTTCTTCTACAGCGATTAGCTTTGCGTCCGGATATGCTTTCTGGAACTCGCCTGCATTATCACAAAACCACAAAAATCAGTGTCAGTTACTGCTCCTTTCGCTCTCCCTGTGCTGACTCTTTCAACTCCAGTCAGAGCGTGAACGCACCCAAATAAAGATGATGCACCGAATCTGCACCAATAATATATTTCACGGTACCCATCCTCGCGAGGGTCTCTTTGGTGGGTTCATCCAACGGAGTAGAGGCCATGACCCAGACGTCACCGTTGGACAGTTTGACGGCGGTGGAGCGACCACCTATGGGCATTATGCCGAAGCGGGAGAATGGGCTGCGGGCGGGCGGGATGTGTGGGATGTGTGAATGGGGAAGGGAGGTTGATGCGAGGAAGTGGGGTGTGGTCGAAGTGTGCGTGGAGTGTGAGCGATTCGAACAGAAAAAAAACGTAAACTTGAACATACCGAGAAAAGGTCCAAACATTGGGACAAACCTATTCGGCGGTCGGGGACGTGTTTGAGCGGCGCAGTGAGCGACAGTGCGTTCAACGGTGAATTAAGGAAATGACGCACTTCACGAATTATAGTTTCGACCATCGTAACAGAGTGTAGGAGTGTATGGCAAGATAGGATTCAAGAGCACAAGGAGACGTCCAGGAGTCCAGTTATATACGGCCAGAGACAGTAGCTTGCCCGAGACCGAAGACAAATTCACCTGCAAGTGTGGATTCGTGGAAAATGGTTCGACGCGTGCGTGAGGAAAGAAGCTGAGCAAGCAGAGAGAAAATGTCCTTAGAAAGCTATCGGAGGTGGTGGATGAGAGGAGGGAGGGGGCCGCGCCGTAAGGAGGCCTTATGTACCCCGGCTCATGAGGATCCTGATTCTCTCCTGACCTCATCGTTAGCCGGTGGTCGTCAGCGTCAGATCGCGGCCGTGGAACTTCTGAGTATCGGCTATGTTCGCGCCTTATTATGTTCTGAAGCTATACATACGGTAACATTGGAGCTGCAGTTGGACAAGGTTAGACATAAGGACAATGCTATTATTGGCGATCATGGTTGAGAATGCAAAGGTGACAAGGCAGCAGCGATGACGCTCAGCAGAACCATGATGGCGGAATGCCGGGCCGCGCAGGGTTCGCACGAGAAAGTGAACGCAACTTGTTTGCTGTCTTCTTGTGTGGCGACCAACATCTCCAGAAAGGTCTTCTTGGATTTTCGAAGAATAATCTTGCTTCAAAACCTCAACAAATATACTGAAATTAACTTGGCTGCTCGGGAATCTTTTTGACAAGCTCTATAACTGCCCATATCTTCAATTCCGTGCTCCTGTATCTTGGCGCCAACCACAGCCAGTACCCTTGCTCATTTAGGAACTTCACGTCGATTCTGAGCACTTGGCTGTCGTTAGATCAGTCCTCAGACAGTAGCATAAGCTCATCATGAAGTTCACGAAACCAGCTTGGGTATCTCACAAAGGTACGTACTACAACCTGCTGTTCTAACCCTCCCTAAGCTCACCCTATTCTCACCAACTTTTTGCTTCATCACACTCGACACTTACCCCTCACACCCGACTTTCAACCTTTTGCCAAATCCACGAACTCCAACCAGACCCTTCCTCTAAAGGCGACCAAGCCCCCAAACGTCTCTCCATCTTCTCTGTCCACGTCCATCCAGACGGCTCACGCATCGCCACCGGAGGCCTTGACGCCAAAGTCCGAATATGGTCCACGAAACCCATCCTCAATTCTGCCTCGGAATTGTCGAATAGACCACCGAAGAGTCTGTGCACGTTGACGATGCATACGGGCCCGGTTTTGTGTGTGAGATGGGCGCATTCGGGGAGGTGGCTTGCGAGTGGGAGTGACGATGAGATTGTGATGATTTGGGATCTGGATCCGTGAGTGTTGTTCTTTTCGATGTTATAACTTTAACTGCGTGGGCATTGGGACGTCGTGGTGGTGCAGCTATCGTAAAACTGTCGGCGAGTGAAACTTTACGCTTTGTGGCGTAAGGTGTGGCGCCGCGTGTTTTTGGGGCAATATCCGTCTAAACGCCGACAGTCCAGAGGCTGAAGTGAGGTGGTATTTAACAAAACATCATCGTCTCTATTTTCTGCTCTACCAGTTTGAGTCTCTTCCGTGAAATGCATAACATAATATGTCACCCGCTTACGCCACACTCCGGTCACACACCATAATCCAATCCTGTATACGATGACTTGCTATGACTCTCTCCTTACAATGACATGTCTTCTTTTCTTGGCTAATGTACTTTTCCTTTCCTCTCTGACCCCCTAGGTCAGCAAAAGGCAAAGTATGGGGAACCGACGAGGTCAACGTCGAAGGCTGGAAACCTCTCAAACGGCTCCCCGGGCACGAATCGGGTACGTTTACATCCTACATAGTACCTCGTCCAACTTTTCTTACCTACTTACACTAAAAGCGACTTAATTGATTTTTGTTTGTATGGACAGATGTGACGGACGTGGCGTGGTCTCCGAATGATCGATATTTGGCCTCTGTGGGGTTGGATTCGAAAGTGTTGATCTGGTGTGGGTATACGTTGGGTACGTTTTTTTTTTCTCAAGGAAGCACTACACTATCCCCTCCTCCCCACACATCCTCATAACCCCTTCCCTCCTACTATCCGTTTTCCGAGCCATATAGTGACTCTAACACCTCGTCCTCACAGAACGCCTCCAAAAACTCGACCTCCACCAAGGCTTCGTAAAAGGCGTCTGCTGGGACCCTGTCGGCGAGTTCCTCGCTACACAATCGGACGATAAGACCGTTAAGATCTGGAGGACGGAGGATTGGAGCCTCGAAGCGGAGGTGAGGAAGCCGTTTGAGGATTCGCCGGGGAGTACGTTTTTCAGGAGGTTGAGGTGCGTTTTTCCGTTATTCGTCCTGCCAACTTCGCCGTGATGTGTGAATTGCTGTGGGCGATTGAGCTGACTGCGTGTTGCGATGTGACGCGATGAATAGCTGGTCTCCGGACGGCGCACATATCACGGCGAGCAATGCGACGAATAATCAAGGGTTTGTATTTATCGCGGCGGTGATCACTCGTGGAAGTTGGACGTCGGAGATCAGTCTTGTGGGACATGAGAATACTGTTGAAGTTGCCGTGCGTTTTCTGTTTCCTTCCTCCACTACATTATCGCTTAATTAGTGTTTCGCTTACTCGTTGTCTAGTCTTATAACCCACACATCTTCCTCCGTGACCCGTCCCAACCTGTACACACTTCCAATATCTGTTCTGTTGTCGCCCTTGGGGCCGATGATCGGTCGGTATCGGTGTGGCAGACAAAGAGCGCGAGGCCACTGATCGTGGCGAAGGAGGTGTTCGAGAGGCAGATTATGGACCTCGCCTGGTGCATCTCTAGTTTCCATCCTTTCCTCCGTCACCATCCACTGACTTTGTTTCCTTATTATGTCCACAGGTCATGGGACGGTCTCGCACTCTACGCAGTCTCCTCCGACGGAACCCTTGCCGCTTTCTCCTTCGACCCCGATGAACTCGAAGGCCTAGCGCCCCACTCCGTCCAACAACAATACCTCTCCCGCTTCAACTACGCCGCTCCTCCTCTTCCCACAGGATACTCCCACACCAGCACCCCCATGCCCGTGCAATCTCAGACTCCAGCAAGGTCACAGACTCCGGGCATCAGGATGAGCGACGATAGGGAGAGGATGACACCGCCGCCATCGCCCTCGAGGGGCGAGACGCCTGCCTTGGCGCAGCCTCATGCGAATGGATTCGAAGATGTTAATGGAGGAGGCGAGCGAATCAATAAACTCGTGGCGAAGCGGAAGCCGAAGGGTACCAAACGCGTACAGCCGACGTTCATGGGCTCATTGGGTGGAGCGGGATCTTCGAATGCCGCGGCTGTCCCTTCTGCGTCCATAGAGGGTTCGAAGCCAGGCTCTTCCGCGCATGGTTATGGACGCTCTCATGGACAGGGTCAATATGCGAACCAAGGAGGAGCGTTGGTCGGGCCTGGGATGGGGATGGGGATTGGAGCGGGGATGGAGAGTTCACCCTTCGCGCCGGAGTTCTCGAGGAGATTGTCGGATCACGGACAGGGGCAGAGTTATCGATCACATTCCCGGGACGAAGACTATGGGGATTATTCGTTGGCTAGCTTGGGTATGGATCTCGACGTACCCATTTCCTCCTTGGGCCTCAATGATCCGGCTCCCGGCGGGAGTGTGAGTGGAGGGAAACGAAAAGCCGAGTATACTGGGGATGAGAGGCCTGGTAAGGCGAGGACGTTGGGCGGGGATAGGGTTAGGGAGGCGGTCGTTGTGAGGAAGATTAGTGGGTTGGGTGGTCCAGGAACTGGAGCTGCTGCTGGAGGTGTAGGCGCCGGCGCGGTGGTGGGGCAGAAGGTGTTTGAAGTGTTGCCTGTGGTCACGTATTTGAGCGTGAAGGGAGAGGGGATGGGTGACGACGTGTTTGAGGGCAAGAATGCGGAGAGTGGAGGTACGTTCTTTACCCTTTTATTATTTTCTATATGGCTGACGTGGATGACGATTTAGCGGTCTGTGAGGTTGCGTATGTGAGTGGTAAACAGACACAATGGCTGGATTTCCTGCCGTCACCTTCCATCGTCCTTGCTGCGAGCAATACGTTCGCGGCAGTCGCAATGTTGGATGGGTGTCTGAATGTTTACTCGTTGACGGGGCGCAGGTACGTTGCTCTCTATGATCCTAATATTCGTGCGAGCAATGATTTCCTGACAAAAACTTTATGATAATAGGATGATGCCCACACTAACACTGGATTCACCGGCAAATTTCTTGGCTGCTGCGAAGAACGCTCTAATAGCCGTGACATCGAACGGGACGCTTTACTCTTGGTAATTATCTTTCTTCACCCCTCAATGTGACTAGACCCCTTAATGTTGACGTCTTCACCCTCTTACGCTTCCCCAGGAACGTCAAAAAATCCACGGCCCATTTCGCACCCACCTCCGTCCTCCCCATACTCTCCCTCTCGCCCAACGCCTCCACCTCAGGCATTCCATCTCACATGACCTCCCTCTCTGCGCGTCCTAACGGTGCCCCCATCATCCATACCACATCAGGAACGGCATACTCCTACGACTCCTCCCTCCTCACATTCGTCAAGCTTTCTGAGCCATGGTGGTCCCAAGGATCCGACGCCTGGTCCGGTCGCCAACGCACCAGCACCACCGCTTCGGCCCAAACATCCAAGACTGTCACCAACGTTATCACAGGCGTGGAGAGCGTCGTCGCCGAAACCATGAAAACGAGTGGCTCCAACGGCACCGGCGGTGGGAGCGAATTCGGATATGGCGACGGTGCGGCGGGGGTACAAAGACCGGAATGGTGGTCTACGGCGTTGACGCTCGGGCATCTGGAGACGAAGATGCATGCGGGGAAGGTGCTGGAGGGAAGTCCGGCGGAGTTCAAGCAGTTTTTGTTGGTCTATGCGAAGAAGATTTCTGATGAGGGATTTAGGGGTAAGGCGGAGGAGTTGATAAAGGAGTTGTTTGGGCCTGTTTATTGGAGGCCTGGGATGGGAGGTACGAGTGGAGGAAAAGAGGGAGAGGGGTGGAATCCGGTGATGTGCGGGATGCAGAAGAGGGATTTGTTGAGGGATGTGTTGGCGATTTTTGGTGAGTTCTCCGAATGCTCGCTCTCCTCTGGTTTGCGAAAACAGTGCTGAAGAATGATTGGTTAATAGCTCGGAGCAAGACGTTGGCGAAGTTGGCCATGGACTGGCAGGATCTGTTAAGGAAAGCGGCTGCGGCTGGTGATGATTGATCCTGATCTACCTGAGTTTTCATCTTGTTCCACTTCCGTCTTACTGCGGGTCTCATATGTTGTATCTTATTGCTTTTACCTACCGCCATTGATCAACCGATTCTTTCCCCTGCGTGGCATATATGATACGTCGTTGTTTCCTTGTATGCTAGGTCCTTCACACCCACGGAAGCCCGTTGCATGTTTTCTGTGGTTTCTTTACCGTTCTTCTGCCGCGAGATATCATCCAGAAACGGGCCACTCCGAATCATCCTGTGAATAGCACAGCTGGCAGGAGTAGAGCCCCCAGACAACAACTGGACCAAATCAAGTAAAGGCGGCGTACAGGTATGCTTGAGGATTGTCAGACGGAGGCAGGATCTTAAAGCGCGACTTGTATGCGGGTCAAAAACCATGACAATGACAATACAACGGGACAACTTGATATACAGCTCAACATTGGAGGATTAGAAGGCATTGAGGGTATACAGAGATGAAGAACAGAGCGATGACGAAAGCACGACGACGAATGAGGATGGGACGGTGGTAAGAGGGTGACTATGAGCAAGCTTGTACAGCTACATCGTTACTAGTCGGGGCCAAACGTGGTTTCCTCTTCTTGGTTTTGGGCTTGGTCTTGCCTGCTGCGGCGTTGTCCGTCGTGTTGGGTGCCGTGTCTGACCGCGACCGGGGGAGCTTGCGTTTCTCTAGGTAGTAGGGAGCAGACGAAAGAACAAGAGAGAATTGCGTTAGCGTGATGAAGCACACGCCAGAAACCCACCGTCACCACCAGGACCCAAGACGAAAAGGAGAAACACATACTGCTACTGGGTTTGCTCGACTTCACAGCTCTTCTCGACCAAGTCCACTTCTCCATATCCAAGAACCACATAGGCTCGACCCCCGGCGCAATGACCTCCCCGAGTTTTTCTATATCTTTCGTCGGGATGGCCCCCTCGTAATTCGTTCCCACGCTCAACGCGAGGTGGAAGTTGATTTTCCCCTGTTTGACAGGATTTAGGAAGTACTGTCCATCACAGAGGAAGACGATCTTGATACGCGGATCGTCCGGTATCACGCCCGTCTTTTCGTCGAGTAATATGGTGAGAGCCTCTATACACGCCGCATAGTAGTTTGGAGTGATTCCACGCTCATCGCTGACGATGGGATCGAATCCGTGACTTTGGACGAAGCGGAGAGCGCGGTCTTTGTCAAGAATCCAGCCGTAGTGCATGAGTGGTGGAAGGAAAGTTCGCTTTTCGGATGGTTCGGGGACGAGATACTCTGGAATGCCTTCCAGTGGTTGACTTCGAAAAGCTTGAGCACGATCCTAGACATCAAATACGAGAAGTGAGAAAGCAGCTAGACATTGTAGAGATGAAAAGGAAGCTGACCGAGTCGGTATACTTCAAAAGAGGAGGATTAATCTCAGGGAAGAAGAGGGGAGGTTGCTCGGGTGAAGACTCGGCGGACATGACAGACGAGATTGAAAGACTTTGGGGCGATGGAAACGGTGCAATGAGGGAAGACGAAGACAGGTGAAAGGTGTGTTCACTGTTCAACACCACGTTTGGAGCATGTGATCACGGGTCCGGTTTGCCCGTAATTTGCCGATGTGTCGTTCTTTTGTTCCACCACTTAGGGAACAAGGTAGGGACCCAGCACGCTTAATTCATGATGACAAAGGCGGTACGGCATGACTATGACACGCCTCATATATATACTCTTTGTCGATATATCTTGCTGCCCTTATCTGCTGTTGACCGACGCCAGAATATTTCACAAACGCCATGCCGCCCCGTAGAAATAACAGTAGTAAGTGGCAACACTCCTGAGTATGCTCGACAAAGGCACTGATTGAAGGTCATTTCAGACACAAGGCCGAATATAACCCCTCATAACCCATGGAAGCACCCAGTGACCACGCCGTATGCGACGATCATCGCAGAACACAAGACAACGTTCAGAGACGTCGAGATGACGGGAGAGCACGAGCATCTGATCCACAGACCGATTAATACGGTCTTGACTTATCAGGCTTTAACGCAGTCACAGAAGATGTCGGGCACTGGACGCTTCCTCACTATAGGTCCTCAAGGTCCACTTTTTGCTCATGGAAGACCAACCCCTATATCCGCCGCTGGATCGTCGACGAGTACGCTTCGTCTTGCTCTTTCCTCAGTCTCGGCTCCAACTCATTCACACAACTCTTCTATCTTTTTCAGTCGAGTACAACGTGAAGCGTAGGCGCCGCCCACGGGCCGCAACTCGACCAAAGGATGACGATCCAGACTCTAGTTCAAGCAGTTAGTGTTCCTATCTCTTGATAGACTGGGTGCAACTAAATTTTACCCTGCCCTCCGCTTATTTATAGGCGAATCATCGGCCCCAGTCAATGTCCCAAAACTCCGTCCGGGGCAGTACGGGAACAGGTTGCACGAATATGAAGCGTCTTCGGATGAAGAAGATGAGAATGAAGATGAGAATGAAGGTGAGGATGAGCACGACGACGAGGATAAGGACGACGATGAAGAGGATGATGAAGACTATAACGAAGATGACGACGAAGACGATGAAGATACAGAAGACGAGGACGAAGATGATGACGATGAAGATATTTCCGCTCGTGAAGGTGTCTCCTCGAATCCTTCTGCCCCTATAACTCAGCCACCCTCGTCCACCCGCTTCGTCGATTTCAACATCTATGTCAACATCATCAATTCAAATATCCCGGGTGTCCTCGCTTGCGTCGTAGAAGTCAAACCCTTTCCGTTCGACAAGATAGAACAGGGGATGACTCCCATAGAGGCCATTTACCAGGCAATGGACGACATGCTTCCACAGGTCGTCCAGCAGGTCCAGTACGCTTTCCACCAGTACTGCGAGCTCCAGGAGATGCACGCTTTGCTGTTTGTCTCCGCATATTGCAGGTTCTTGAAGTTCAAGCGTAACAAGGTCCCCGACTTACCTCACGTTGATGACATTCCCGAAGACGGTTTTAAATTCGACGAGACTCAGCGTCGTAGGAAGATCAACAAGATTGCAGAACGAGGTGGACGCCACATCGTCTTCCGCCTGTTCAAGGGAAATGACTACGATACGGCCTTCAAAAGGGGAATCACTCGGATCGTTCGCTTCGCGACGAATATCGCCATGCCCCAGCCCCAGCAGTAGGCAACGATGCATGCGGCCGTACGTTTCCACACCTCCTGCTAAACCGGTTATGATGTAAACACTGATCTATCGCGTTCACTCGTACTCACAGAACATCGCGGTCTATCATGTCCACTTATTCGCGCCTTCTCTCTCTCTGGTTTGTATCCTGCAATCGTTGTTCTGTTTGTAAATGTCCATACTTGTATACCACTGCTCGCTATCGTTTCGTTCTCACAAATGCTATCCCAACTGCTATGTTTCTAATATGGTGACTGCAGCGATGGCTGCGAGGCATAGTCGTGCGGTGCTCAACCTCTTACCATGCCTCAAACCAGGAGATGGAGGTTCACGAACGTTGCAAACCCTATACTGATTCACGTAAGATAGTCGAAATATTTCCCCTGGCTTATTTGTCCAGTAAGGATGTTTTTGAAGGTTTTCCGCCGCGAATGTAGATCGTTAGCCATCCCTGTTTCTTACATAATCGAAACGTTCGTTTGCTTGACCGTCGATGATGTTGGGCACAAGATAAATAACTATGCAAGATACACTGAATTGGTCCACATTCCATGCTTGTCGATGACGAAGGTGAATCCTCAGGCTCTGGTTTGCCTCTACTTAGTTGACTGCTGAATGTAAAATATGGAAGATTCATGTATGCTTGCGATATATTCATGTGGCTCAGCTTGGACCTCCACGATTCAGAAACACGGTGCACACTGCACGCCACACGCTACATGAAGACTCAGCCTCCTGCACTCGGACTGTCACCATCGGCCCTACCAATAGCGCAATGTACGCCTTGCAGCTCACGTCCATCGCGTCATTTTCCAGTGTTATCGTCGTACAGTTCTTTGATACGCGTGTCAAACTTCCGATCCGCTCGCTAGATCTCATTTGGGTCGCCTTTCGTGTTGTCCCCCGGGCGGAAACCCACAGATAGCTGGTATCGGGTGCACGATTCGACACTTTTGCTAAGGGTGGCGTTTTTTGCGCTGACTGTCCTAGTGTGAGCCCCTCCCAATCCGATCGTCACGTCAGAGTGGGCTATACAGAGATATAACAGATACTGAATCGACTTGGCCATGACGATACATCGCTCGTCTACGCCTGGTTTGAGACTCCTCACTCGCCCAAGAGTCTTCGATACTATCGAACTAGAGTCTTTGGAAGCTGAACCCTCTTCTGGTCAGAGAAATCACTTGCTGTCTGAATACTTGACTCTAAACCCATGACAATCTCATCCTCGACACCGCCGGGCCACGACACACAACCACTTCTTCGCGATCGCTCCTCAGGATCGCCACAAGGAGACGCAGCTTCACTATTCTCCCTTCTTGACTCAAAGCCAACTTCTTCAGTATCACGAAAATATCGTGATACGGGCTCGCCTGCATCATACGAGTCGACTTCTAGTACCGACTCAACATTACAGACCGACGATCTAGTAGAACCTGATGAGGAAGGTTCGAGGTTTTCAGAGTCGTTGATAAGACTATTCGGAAGGAGGGGAGGGAAGGAGAGAGCTCTAGAGCTGGACGTAGACGCATGCGCGACGAGGAGATCAGTGTTCGACGATGACGTGTTGGCAAAACATTATTGGCCGAAAGAGGATTATGAAGGGTTTGAGAGGTTCGATGTGTCGGCTCGATGGTCAGTGAGGGAGGAGAAGGTTCGTTTAATTCCCTTTTCAAGATTTCCTTGCACCCAGTATCAAGAAATTGACGCTAGGTGGTACCGTCTCAGGCATTGGTAAGGAAGATCGACTGGCATGTGATGCTATGGGCGGGAGTGATGTTTGCTTCGTTGAACATGGATCGAAGTAACCTTATTCAAGCGAATACGGATAACTTTCTGGGCGACTTGGGCCTGACAACAGATGGTGCGTACATTGTGAAAGTTTGTGGTGTAGTCTGACGGGGTTTCCACTCTTCGTGAATATGCAATAGATTATAATTTGGCAAACAGCCTGTTTCGAATAGCATTCTTGCTCTCGGAGCTGCCCTCCCAAATGATAGCAAAGCTTGTGAGTAAATAGATTTACCCACCCTCCGTCGTATAGAGGCTAATACTCGCACCTAGATTGGGCCAGATCGATATGTTCCCATCCAGATATGCCTGTGGAGTAAGTTCAATCGTCATCTAGGTGACCACACGGGACGCTGAAGGGTGCTGTCAGGTCTCGTCACTTGTTTTCAGTTCTTTCTCTCTGGTCGGCAATCGTTTATATGGTGTAGAATACTGATTGGGTACGCAGAATCTTCCTCAGCCATGTAATCATATATGAACAAACAAGGTCTTTTTCTTCGTTTGATAGGTTTATTCAAGGCGGGCGAGTCTTCCTACCACAGCATTCTCCCGCCATAATATTTAAGCGTGCTAATCGGTGTTACACGCAACATGACCGACTTCCAGCTTCATCCCAGAGATGGTCATCTACCTTTCCTGTCAGTCTCCATTTTTGTTCGTAACCTATGCACTCCCCTTTTCTGACCCTGGTGCATAGATTGGTATACGAAGACGGAACTCCCTATCCGACTATCATTCTTCTGGATGTCCTCCAACATCGCCACAATCTTGACGTCCTTCCTCGCGTTCGGAGTTTTGAACATGCGTGGATTCCTGGGGCAGGAGGGATGGAGGTTCGGTGTTCATCATTTTGCTACATGTATTGGCTCTGACAGAACGTATTGAATCGTTGTAGATGGCTATTTCTCGTCGAGTGAGTCCTTGTCATCCATAGATATCCTGGACGTCTTTATTCACTGGCAGACTGCTGATTACGACTTTCCCTTCCTTCTAGAGGCCTACTCACATTCACTGTCGGGGTGGCAACATTCTTCATGATGCCTCCAGGACCTGTGCAAACTAAGGCGTGGTTTCGCCCCGAGGGTTGGTTCACTCATCGAGAGGAAGTTATTTGTGTGACTCGGATCTTACGAGATGGTGAGGAATCTTGATGTCTGGTCCACGTAGGATGCTTGCTCAAATTGTCTTGCTTTCCTTGATAGACCCTACAAAGGCGAGTCCATACTATGTGATAGTGAAACATTGTATGGACTAACACAACATATGTGGTTTTGGCCATAGGGTGACATGCATAATCGAGAAGGATTAACTCTGAAAAGGCTGTGGAAAGCGTGTTGTGACTATGATCTTTGGCCTCTATATATCATGTATGTCCATCACATTCCTGTTTACTTACTTCGTCGAGGCCTTTTTTCCACTGACCATGAATGTAAACCCAGAGGCTTTGCGTTTGGTATTCCTGTTGGCCCACCGACGTCGTACCTCACTCTCTCGCTCCGCAACCTCGGGTATGTTCCCTCCACCTTCTACCCGCCAGGACAGAACCTATATCGGCATCAAATTCATGAATTGTCGTCTCCGCAGATTCGACACATTCACGAGCAATCTCCTCACTATTCCATCCGTGACCATAGGCCTCGTAACAGCAATCACCATCGTCACCATCTCCGAGAAAGTCAACGATCGCTCCATAGTCGCTATGGCCATGGACCTCTGGGTCCTACCGTTCCTCGTAGCGCTGTATTGGCTGCCAGAGGGTGTCAATCCTTGGATGACTTACGTACGTCTCCCTGTTCATCTCCTCGTGAAAACACTGACATGGAGTGCCATTGTCCAGCTTCTGATGACGGGTATGCTATCATATCCGTACGTGCACCCGATACAAGTGGCGTGGTGCTCGAGAAACTCGGGGGCTGTAGCGAGTAGAACTGTTAACGCATCCCTGTACAACATGTGCGTTTTTCCCTCCCGTTTCTTCGTCAGGTTCCTAACTCTGATATCCCGGCATATCGCATAGGATGGTCCAACTGAGCGCCGTGTTTTCCTCCTATATATACCGCGCCGATGACGCGCCACAATGTTTGTCTCCTTACTGTTCACATCTTCCCCATAGGCGATGGTGAGATGCTCATTGATGTGTAAAACAGATCATCGAGGCAACTATACCCTAATCGTGATCTGCTGCCTCAACCTCTTCGTTTTATACCCCGGAACCAAACTGTACTATACATGGCGGAATCGACAGAAGGCGAAGGTGTGGGATCGGATGACGCCTGAGGTACGTTTCACTGCGTTGGACGCGTATTCAAGCATCGAGTCTTATTTATCCTTTGGATGCGTAGGAACACTCGGCGTATCTGCAGATTACGGAGGATGTGGGGAATAGGCGGTTGGACTTCAGGTTTGCACACTAGACCCGAACGATGGAGCTCGATAGAGACTTTTGTCTATGACTTCGTAATGACATAAAACCCCGGCCATAGGATTCAGGAGGTGAAAATGGAACACAGATGTGGAAAATGGATATACATAGACATTGCGAGATTCGAGTACGTAGAGAGCGCAACAGGTGCAGAGAGAAATCAGGGATAGCATGGTGATGAGATTCTTCTTTTGAGGGAGAGAAGCGGAACTAGTCGTCTCCGATCTTGGGAGCAAGGTAGTACCGAACGTGACCTTGGCCGAAGAGGTACTCAACCTAAAAATGCCGAAGAAATTGTATATTAGTTTGCGAGAGTTCATGGTTATCGAGTATTGGAAAACGCACGAGAAGAGGTACGTCGCTCTTGAGCATGAGCCTGACTTGAGGAGCCAGCGCTGCACTCTTGGAGAAGTTGACGAGGTATTTAAGAGAAAAGGTGAGCGTGACGTGTTGCGACATCTCGATGAAAACACCCTTGACGGCGCCGTCCTCAGCTTCTGACTTCTTGGACTTCTTCTTGGGCTTGCCATTCTGGAGGAGAGTAGATATTGCGTCAGCATCGTGGTCATCATGTGGGATGAGGAAGGTGGAAAATGAAACGATACTCACGGCAGCGGGAGCCTTCTTTTTCTTCTTCGGCTTCTCTGAGTCACTCACCTCCTCCTCGCCCTCCTCGTCCGATTTCGCCTTGAACTCACCGTCCTCATTTTCTTCATCTGCGTTTGCCATTTCTTCATCACCGTCATCATCTCTCTCCTTCTTGACCTTCTTCTTCTCAGCCTTCTCCTTCTTCACCCTGCTCTTCCTCTTTTTGCTGCCTTCCTCATCACTTCCTTGATCCTCCTCTTCCTCCTCTTCGTCATCGTCATCCTTAGCGTTCGCCCCTTCACCGTCCTCATCCTCTTTGCCCAAATTTTCCCACTTCGTCCTTGCTTCATCGGTGTGTTTCATAAGAATCGAGCCATTGGCGCTCTCCCCGTCTGCCATGAACCTGACACCTTCCTTTGAAACTTCGATGCGGACGGATTCGCCGAGTTGGGAGAGATCTCGGACGATGCGGGAAAATTCGGCGGAGTACATGGTAACGGAGGCGTCATATTCAGTGTCAGGAATGCCGAGGGTGTCAGAGTCGATGTCCATAAGCTTCATGTCGTATTCCGCCATACGTTCATCATCTATTCAAGCCCAATGGAAAGTGTCATTTGATGAGTACTCAGGTAATTCACTATGCCTCGAATGGGAAAACTCACTTCTTGCCTCGTAAGTCAAACTCAAGATGTCACCGTCATCGCTCGCCTTCAGCGTACATGTATCATCATCCTTTGCACACTTCAAAACCTTTGTCAAGCTGCTGAGGTTGACGCCGAGCGGGAGAGGACGATCGCAGCGATAGCGTGTGAATCCAGTCGCGTCGAGCTTGGCGGAGCAGAGTGCGACGTGAGAGTTGTCCATAGCTTGAAGACTCTGATTACAATGACAGAAGTTGCATGAGAGAAGATGTGGACCGTTCAATAAGTGTGTTGTGGGGATATGCCACGGGCGTCGGTCAGACAAAGAGGACATGTGAAGTAGCGAACTGATGTATACTTACGATGCCTTCCTCGGTACACTCAAAGTTCGCATCTTGTACAAGTTCTTTGATGGCTACATACGCGCAAAACGCGGTGAATACCAAGCAAAGTTTACCGACACGCGCCCGACTTGACGCGTATTTCCGTCAAAATTGGACACATACCATCGAGAAGACGCTTCAAAGTAGAAGCTTGGTCGAGTCTTGCTTCAAGCATTATAGAGTCTTTTTGGATGATCTGAAAGATCGAGGAAGGGAAGGAGCGGGCGAGAGGAGATGGATGAGCGGAGAAAGGAGAAGAGACGCGTCGGGCGCTTTCAACGTTGTCACGGCTATCTTTATGCGACGCGGTCGTCACAGTGTCACACCGCGTTTGGGTGGCACCGCATGAGTTTGGCATGAGTGGCTCCTCTTCGTTTTGCCTTCCCGTCTCAAAGTCCATCTTAAATATAGTCCCCTATTTCCAGACGTTCGTTATACCCATTTTGTGGTTTCCTCGTGTCAGACTTGCGTAAGTACTAGGCGGCGTTGCTGATCAGACCGAAGAAATATGCAAGGAGCATTTGAGGAGCATGCAGGATATATTTTGTGGATTCGTAAGCATAGGGTATACCATACACAAAGTCGGTAGATCCCAGAGAGTAGTGTGCTAGTAAGTGCTCAGCTCAAGGAAGATACTCCACTCGTTTTAAGATCCGCTGGTATCCTAGGGCGGATGGAGGGCACCCAGACGGTGTCGTACATCCTGATAGCATATTGAGCATCTAAGGTTCACAGATTAAGTTGGGGCCAAAAAACGCACGATGGAGAACCGTCAGCAGCGAACGTAAATGGTTCGAGCGATCCAAGTTGTGCCGAATCGGTACAGCATGCTGAATTTCTATAGAGGAATAATCATTACAAGTGCCACAGATATTGTAGAGGGACAAGAGCACTTACACGCCCCACACTGGTCAAGGAAGAAACAGTTTATTAGCATGGGAAAAAACGACTTGAAAGGAGAGCTATGAAAGAAGCATACGAGGTCCAGCAGCCCAAGCACTCCAACCGATGTACTCATCATTCGCGGCCATATAATCAATGAGTTGCTCAATAAATTCGGAGCACATCTCGTTCGAGGAGCCCCCAAATTCGGTGATCATTGCCCTGAAAATCGTCACAAGTGAGAAAGTATACGAATATGAAGGTAACAGGTGGATAATGTACTTTAGCCCGTGCTCTTGAAGCCATGAAGTTAGAAAGTCGAGGTTGGCCGGACCACTCTGAACGCAAGCAGAATGCGAGCCAGAGAAGTCGGTGTCAAGATACTACAGCGTTAAGTGTGCGCCACACCCCGAGTCAGAAGAATCCCTTGGCCAACGTATAGCCAATACGGCATACCTCGTGAATGTCGATAGCGGTATTATTGAGAGGATCCTGAAGCATGAACATGAAGTCGGACGAAGGCTGACCACCCGCAGATTGATTCCAGGAGTGTCCACCGGTGAAGCCATTGCCAGGAGCGATGATCAACTGTGTGGCGCCAGCGGAGCGAATGCCATTAATGGCTGCCTGGTCATTTGCGAGGATGAGGCTGGTGTCCATGCTGTACACAGTCGCGTTGGTTCTGTATAAGAATATTTGCGTGAATGGGTTCGCGAGATGACTCACTCGTGAGGCTCGTTGTTAATACCAAATCTAAGTCATTGCAATGGCACAGAGGCTGCTTCAGTATCCTGATAAAATGTTACATTCATCAAACAAAGACTCACATGACCTTCTCGTTGTCCGCAAACCTAGACGCAAGCTCCGCCCAGAACTCCTGAAATTGTGCTGTGGTCGCAGCGGCAGGATCCGTTGTGTCTCCAATTATACTTCCTGTGTTGGGCTGCTGGGATGGGTCGCTACATAAGAGATCATGAGAATTAAGTCACTGAGAGTCGTATGTCAAATCGATTCACTTATAGCGCATGTAGTTGTGCGGCTATTTGTCGAAACCTCCGGGTCAGGCAGCAGGATTACGTTATGAGATAATACTGAGTATACGCACGTCAAGAATGGCATAAGCACCCTTCGTAACCGTGACAAAATCGACGGCGTCTTTGAAGAAACCGAAGTGCTATAAGATAATATTAGGCCTCAGACTAAGCACGAGATTGAAGGCGAGCAAGAAGTCGCACCGTCTCGTTGAAGTTGCTGCCCAAACCGTTTTCTACAGGGACCATACGCTCCATAAGAAATGCAATGCGGAAAAGATTGATCTTATCCACATCTACAAATTGGCTAACTGTAGTCTACGGAGCAGAAAAATCAGTCAAAAACTGTATAAGGAACAGAGCGAGAGAGACTCGCCTCGTTTAGGAACGCGTAATCCACGTCAAATCGACCAGGCAAACCAGTCCCAGGCGTAGCGGAAGAGCTGAACACTCCGAATTCTCCTCCAGATTCTGCAACACCAGCGTACAGAATCTTCCCGACAACAGAAGAAACAAAAAGTGTGGCACAGGTAAGATGGGTCAGCATGCCGATGCGTTTCGTACAAGTTGAATACGAGATGAGGAAGGCCAGCAGCGATGGGTTATGATGCTCGATCGCTTGTGAATCTTAAGACTTTACAGCCCTCGCAAATGAAACCAATATAGGACCGCTTACTACTTGACGACTCCGATGAGGCCATCACCTGCGCACTCGGACGTGCGTAAAACTTTGACCCATCGACCGTGGTTGCACCGAAACTGTATTCCACAAGTCTCACAGTAATGACAGTAAATTGCATCCGCAACCTCAAAGACCCTTGGAGCACAGAGAGGTGAAATGATCTTCAGGAGCGAAAATCTCATTCTTGCAGCTTACCACTGAGTAGGAGTGGAGACCGGAGGTAAGTATATGGAAGCGCGACGCATCGTGAGGGAATCATATGACCTTTGGTCTCTGGAATCTCCTTGAGTAAAGAGCCAGGAGAAGAATCGGAAAAGCTTCGGCGGGGTTGATGCTTTTATGTGGTGAGATTTACTCGAGCCTCGAGCCAGGAAGTCAGGGTGGACCGATCCCGTGTTGTCATGGATAGTAGTTGACCAGTCTCGTGTGAGAATAAGTAGGTAGGAAGGAAGGTTGGATCGATGGGAGTCCTAGCCCGCGTAGACAGTGTCTGTGCGAGGGAGGAAGGACAACACGGGTCATTCAGGCGACGCTTGACAGCGCTGAGGCGTCTGACAAGTGGCGCGTCAGACGATTTCCTCTTTCGCTGATGTGCCAGCTAGCGATTAGGCTACCAATGACCTCCTACTAGAAAAGGAGGTTCATTGATGGACAGCAAGGATAGACACGAGCATGAGTTATGCGCATGTAAAAGGAGATCGTTTCATTTTGGGAATCGGCCTCGGGTAGTCCAACCATCAGCTTGATTCTGCAAGAACCTAGCGGTGGAGAACCCTGGAGCTACTGTTGGATCAGAGCGTCCGTAAAAAGCTAGCAAAAAGCGCTTCTAGTCAGGCTGCGCGACGAATGGATGATGCACCTTCGGATCCGGGGCTGTAGCCCAACTTTTCATCAAGCTGACACGGACCAAATGCTGATGAACGTCGCTCTGTACGCCCAGCACCAGACTTCAAACCTGCTCGCAGTAACGGTATTCATGAAGAGGCCTGAACGAAACTCTCGAAATGGCCTCGCACCCTTCTATTCGAGCAGAAAACCTCTAATAATTTCTTCATCACGATTCTTCTTGTCAAGACCAGGGAATGAGAGAGAGGAGACGTGGTAATAGACCAGGGGTTTTACTCTGTGAGGGACGACGGATCCGGTACCCGAACTAGATGCGCATCCACGGTACTTATGGTCGGATTGAGTCTTCGTTTGCATAGGACCGTCGACGCTCGGCGCTCGCTAAAGGACGAGAAATGCGGATTGAATCGCCGACACAATCATAAGGATGCCTCGTGGCGTACGTGCGTGGCGCCGTCCGGCGCTCTCCAATTCTTTCCCCTTTCCTTACGATCCCCTTGGAGCTCTCCATATCTACCGCTCTATTACCGTTGTTTGCGCGTACTGTGGCACTCAAAGGGTCAAGTTGTTACAGACACCATTCGCATCATAGGTGTAGATCTCTGGAACGGGTCACCGTCGAGAGCAAGGAGAACTTGTTCTAAGCCACGTCTCAGATCTCAGGTGCGTTAGCTGGGCTATGAGGTTGGACCCCAGATCATGATCAAAGATCTCAAATGCTGTAGTGTCCATACATTATTTGGGTTGGAGTGACCACGAATCATTTTGTTCGTCGTCATCACGGGACAACACGCAGGACCCTTGGTCATCGACGTACTAAGCAGTCTGACCATGCCCGAACAATCTCTATCGTGAGTATACGCACCCTTCAACTCTTCTAGATTGATCATACCGTGCAATAATCCTTTCTTTCACTCACTGATTTTTTTTGGCGTGTCGTAGGTCGATCAACGACATTCCTGTTGAAATCATGCAGGAAATACTCTCACTTCTATCGTCTGCTAGGCGGAGGCAGGAAATCACCGCAGACTTGCTTGCTTTGTCACTAGTAAACAAGAGGTCTCTGGCAACTGCTAGGGCAGCACTATATCAGCGAGTTCACCTCGATGCTTCACCCTCGCGTTCTGCCATCCACGATTTCACAAAGACCATCTCTGAGCATCCGTGGCTCGCACCCCTGGTGAACGAGATACAGGTCACTACTCTGATGGGTCCAAACGGCGAACTCGAGGTATCCACGCTTGCATGCGCTATTTCTCAATGCACATCCCTGCGTGCTGTTGATATACGGGGGCTAAGTGCCGTCTCGACATCCCTCCTTGGCGTCACTCCTTACCCGTTATGCCCGCGAGGCGTGTTAGATGAACTCTTCACGGCGCTATCCGCTCTTCCTGACATGCGACGTATCTCTCTTCGACCGAAGGAAGTCGCAACTTCACCTGCTAGACCCGTATGCGATGTATACTCAATATTGGCCTTGATACATCGGTGGCCTAAGCTACAGACCCTCTTCGTTGGCTTCAAGACGTGCGGGGAAAAGCACTGCGGTGCGCTTTCTCCAGCATTCGTAGCTTCACACCAGGCCCACGACGATCTACCATCACCTTATCTTGGACGATGTCTCTTCCTGAAGCATATCACGTACCCAGACGTGATTAGTGTCTCGCAACTAGCCACCTTATCAGAGATCGCGCCAAACATCACAGAGCTCCTCTATAGTAGAGATCCACGCTCGATGAGAGTGGAATTTCCCACTTTAGCCCTCGCGCCTGCTCTCCGAGCGTGGTCCGATAACCTCGTTCAACTCATTCTTCCCCGGCCAAGCTACTGGCTTGATCATCGCGACAAACTCATCCTCCACTTTGGAGGTAACGTAGACGACTATTTGACGACCAACATCGCGGGCATCATCACTCAGATGCCCTCACTACGCGTTCTTGGAGTGCCCAGGGCCTTTATGTCCCCCGAAGATTTCATCCGAGGCCCAGCCAACCTTGTCCGGCTGGACTATTACCTGCCTGTGCTCGAGATGGATGTGATCGTGAAAATTTTGACGGAAGAACGGTTCTTTCCACAGTTGAGATATCTGTATATCTCCGAGGGTGAACATTGTGGATGCTTCGGTGCATTGGCGGCTTCATTCGCGGGTCGTCGTATCACGATCTACGAGACTGCGCATGAATGGAGAGAGGCACTAGAGGAATGCACTGGACAGGATTAACTGGCTGTGGAGCGTAAGGGCAGAGACCGTCTGAAGTGGAGATAGTCAAGTAAACCTCACAATCCAACCCTTGGAGTCGACGATGGTAACACGTCTTCATATACTGTTTTCGGGCTGTCGTGTCTCGATACTGATCGCTGTGGCTGAACATCCAACGAACGTCTACGATTGACTACATTTTGGTCCAGGCTGAAGTGTACAAAAAGAATTCGTCTATATGTTCTACACTGTACAAACGAACCGTACCCGACACGACGCTAAACCCAGAGAAGCAGAAAAGGAAAGGAGCAACAGGCGAACATTGACACGAGCTGTTCACGGTCGTATCATGTCGTTATAATCGTACGAAATTTACTGCGAAATACTAGTCAGTTCATCGAAACGCAATCGAAAACTTGATAAATGGGAGAAACACACAGCAGAGTCGTACTCTTCAATGAAGAGGTTAATTGTAGGACCACCGCGCAAGACCGCCATGGGTCCGACCTCAGAGGAGCATAGCGCACGGCGTACGCGGTTGGTAAGTCCTGTGGGGCCACAAGCTGAATAGGAAGTAAGTGGGTAGAAACCGACAGCTGGATCGCAATGAAGACATACCATTTACTGACATACTTCCCCGGGCCAGAGAAGCAGCCGTAGTAAGAAGCGTTTCGATATCAGGACGGCCAGGCTCGATGAGAGTATATGGAAGATTATGAAGCCTGAGCATGCTCTTCTCCTCAAGTTCGGGATCTGTGCCGTCGGTCACGGATGACGTCTCGCTACTGGCCGGAAGCGACGAGCTGGGAGGAGAGGTGATGAAGACACGAATTTCGAGGGTGACTGAAGGCGGTATCTCTTGAACAGCTTGTCTGAGGTCTTCGTATACGAGATTCATATGATCTATCGACATAAAAAAGTGGTAAGCTGCCAAGAAACTGCTCAAAACCCCATCTAGCATACCGGCATGACGAATGGCCCAGATGAACACAATGTGGCGGCATGTACCCTGATTCATGCGCGCACGGCTAGAAAGATATCATTAGCGCCAAGCGATCAATGAACAAAGTTAGACGCACTGGATAAGGTCAACGAAAAGAGGATTTGTGAACGCCACACCGGAACCGCCTGACAACACGGTCATGAGCAAAATGTTGTTGAAGTTAAGACATAGTATGAGTCTCACCGGCGATGAAGACAACAGTGTCAAAGCCACCGATGCTCGGTGGCGACCCATAAGCAGCATCTACAAAGATCCTCAGTGTTTCACCCTTCTCAGCAATCTTCAACAGTCGTCGAGTGAATCCCTTCTGTGCGTTGACCAGGAACACCATATCCTTTCCATGACCCTCGGCAGCTATGCCCTTCTCGTCGGGGGCCTTGGAGGCATGGCCGACGTCGGCATTGGCGATGGTGAAGGGGTGGTTCTCGAAAGGGAGGACGGAGACTCCGGGCATAGTTAGACAGGCACTCTGTCCTGCTGCCCAGCCGATATGTTTTGGACGACGAATGGTCAGCCGTACGTAGCCTGGAGCAGCAATCTCTGCCGTTGCGTTGAACGTTCCAAGACCGGACTTGAAGCCGAAGTACGAATGGTTGAAGATAACGACACGAATGGTCCGGACAACTCGGTCGAAACCCCAAAGAACGAATGAAGGCCAAATGAACATGTCGTAGCTGGGTACGAAACAGAGGAGTTGAGATGTTCAGAAGCGCCACTACAGAAAGAGAGAAACTTGCCGTTTTTGTTTGACATGATAATATCCACCAATCATGTATATTCTGCCATGTTATGAGGTCAACCACGAATCGGTGAACAAGAGCGGGCAATACTCACAGAATCATGACGAAATGAAGGATGATAAAAGTCTCATAGCTCAGAGCGCGAGCCGGTTTAACGGAGACCAAGCATAAGAACGCCAAAGCTACCATGCTCGTCGTCCCAGCAACCATCCAGCCTTGCGATATCGAATTGTGACCCGAAAGGCTTATAAGGCGTGTAAGTCAGATTGCAGCATACTGGTTATGTAGTTTGAGTACGCACCCCTGGGCAGCCTTTGAAAGTTAAGCAATATGAGTTAAAGTCAAACTGACTATCTCTTTGAGACAAAGTCTATGGCACTCACATAACCACCAGTGTGAATGAGTAAAAGAACACAGACGATACGCGAAGTCATTCGGTGGAAGTAGTTGAGCTAGCAAAATGCATAAGAATTGGTTCGTTTCAGCGGAACGACCTACTGGAATCACCTTATCAAAGCCCACGCCGGTAATCCCTGAAGTAGAAAACGAGGATCATCAGTTACAGTGAAATAACAGAGAAGAACTGTGGACTGACAAGATATGACATTGTTCTTCATGGCCAGTGCGACGACGAGGGGCGTCTGGAGAGTGGCGATATTCCCCGATAGCTCGGCGTAGAGCCCCACTGAGAGAACTCCGTTCGATTTAGCTAGAAGAAGGAGTAAGCGTCGTGGATGGATTATTCGTATTCAACAAAAAGAAAACTCACAACTGACGAACGTGAAAAACATCATGATAAAGATGTAGACCGCCGTCAAGACTACCTCAGCCACGTTGAGCGTGTATCCGGCACCGAGGGGAACGATGCATCGGAATGCAACGATTCGATACGCGTTGACAGCCGCTAGATGTAACCGTCTAAGAGATATAGCACGAGTCCGTCGAGGTTCTTCGACTGAGTCCTCAGAAACGTGGAAATAACCGCGCCGATGGAGGCAAGCATGAATGGTCGTGATGATGCGTACGACTCCGCAGATAAAGATGAAACCAGCAACAATATACCAGACTTCATAAGGATATGTTTTGTCGTGGGCGTGATAGGCTGCCTTGGCTGATTTGCTTGTGGAAGTAGAATAGGTAGAGGAGGAAGACGATGCAGATGAGGTGGATGAAGAGTTCGACGAGGATGACGAAGAGCCTGAATAGCCGGAATCACCGTGGCCCATGATTTGACCTGTATGAAGGGAAAGAGAGAAAATTCGATGGGGAAAGATACAGGAAGTGGGCTGCTCTTGTAGAAACGAAGTGTCGCACTCTCTTGACTTTAAATGGCACGCACTCGTAAAATAAATGGCGGAGGAGCTGCGGATGCTGACGTCCAAATAAAAACATACTGGCAGAAAGTCACGTCGAGGGATAATCCCGATCCAGGAGGTGTCGTTGTTTACTGCCGCCAGGGACGCGGTCTGACAGGGATCGTGTTGGACGCGATTCACGTCCTAGACCGTCGCATCTGGCAGAGCCGATTATCGAGGGAGAACTTGTTCCAGAGCCATCAAAGACCCAGCAAACTACAAATGCATGCGTTTGTTACTCCTGTTGCACCTTCATAGCAGTGAGACGGACCTGCAGGAGCTCAATGTGCATCCTTTGTTGGCGGTTCCGGGAACAAGGCGGATCGTGTCGTCATTTCCCGTTCTCGAGATATACAATCGATAGGAAAAGCAGATCTTATCAGATAGGGCTGAACGGCGATAGAGTGATCCTCTCTCGCCCGAGGTTGTTATTCTTCAACAGTGATTTCCATAAAAGGTCACCGCAGCGCAGCCGCAATGCCACTCCGGCTGCAGATTCATATCCAATGGCCATCTCAACCCCCATTAAACCCGATGACACTTGTCGGGTGGGTGATCTTATCAGATATAGATGAGCCGTCCTCGGGATAGATTGAATCCTCGGCGACCGACATCTACTCCCCGGCCTCAAGTGTCTCAATCGCCCATTGGCAGGGAGGACCATAAAAATTCTTCCATGACACAGACCGGCATAGTGGTATGTCTGCTCCCGCCCTGCAGCTTTACATCAGCCACATACATCAAGGCCGACAGGAATGGAGCAGCTGGGTGTCCAGAACCAAGGAAACATCTTCAAGTTGCCACATATCTTCCAGAGAAATATGTAGAAAGAGCGAGAGATCATGGCTGACGCTCGCCAACTTGGATCGTCCAACTGAGCTGGGTCCTTGTGCCCCCACAGGCCAAAACGAAACCGTAGTCTCCCCGATGTAAAGTCCACGTACCCCAGATGAGTCCAAAAGCCTCGATCATGGCGCTTTGAAAATCATCGAGTTATCTGATACGCCAACAGCACATGTCATTCCATTAATGCGGATGAAGATGGCCCCGAACTTTCCTCCATCTACAGTAGTCAACCCAAGCTTGCCATCGCACCGCATGAGCAAATGAGAACAGTACCCATAAAGCCGACGAAACATATTTTTAGATGATGCTCGTTATACTTGTCAAAAAGACGAGGTGATCTGCCTTCAAGAAAAACGTTGGGCATTCGGTAGCAAAAAGGCGTGGGTTCGCTAACTCACTGTGAGCGCACCGTTATGGATTCTGGTGCTTGAGAGCAACACGAGCGTGCTTCCCTACAGCTAATGCATGGGTGAGAGAATGGCATAACATGAGGTGGAGACAATTAGGAAGTGGCCGTGCCCCGGTAGGATAGTTTGGGTTCGGACGTTAATGCTCCACCATTAAGAAATCTAGGACAGGAGAGCAGGAAGCTGACGCGCATGCGATGACGGCCCCATAGCAAACACCTGAGCTGAGCTTGATGAACTCTGAAGTCTACGTAGCAACTCACCACCGTGCCGAACCTCCCCAAGCCGAGACATATTCCATAAAGCATTTCCGTTCTATCGTCCTCGTAAAGGTTTACCAGTTGAGGAGTGGAGGAGATGGATGGCCCCTGGTCACGGAACGTATCCGACACGAAAGAAAAAAAAGGATGTTCAGGTTCGCTGCCATCAAGAGGTCGCACTGAAATGGAGAGCACCGGTGCATATCGGAGCATAAAAGAAACAGACCATGAACGAAGTACCAATTCGGTCTCGCCTAGCAGTCGACGCGATGTGAACGGACAAAAGCATGTGGAAATCATCATGACAAAGAGAGCATGCGGAACCGACGTTGTTTGTCCAGCAAAATCTGTATGTTATTGCGGTTAGGCGTAATGAGCCACATGCAAATCTACAGGGCCAAAGAGACGGATGTCTAGAAAGGCCTATCACACAGCATCGTTATCTTTGGCAGCTAGGAAAATCGCCCATTGTGACGTGTACCAGAGCCCGAAGTAGGAAACATTGCTCTCATCCGATGTCCTCGAAGATAGCTGATGTCTCTATCATGCGAGGCCTCGCCCAACCAAGGCATGTTATTCATATCGCAGATCATCGTCCCGCAGAAAAGAGCCATGTATGGACCAATTATGCCATCCAGAAGCATCCAGACCAGTCAATAGCGGAAGATACGGAGTATTACAGCCCCACAGGTCGGCGGCACCTGGGTTTAATTTTGCGATATAAAATATGGATGGGCTTGCAACGAGAGAAAATAACGGACATCGTCGTGGCTGTGAGATTAACTAGGAATCGGCATCAAGAATTATAGATCGAAGGTTTCATGAACCCCGCAGAGCAAGCGGTGGATTGAGGGCAGCACCCTGTATGTTCACCTCGCAATCGCAATACCTGGCAGAAAGCCTCCTGAATGATGTGTTTGAATGCACTTGGGAGAACATCGTGGGCGCTGAGGGAACTCAAGCCATCAAATGTACCAGTGGGGAATGAGTCAGTATAGTAGGAAGAAGTTGACGAGAGGAAAGGGCCATGGCCTGCGAGCCTGTTCTAAGGTCAGAATGTCCTAGGCTTATAGGTCACGAAAACAATCTTGGCTCAGAGATGGTTCGTAGCTTTTAAGTCTTTCGTGTCACATCCGCGATGTTGAATCTAACCTCTGACTGGAGCCAAAGCCCATGGAAATGTGTGTCCAGCCAACGTCCAACCTGCCAGCGAGGTGACTCCAGGCAGAAGATTCGCGGGGGCTACACCCAGGAAGTGGAGCAAAGCGGCAAGTTTCTAGGCATTCCTACCGTTCATGTCGTTTACCACCAACATGTACACTCTGCGTACTGCCGGTGCCTTCAACTACACTGGTCAATCACCTTTGAGTACAATTGCGACTGACCTTAAAGTTAGCCGTTTTGTGCTTGTGAAAGACGCCGAAGAAAGAACAACCATAACCGCGCATTAGAAGCCAAGAAGGAGCCAAGAGACCACAGAGCACAAGTCGGAAGATCATGGGGGAACGCAGTCAAGTTCGTTGGCCGCCACACAGCTGCCATCAAACCAATCACGTCGATCTTCTTTCATCTCAGATAAGATAAGATAAGATCTAAATGTACTCCTCGCCATGACTCGGTGGACTGAACAATCTTGTACTTATTTAATTCTCACATCCTACCGTCACCTCGAACCGCTCCTTTAGTTAAACAGGACTGTTTAGAAATGCCTATTCTAGGACTCGCACCCTCATCTACACCCATTAAACCCGCTCATTTCGACATCGAGCGGGTCATTCGACCAAATATTCTCGCTTTGCACCCATACCGCTGTGCACGAGACGACTACTCGTCTGGAATCCTGCTTGATGCCAACGAGAACGCTCTAGGACACTCAATATCACCTGAATTGTCTCCTGACACCAAATCTAACGGCCACGCCGTCCCTGCGCCCGAAATAGATGCCCTCGAATCTACGCTAGACCTTGATCTTCATCGGTATCCTGATCCGTCCCACCCCCTCATCAAATCCCGAATAGCCTCTCTTCGTGGGCTGCCTAGCACAGACCATGTGTTCCTGGGTGTAGGAAGCGACGAGGTCATTGACTTGCTGATGAGGGTCTGTGTGAAGCCGGGCGGAGAGGAGAAGATATTGACGACGCCGCCGACGTATGGGATGTATGGTGTTTGTGCGCAGGTGAACGATATTGGGGTTGTCAAAGTGAATCTGGAGCTTGGAGCGGAGCAGGGAGAGGGCGGAGAGAAGGGAAGGTTTAGTGTAAAGGTCGACGAGGTACGTTTGAGACTCTCAGCCACCACACATCGTACCCATCTAATATTGTCTTGCATTCACACATGTAGGTGAAGAAAGCTATCGACGCAGACCCAAAAATTAAACTCATTTTCTTGTGCTCTCCGGGGAATCCGACCGGCACACTCGTCTCCCTGAAATCCGTCCGGGAGATCCTCGACTACGAGCCGTTCAAGGGTATCGTTATCGTAGACGAAGCCTATATCGACTTCGCACCCACAGGCTCCAGTGCCGCTTCTCTCATTCCCGAATACGCGAACCTCTGCGTCATGCAGACCCTCAGTAAATCCTTTGGGCTTGCCGCTATCAGGTCAGTGCCACATTTCACTCCAGTCCGTTGGTTTGTATACTCATTTATTATGGTGGGCATGGTCATACAGGGTAGGAGTCGCGCTCGCGCAGCCTCCACTGATCCAGATCCTCACCAACACCAAAGCTCCATACAATATCTCCACACCAACCGCGCACCTTGCCCTCCGTGCCCTCTCCCCCGCCTCCATCACCTCCATGCACACAAAACTCAACGCACTCATCTCTTCCCGCTCCTCCCTTCTACAAACTATATCATCCCTTGCTCCACTCGGCGTCCGACAGGCTATCGGCGAACAAGACGCTAATTTCCTCATGATTCCTATTCTGGAGAAAGAGGGTGGAAAGCCAGATAATAAGAGGGCACAGAATGTTTATAAGACGATGGCGGAGGAAGAAGGGGTGGTAGTCAGGTATCGGGGAGGGGAGGCTGGATGTGAAGGTTGCTTGAGGATCACGGTGGGGAGTGAAGAGGAGAACAAGGTTGTGGTAGAGAAGTTGAAGAAGACGCTTGAGATGTTTTGAACGCTACCAGCACATGTACGTGAAGTTGAATGTCCGCCAAACATAGATAAAAGGGCAATGTAGCTTTAGATGAGCCCAAATATCAAGTACTCGATATTTTTGATGCGTACTATCGATACTCCAGCTCCTTGTGCGATGATTTCTGACTCTTACCGCCTACATGGCGTACATACTGTGCCGTTACTGATGATATCCGGTTTCTCTCAGGCACATTGAATTGTGTGGCGCATTTCCATCTTAGACAGACAATGTAGTATCACAAGGTTATATTTAGTAGGTATGTGCTTCTTCTAACGAGTCAGAGTGGTGGCATGACCACCTATCAGCGCTATATATCAGCCCTGCTTACCTCTTTCACCACGGTGAAGAATACGTCTTTGGCTTCGAGGTTGTCCACCGTCACTCGGCCGGACTCCTACCAGCGTCTGTTTACTATAGGCCTAATGATGGGCCGTCCCCACGTTTATGAGATGATCATATGCTCGACCCTCTATCTAGTATATTAGAAGCAGCCCGAGTCAATGATGACGGAATCACTTTGCTCCTCTCCACGACCCATCCCTCTGATACTTTCTATCACTTTTGTTCATAGCAGTCTACTGCTACGGTCAAGCACATTTCTAGCAGTAAATCGTCATGTTTACCAACGACAGTACGATCCCAGACAATATTGCAGAGTGGTGTATGAAGCAGGAGATGTTTTGGGTCGCCACCTCTCCGCTGAGTGGGACTGGACACATCAATCTCTCGCCCAAAGGCCTGAAGGGGACGTTCCATATCATCGACAGCAAAAAAGTGTGGTACGAGGATCTCACGGGAAGTGGTGAGTCTGATCCTAAAGCAGTTTTCTTGGAAACATCCCGAGTTTTCAATCCGGTCCTGACGTTCGAGCATCCTTCGGTTCCATATCAGGCGTAGAGACCATATCGCACATCCGTGAGAACGGGCGCATCGTGATCATGTTCTGCGCTTTCGAAGGTCCTCCCAGAATCACCCGAATCTGGGGTAAAGGTGCATATTCACTCATTATTCAGAGAACGAGTAAGCCATAGCCTCTTATAACCATCCGTTGAACGTATTCCTGGTAGGGACTGTCCACGAATTTGGAACACCCGAGTACGAAGCGCTCGTGCCACCCGAGACGCGCTCCCCAGGCTCTCGAAGTGCAATCGCCATCGACGTTGAGAAAGTCACCGCCGTGAGCATTCGCCTGCATCACATTGAAAGGTATGGCGACCCACTGACCCAACTAATCATACAGTCCTGCGGCTACGGAGTGCCACACTACAGCTTCGTAGGCCATCGTAAGGCTCTCACCAACTGGGGCGCAGGTCTCGAGCGCCGCGAGCTCAAACACGCCTCCGAAAGCACAGATCCTTCCTCGCACGCGGAGAACGGACTGTTCACCTACTGGATCCAGAATGGCCGGAAGAGCATGGACGGTCTTCCTGGCCTCAAATCCGCGCATGTCAGCACGAAGTTACCGCTCTCGATGGCTACAGTGGAGCCGAGGGACGCGAAGCAGACGACGGAGGCGAAAGAGATGAAAGGGACAGATGCTAAGAAGACGGTGAAGGATGCAGACTCGTTTCATGCCGAGGCTGGAGCACCGAAAGGTGGAGAATACTTGAGGCTGGCGCTGGCGTTTGGGATGGGCCTCTTCGTTGCGGATCTGTTATCGAGATTTTCTTGAAGGTTAGCCCGTGACCGTAGTAGATTTCGCTTACGATTCAATACAATGATGTTTACGAGTTTTTAAAGTCAACATCAGCACTAGCCTCACATTCTCGATGGAGAACAACAAGGGCTCGGTGAGGCATCAAGGGTTGCAGCAATATCCTTCCCGCTTCATCGCTATCCACAGCTGACCAGACCGATCACGCTGAACATGCCGATAAGCCCGCCCCTTCTCCTTCATTGCAACTCATATACTGTGAGAGCAGACTCTACATACCTGCGCGTTAGATCCCAGCAATCCCCCCGTCTCCCATCACACATAAATAATCCCACTCAAATCCCACTTCGCACTCCTCCGGGCCCGCGATTCCCAAATGTTCCCTCACCATGTCCTCAAACTCAGCTCTTCGAAATCTTTGAGTCTCAAATGATGTCACCGCCATCACCAGCCTCGGCACCTTACGCTCCAGAACCAATCTTCCAACCTCTCTTAAGTTGGAGTGGAGTCCGTTTGCCACGCTATCGAGGCCAAATTTCAGGAATATGTGCCCGTGAATTATGATCTTCAGGGTATCGAGTGAATGAGGAGTGGGATGCGTAGGAGGGAGGAGGCGATCGAAGCAGGGCTTGAAGGATGTAATGTAGAGGGAAAGCGAGTGTATGGAATGGGCGGTAGGGACTTGATCTTCTAGTTCAAAGTTAAAAGCGATCAGTCGAATTACAGGTGGCAATCCAGCCCTGGTACTTACCGGAATCTGCTGGAGGGTGATTTCGCAAGAAGTGCAACTCTTTGACAGAAGGCTTCACTTTCTCCAAGAGGTCATACACAAGGTCACCGTTCGGCTGTGCGGGGGCGAGAAAGATGTCGAAGGTGGTCAAGTAACCAGGTTCGAACGTACACCGCACCAGCGCACTGGTCGCGATTGGCGAAAAGTTGTCGCAGCAAAGAAACCGAAGGAGTGAGGGCTGCATGGTACCAATATCGTCGGCGTCATCAGTTACAGTTTCCTGTGAAGAGTCTGAATCGTCGAATAGTAGTTCATCCCTACAGGAGAAGATCGTGAGAGAAGCGATAGCTGGAGACGCGCCAATGACCTTGGGTAAGATATCGGGAGATAGGACACATGCGATGAAGTCAACTCTCGTCAACAAGGGAAGTCGCCTGATAAAGTCGCCCACGAAAGATGCCTCATCCTCTTTTCCCAGCATGAACCGTGTCATTCTCAGGCTTCGCACGTTTTCTAGCTTCGCGAACGTCTCAGGAGCTGAGAAAAGAGATAATGACATAGATAAGCCGTCGGTAAGGCGCAACTGCTTGATGTATTTGGCGACATGGGGAGAGGTGGCGATGAGTTTCCTGAAACGGTGCAGGCTTCTGTGCTCTCCAAGTTCGATGTCGTGAAACAGCAGGGCTTGCGAACGAGCTCTCCAGCCTCGGGAAACGAGAGCCGTAGTGGAGAGGAAATTGGGGTCGTCGATAGCTTCTATGACCATGTCAACGAGGTCTTGATTGATTCTGGGCACCATAGTCAACGTTGGTACAGAGCTATATCACCGGGGTTAGATTGACGGTCAGTGGTATTTGGTGTGAAAAAACCATGGGCCATCCACCTTATGCACAAGCTTTCCACCAGAAGTATATTTTAGCTGAGTAAACCGGGGAAAATATAACTGAAGAGCGAGTCCGGCAAGGAAGTAGACAATGATCAGCACATACGGGATCAAGCAGATCTTGCTTGAATAAGTATTCGCTCTAAAACATACCGTGACCCCGAGGGATACCAAAACCGATTGTAGGTACAAAACTTTTCTTTTGTTTCTTGACAAGACAATGAATAAAAGTGATGTTGCCAAGTGCTGGCGCCTTTGTTACCAGATGCTCAAGGTTCAAGAAAGGGGAGAATAAATTTGAAGTATCACAAGCTCATGATCGAGTCCCGACGGTGACGTTGCCACACTCGTTCCTTTACCACGAACTACAATCTGCTTCGAGATGCAACCCGCACACCCACCTCCACCGCCGCACGAGCACGACTCTGAAGACTCAGATAATGATCCAGACTTTGTTCCTGATGATACAAAAGGTATTTCTATACATCCACATATCATATACGTGTTTGACACGACCTCCGACAGATTCAGACTCCTCGGATGGAGAGCGCTCTTCGAAACGGCCACGGCAGGATACCTCTGAGACACAACACAAACAACTGACAGAAGACGAGATTGAAGCAAAGAAGAAGTGAGTCTGGTTCATCTTTATTCGTGATGGTCTCTGATACTCAAACGGCAAGGTAGAGCCCGTGAAGCCCTCTGGGCAGACTTCCAGGCTTCCGTTGTATCTTCAGGCAGCAAACCTGTAGACCCTGCATCAGTGGCAAAGCTAGTGAAGATAGAGAAGCGGTACAGGTTCGCTGGTGAGGATGTTATGTGAGTGTTGCTTTCTCAGAGAACGGGAAATATCACGCTTATTTGGGATAGTGAGGTGAAAGAAGTCCTCGAGGATTCAGAAGAGGCTCGCAAGTGGTCTCTGTGGCGTCCACCATCTGAGGGCAACAAGGAAATTGTCCTCTCTGGTTCAAGTACCTTAGACGCTAAGTCGACATCATCGTCTTTTGTACCATCACTCGATGCCACACCCACGACTTCATCATCAACTACTCCCACAATCACCACGCAGCCTGTAGCATCCACCAGTATGTCCGCCCCAAACCCTGTCACAATACCAACGACTTCCTCTACAAACCCGTCTACATCTACGACCACGACCACTCCTGCCCCACCAGCTCGGAAGCCCCCACCCGCCCGCCGCAAACCTAAGGTTCAACTCTCCGACCTGCCTTCTTCTTCAAAGGCCAAAGCCAAAAAGCTCACAACTCTGGAGAAATCGTCTATGGACTGGAAAAATCACGTAGGCACCGGTCCGTCAGAACTACAGGACGAGTTAGAGGCGAATAAACGAGCGGGAGGATATCTTGAGAAGGTCAGTTTCTTGCAGAGGGTGGACGAGAGGAAGGAGGAAGTCTTGGAGGCAAGTAAGGATAGGAAGAGGAGGAGGGGATGAGACGTGGCCAGAAATGTTAGAATGTCGTTACCTGAGGGGGATATCTTCTGTTTGGGTGTAAGATGTAGTGTTTTTGATCACCACTGTATTATCTTTTCCCTGCGAACTGCTTCGTCGCAAGTTCGCTGATCATGGAATTGGGAATGTCCAATCCCCTGAGTGGGTTCGGACAGCAACCATCAATGATGTTTTTTTTTGGACACAGCGCCTTGAGGATGTGATGAAAGGTTTCACTACAGCTACAAGTATTTTAGTTGCGAGTATACACGTACATTGCCCTGGTATTTCTACACCTCGTACATATCTATAACCCTTGGATCTTCCAGACTTTCGCAACGCCATCGTCGCCGGCCGTAGCTAACAGGCTCTCGTATCCCTTTCGCGGACACCATACCACAGTATTCACATCGTCTACGCCGTGAGCACTTTCAATCCGCGCAATGAGTTTGTGATGTGGTGCAGACTTGGGTGTTGCATCTACAGGTTCCTGCAAAACGAAGATATTTGTCAAAATGTCAACTTCACCGTGATATCGCGAACAGAGAGCACGAAATCAGATACTCACCTCGAGGTCCCAAACATTGATCCTTCCATCCCCTCCCGCACTCGCCAACCACCCTAACCTCTCTCCCTCCCCTTCCTTCGACCTAATCGCACTACCTACACCCCAACTTACCCCATAAATAGTCCTGTCATGTCCCTCCAATACGCTCACACATTCCCACTTATGCTCATCTACTCTCTTCCATATCCGTACCGTACAATCATCCGATGCGCTAGCCAGGTATTTCCCGTTAGGCGACCAGGCAAGTGACCAGACGGTGGAGGTGTGGCCTTCGAGAGTTTGGAAGCAGAACCAGTCTTCTTCGGGGTCGTCGAGGTAGAGCTTTATGGTGTCGTCGTAGGATGCAGAGGCAAGAATCTGTGCTGGGGTGGGATAGGTGATGAATCGTACGAAATGGAAGGGCAGATTTACAATGATCAGTAGATAGAAACATGCGTACCTCTTCCCTCGGATGCCATGCTATAGATTTGACGTCTTGCGTATGCTCCATCAACACTCCCATACATTCGAAATCGGCGTCGGGATGGACTACACCTCCGCACGTCAGCACTTGAATGCCTTCCTATAGGGTATTTGATAAAAGAGGATACGCACCCTCCCACACCCAAACCGTCTTGTCCCTACTACAACTTGCCAACAAATTCCCCGAAGCTGAAAAGCCTACGCTTTTACATTCCGTCTCATGCCCCTCTAACGAAGCCATACATTCCCAGCCAGCCTCTCCGTCTCCCTGACCACCACCATCTTCACCACCGTCGCCATCGTTATCCTCGTTCTCTCGTTGCCAGATCCCGATGGTCGAGTCGAATGACCCTGTGGCGAGAGTAGTCCCGGACGGAGACCACGCAACAGATCTTACAGTCTTCTTATGATCCGTCAAAAGTCTTGCATGAAGATCGAAAGCGTATGTAGAAGAACCAGAAGAAGCAGGAAGGGAGTCGTCGATGGGCGTTGGAGAGGGTGTGTAGGAATACAGTCGGACGGATTTATCGGCTGAGCAGGTGGCGAGGAGGGGTTTCGTCGGGTTCCAGGCAACATGCCACACTCGGTCGTCGTGACCTATTCCAAGAGAGCAAAGTATCAGATACGGCGATGCATAGTAAGATAAAGAAGAAGGGCGTTAGCAAGAAAGACAAGAACCTGAGAGCTCAGCGATGGGGGTGATACGATATGGAAGATCGACGTCCATAGCTTGCATGTTGTCAAGTGCACCAAGAACTTGAGGCCAGAATAATACGGATAAATATCTGAGCTGGTTGGTCTGAAATCGAGCAGCTAGTGTGCAAACAAGACTATAAAGCTTTGGGCTTTGTGTTCTCCAGAAATCGATGATGAGATGGTAGATGAGAAGAGAAAGCTCAGTGCGGGCCAGAGTTCTCGCCACCCGTCGGCCGTTCGGGAGTTAGTGCCACACTGTTGTGTGGCCCTGCCACTTTGACCACTGAATGAATCATAAAATTATGATTACAGCATTACTCGGCGGTCATTTCTGGGTATAAAGTGAAACCTGTCTACGTTCCCCATAGTCCATATCTCAGGATGGAGGAGCCCCACCGCCTGTCTCCGTCGTCGAAGAGTTCACCCCAACAGTAATATACGCAATAATCCCATCCTCGATACTATCCCCAAGGTAAGTTACATCCAGATACTGCGAAACGAAGGTGGTGTTGCCTGACGCGAGTGTCGTGTCCTCGGTATCGAGAGTGCGGTTGAGGAGCGGCGGGTGAAGCGAGTAAGGGTAAATCGTGTCAATGACGGTGTTGAAGCTGTGAAGTTGGAGGATCAATGGGTATGTGCATGAAAGGAAAATCAGAGATGTGAACGTACTCGTCGGGTAGGTAGAATTGCGACGTGTGAAGGAGGTTGTCGGTGACCATGACAGTGCCGTTCTCGGCGACAGTCACATTATTGTAAACTTGAGCGTGGATATGGGTGGCACGGGCATCTGAGGAAGGAAGTCTAGTTAGATACGGCCTTTGTGATGATGAAGGGTTGACCCACAATAGCTGGGAGAACAGACGTCGTAGTTCGTAGTACCGTCAGTCAATTTTATCACCAACGTCGCGTTAAGACTTACTAGCCAGGGACGACAGATGCGAATTCGACAACACCGTTGTCATCCTGCGATGACCTGCGTTCAGCATCATGGAATGAGGCTAAGAGACGGAGACACTCACGGTGGGATAGATGCCACGCAAAAATGTGAGATTATCTGTCTGATCCAGATCCTATCAACCAGAAGGTACCACATATTAGCAATCTCGTCTAGCTCAAACCGCAAGGAGCCGTGTATCATAGACATACCCAGTCGCAAGTATCGCAGAAGTGGTCGATGTTGGGATCGACCCCAGTGAACTTAGAGTAGTAGCCGGTAGAGTTGCAGTGCCAGACGTCGACGTAGGCATTGGCGAGGGGCTCGCAGGTGTTGACGTCGAGCACGCCGACCTCGAGGAACATGGGGATACCAGGCTCGCCGTCTACACACCAATAGGGACATCGTCAGTCGCTTGACAGACTGTAGCACAGAGAACAATCAATATACCAGTAATATTTTGTCTGATCAAGTCTCCGTCGAGCTGGTAAGGGCCTCTGCCATCACACAGTTGCAGGTTAGATTATCCATTTGCGTGGACGGAAGAAATCGTCAGGGAATAAGACGCACTGAGTAACGTCAGTGTCCAAGATGCAGGTCGTGTTCTGAATAGTATCATTCTGAGGAGTCCAGCGCTTCGTGAGTAAATCGCGTTTTGCAGCCTTCCTCTTAGCAAACATCTCTCCGGAGGCTGCAGCACAACGCTTCCCAAAATGATCCCGGCGAGCGATTTGGGCGTGAGTGATAGGTTCGTGGGGTGCCCCATGACCTGTTGGTTCAAACAAACACTTAGAAGCAGTAGCAAAATGTACGAAATGATTTGACGAGGACGCACCGAGAGCGACGGAGACGAATGCTGCAACACAAAGGAGTTTGCTCAACATAGTGCTAGAAGCCTAGAACAATACGAAGTGGGAGGGGCTTGCAGTGTCTGATATTGCGACAACATCCATCTTTTATACCGTAACCTCTTCTTGCACAGTTACCCCAACCTGTATCCCTGCTCGTTGTTCCAACGCCGTCATGCAGACTGCGGCGGGTCAGGCGAAGGTGAAAAGATTATAGGCGGCCGACTGCCAAGACCAACGACCTACCTTCCTAGCCAATCCCAATCGTTACATTGCATGACCTTGCATGCCCATACCTATCGCCAGAGCGAGGCAATCCTGCGGAGAAGCATGTTGCAGACGAGCCAAGACAACCTTACACAAAGGTTATGATGGAACGCGCGACCAGCCGGACGACCCTCGAACAATCGCTGACATGTGACGCCACTGAGAACGCTCATACCTGGCCATCAACAAGTATTTGGATGGGAGGAAGGAGCAAGGAAAGAGGTCGCTGAAGTCGTTGCGACCATAGATAGAGAGTATTCGGGTCATTGTTTTATTGACATGCATGGAAAGCTTGGAATTTTCTGCCAGAAGTCAACAAAGTCTACACGCTCGAGTACGTCCGTCGTGTGGCACACCCAACGCTAACACCAATATCTGCTTTTCAGTTAGATAACTTGAAGAGCTGTGGAGCACGTATTCAGCTCACCTATCCTACTCGTAGTTTGAAAAGTCATCCTCAATATCTACCCTTATGTCCCAGAGAGACTCTGGTTCGACATGATCTGGTTGAAGAACTGCGACGCCGCAGCACCCCTGGGCACATTGGTGAACTCATATGCGGGCACCTCATGTCCAGCGCCAAAAATGCGGACGTAAGAGAAAGTCCCTGCATTCTTGAAAAGGCCAGCAGGTACGCCATTGACGGTGAAGTTCGCGAATTCCTGTTGAGCGAAGGTGGCGGAGAATTGAGTTTGGAGTCCGTTCACCTATAATACGTGGCGTTAATTGCGGGAAAAGACAGGCAAGACCTGAGAGAGAAGTGCTCGCCATAGCTTCGACACCGTCGTGATTGAGGATGTAGTCCTAGGGCAAACATCAGAACAAAAGGCGGCTGATGATTGAGGTAGAAATATACTCACAGCATCACCGTCGTATACAAGCACGCGGACCTGTTTGAGGGCAATATGTTGTTTTATCGTCAGACCAGATCAGCGACTGAGATACCCCCAAGCTAAGTACTCGACACGTACACCCGAATCAATAACCCTCTCCAAATCCGGCCTCGAGTTATGCATCCAATCACCCGTTCTCGCAAAGTTACTGTATACAGTATTGCTCGATTGCGTCCACTTAGCCTGCGCTCCAATCTGGCTCACGATGGTCGAGTTTGTGAGGAAAGGGGTGAGATCAGGCGGATATGGATCAGGGTTAGCCGTGAGGACATAGTACACATCGAAGTTGCCAGCGAGGGGCGAAAGGATGTTGTTGTTGCAGAAGCTTTGTGCGGCGGAGCAAGTGCTTGTGGCACCGGTGTCGTAACAAGCTTGGATCTGGATACATACAACCGCGTTAATCATACAATGCGAGAAAGAAATCAGAGTTCTGTGTACCTGGTCTTGACATCCTCCCACTTCATAGAACGAAGTGTTGCCACGTGAGATTGCGGTAGCCGAAGTCAATGGGTGGTATCTACGAAGTTCATCCTTCAGCATATAGCTCGTGATACCAACACGACGAAGGTGAAATTCCTTACGGATTACTGGCTGCGTAAGTTATGTATCCGGGATACTGCAAGAGCGGGTCCTAAATTGCATGTATATCGGATACTATACTTGTATCAAGAAGAAATGCAAGGAACCCACGGTGAGCCCATCGCCAACTCCAAGAGCCTTCAAGTTCAATGGAATGCCAGAGATCGATCCGTTAGCAATCGCTTCGTTCTGGTCCAAAAAGTGTCTATTGAACATGATGTCAGTATCTATACCTAGGTGCCGAAGATTTTTCCAGGAATCTCACGCCGCAAAGGTAGGACCATAATGCCCGCCATACCTGAAGAAGATTAGTTAGTGGTGGTAGACTCGCAACATACAGCAAAGAACTCACGACTCAGTCCAAACAGCGAAATCATTGTCTTGGAACTTGCTGAACCTCGTATCATTGAACCAGATCTGGAGAAACTCCCAAACGTCCGATGCCGCTTCCTGTGATGTGCCCACCGTCGTGGTACCGTAGCTGAACCCTACACCGACGGGTTGGTCGATGAACATGCTGAAGAAAAAAAACATTGGCATCAGAACCAATAAGGATTCAAAAATGTTGTTCGGTTGGGCGTACACGTTAGCATTTTCGTTCCATGACTCTGGGTTGAGTGATACGGTCGTACTGTCGTTGCTGATCCGGCATGGGCCTAATTCTTGGAGAAGACCGATCATACTGGAGCTTCCGGGCTATGTGTAGTTTATGAAACGAATGCCGTGCATTGAAATCGAAAAAGACTTACCCCGCCGTTAAACCATGTAACCAAAGGAGCAGTTTCTGGGTTGTTTCGTGCTTCGAAAAACCAAAACCTGCGTTATCACACATAAGTTGAACCCTGATTCAAGTTTTAGAACGATGAATCACGCACCATATACTCTCGTTCGCTGAGATATCACCGTATCCAGAAGCTTGATATACACCCGGCGTCGTTTCTGTACAAAGGTGAAGTCATCAGTTGAGGCCTCGTGAGAAAGCAGCCAGCGGGTGTGACACATACCACAGATGCCTGAATTCTCTGTAACGCGCAGCTTGCCTGGCGTCGGAGCACTGGCACTGGTGCTCTCGATGACCGAATCCTCGAGTGCGTTGGGAGTGCTAGGTATACCACCAATAACTCCATCCACGACAGGGATCTGTCCACTCAACACGTGAATGGGCCACACTAGTGCCGTGGTCACGAGGACTACGGCGGAGATCATCGTAGATGGTCGGGCGACTCAATGCAAACAGGTTGAACAGGGAGGAGGAGAGACGCGCGATGTAGCGAAACAGCACGATCTTTATACGGTGCAGAACCCATCTATCCGCTGCAGTTACCCTGTACCTGCACCATTGTTTGAAACAATGATGAAAGCATGGAGAGGCAACAGCCAAGATGGATGTACGATAGATTGCCTAAAATTAGCAAGAAATGCATGTGTGTAAAAACGCCGTGCTCCAATCTATTTGTACCCGTCCAGTAGGTGAGTAGGAAACCTGGCAGAAGACCATGCGTATGCATGAGACACGGTCTTCTATCGTACATCCGGGCAGGGTATGGACTTCCCAGCCTTCTAGGCAACCGGGAGAAGATGAGTTTCACCGCACACGCATGTGGAGATATCTATTCTGTGAGCGGGAACAGCTAGAGATGGAAGGTGCGGGATCGTCAACTGACGATTGCGTATGGAAGAGATTGAATATCAAGGGGTGCGTGGTGTCAGACCGCCCATTGTCTCTTGAAGTAGAAAAGAAACTCCCACCTGTACGGATACCGCCGCCGCTTGATGTTATTCTGCTTCATAAATCAGTTATATATCAAGCTGGAAGATGTAGTCAATAGAAAGAACAGAAGCGTAAGCCCCTTGGCTGCTTGCCAACTGGCAGCTCGGAGAAGTCAATATTGGAGGGCCGTTGAACCGTGGTCGGTGGGCCTCATTAAGTATAAGTTGGCCCTCACAGCTGGGATTTCCGCGAGGATCTCACCACACCAAAGTGAAGTCATGAGCACAGTTCCTTTGACACGTAGCGATGCGTGTACAAGCAGAGACGTGATCAAAGGCAACGCTCGTTGAGGAACGAAGTGGGTGTGAGAAATCGGAGATTTCCGGAATCGTACTGGCCAACTCCGATAGGGGCAAATTCCGGTAGGAAAATAACTTGAAAATAACCTGTTTCCTTGTTTCCGTATATGCACTCAGCTTGACTAATCGCCCTCAAGCTGACCAGCGAGTTTGAATACGAAGATTCGAGGTTTTCGCATCGTCACCTAGTTTTCTCGTCTTGCAGAGGGTTCGAACGACTCGGATGGCCAATACTGTACTTTTTCGCGCACAAGTTCACGCCACCGCCCCTCGGCCGTTGCCGAGATGACATAATCCATTCGTGTCCCGGTTCGCAAGCAGACCGGGACAAGGGACAATGTTCGTGAACATCGACGCTTTTGCAGGGACACGACCTTTCGTAACCGTTCAACAGGCATTTACCCTCTGAATTTGGGTGGAAGAGCTCACCCAGTAGCAAAATCTAGCCCAAAGTGTGTCTCGGAGGCCTTCCTGAGGTCAATTTAGGAGCCTGAAATATATTCACATTTTCGTCAAATTTGGGTCAAATTTTGGTTTGTCCTACTTACAAGTTCCGTGCACGTCAATGGGGTGGGACTGTCCCGCGGCACAAGTTCGTTCGCGGCCCCCATGGGACACGGGACACGAACTTGTGCGCGGAAAACTACAGTACTTGGCCAGCACTGAATTTGAAGCGCTGAAATAAGGACTGGGAGAAGAAACGACTCATTAACGCACCATTCTGGATGTTTTTCATTTGTGAACGGGCGTGCTACGGCATGGCGTGGTTATTCCGCGGATTCCTGGCATTCGGGGTGTACTACGGATGGCCCAGTAGCTCGAAGTGACCCAGTGGTTCGAGATTCATCGGAATCTTATACGTGCTCCGCTGTATGTACAAGCTGCCAGAAGACTCGGCCTCGGGCTCGTAGTACTCCGACGTAAACTTAAGATGGTTTGACAACATACCACAGCAGTCCTCTATCGCTGTTTGGTCTCACTTTATCCCGACATTCTTGCAATGCATCATGCATCATGCCCCGAAGTCCCCCATCCTTTCTGTTCTCGTACCTCCAGGGGTTCGTTGTTGCATTCTTCGTCGTTTGTCTTTCGCTCTCGAAATCTTCCACAGCTGCCACACGCTGTCCTCAATCCCTCCCCTTTACCTCCGCCTCCATTTCTGCATCCGTCACCATGTACCTCCATCTCCAGTGTACACGCATGAGATCCGAGCCTTGTCTTATCAGATAAATGCCTCAGTCGTGTCCGATTGCAGCCGTCGAGATCTTAATGTACACGAGCAATATCTGCGCTATCTCCGAGTCCCGCTGTCAATGTCGGTGTCATGATGAGTCGGTAAGGCCGAGGCTGGCTCTCGAATCTTATCTGATAAATGTGAAACCAGTCGACGTATATCGTATGTTTTGCCCACTCTATTGCCGTGTTGACATCGTATCACTGTGTACGAGCCTTCAATGCGGCCAAATTACTTATGGATTATTGGGAATATTGCAGCTATTTTCGGCAGGGTGGCACTGGGAGAGAACGGGTATTTCCGGCACCAACGAAACCGTGACGGTCATGTTGAACTTGCCAGCGGACTTTCCGCTCAATATCTTCGACAATCAAAGGGGCATTTGTATTTCTCGCAGGCCTGTGCGAACAAATGATGGCAACGAGCTCCATCTGTTGATCGCGAAAAGACCAAGTACTAGGGCTTTCTTGTGTCTTTCCGCTTCATGGATCCGCCGCCTAACCTACGTCAGAGTTTCCACATCCTTTGGAATTTATCCAGTCTGGGCGGCTCGAGGGCATCTGTGGTTCTACTTGATTTTGTCGTTAGTCGTTCTCACCATCGTACGTCCCCGCTCCGTGCGCCTCGTGCCATGCGTCTCAACCACTGAACCGAACCGTATAATTATTTCCAGTTCGCATCGAACGTCGAAACAGTCCCCTTCTTCGACATGTCATCGTCTAGCCGTTACGACCGTGACGAAGCATCACACGGAAGTGTTCGCTACAGTCTATCTCCAAGTCGACCTCGGACTCTTCACATTTCGTGCTTACTTCGGAGGAGCGTTTACGGTCAAATGATGATCTTGGCTATTTCTGGTGGCTTTACTATCAGATAGGATGCTTTGCTAGGTCATGCGCTTCGACGGCATGATTTGGATGTCTCGTCACTTGGTATTCATCACGTACCAGGTAAATTTGGACGGAACTCTGTTAGGCTGCTAGTAAGTCAGACGGCGACCGTCACCTTCGAGTCTTCGACGGTACCATGAATCATTCCAGCTCAGGAGTACTGACTCTCCTACTATTCATGGCATATCAGATAGGGCATCTGTGACATTGACGGCTTCGGACGGCTGGACAGCTTCCTGCTTGATACGTAGTTTGAAGAGGGACACTTCGTGGATCTATGTATGTACCCACTGGACACGGACTCGGACTCAATCATTGTATATTCAAGTTCGCGCGACGGTCGTGCGTTCAAAATGGACGGCGAACCGGCGCAGGCTCTGGTTATTCCACACTACTTACGGCTACGTTGGAGCTTGTTTAATTCGATTCTCGAGACGTCTTCATCATAGTACCTCGGACCCCTCAATTTAATACCTCGGACCCGCTAACAAAAATATCTCCGAGTCTTCAAGCTTCGAGCTCTTCACCATCCTCTCACTCGTCTCAGACTGGTCTTCTCATATGGCTGGCCGGCCGACGGAGCTCCTTGAGTACTTTTTGCGAGCGACAGTGTGCCCTGTCTTCGAAGAAGACGCGGTTGCAGAATGCTAGTAGTAGTGTGCGCCACAAGGTGATCCACGGACAAGAAGACCTACATCGGCACAACTTCTTCGTGACGTGAAACAGCGAGCTCGAGGCCTTCTGGTCAACCAACGCATGTCTCCTTCCTGCCTGTCCAGTGTCTCCACCTGACGACCCACGTATCGCGCTATTAATGTTATAATTATCGACGAACGAACCGTTCCAATCTCGTCAAGAGGCAAGCGGGATTCGATTCCGTGACAGGTATTTTGTTCCGGACGGAGTACGTAATCTCGCGTGGCTTCGCGCCGCTCGTCAGGTCCGGCTCGAGTGGCGAGCCGTTGCCACACTGGGTGTGCTCCCCCCTCGCATGTACCGTAGTTTGTGTTCCAGCAGTCGAGGTTCTCAGATTTTTTTTCTGGGGACCACTGTAACGTATATCATGATATGAGTCAAAAATATATAAGCATAAAGTACGATGGGCAGCAGCCATGAATATCTTTTAACGTGTACAAGAACAAAGCAGCAAACTCTCAAGCAACTTTTCGCGCTCGTTTAGCACTGCTACCCCCGCTATACCCAGGATTAGCCCTTTTACCGTTAGGCTTAGCTAACCCGCCATCATGGATGTCGCCTCCTTCCCTCTCTTGAATGAAATGAGTGAATGATGACCAACGTAAATGTCTGGGAATCTCCAGTGCCTCCTCCTCTTCCTGCGTCGTTCTCATATCCTCCCACAACGCCATCGGTAGTCGTTTAAGAGTGGTGGTTCTAAGGCTGGGGGATGCGTACTCGGAATGCTTCCCTCGAATATGACTATCCATATTATACCTCCATATCCCGTCTCTAAGGTGAGACTTGAGGGTTGTGGATTCGGGGCAGAGTTCGCAAGGTATTGGTACATTCCGTGACTGATTCTTCTTCGTCCCTTTCGCAGCAAGCATGTAAGGAAGGCCTCCTTCAGGTTTGTAGCGACATTTGCACTCGTGTGAGTGACGGGTTCCGTCTGGTTCGACACGAAGGACAACGGCACAGTCGGGATCATCCGGTTCACCACAATACGCACAGAGTATAGGGTGGGTAGTCGTCTACAGACAACTCGATTGGTTGGAACGTATAATGAGCAATAAGAATTGGATAAGAACTCACCCAATGAACGGCAGAGCAATCTACGCATCCGCATGCACCGGTCTTCAGTATGTGATGTATGTTGTGCCGACTGACATGCGACCTGAATGCATCAGTCGTAGTCCCGTTCGAGACATCCTTCTGGCAGAGATGACAAAAAAGAGTCGCATGTTTTCCTGTCGACCCTTGTTTTGACAACTGCTGTGAGCCGGGTACGCATTCAAGAGCAAGCTGACCTGACGAAAGGAAAGAACCGTTAGTAATAAAACCTTTCACTGCAAAGGAAATGCACAGTACCGTTATTCGTCCTGTAAGGAAAGCCCGAGCAGCTCTTTGCAATCGGAAACGATAGTCCCCGACGGTCCCCTTTCTCCACTATACTCCATATCTCCTTAGATATGACCTCCAACTCGCATTCATCTATGCTGTATGTACTTCCCAGAGAGTTGACATTGAGCATATGCTCTGGGGAGAGATGTTCCGCTGCGTGGACCGTGCACAGATGCGAGCCGGGCATGAGTTTACGAACCAGAGGCCCAGATACTGTGATTTCCGGAGAACTGTCCGTCCTAATAGTCGCAGAACCCTTCATAGAACGTGCCCCCACAGCATATCCACCTGACCAGACCCATGCCGTGGACGAAGAAGTCGATGAGGATGCAGAACGAGCAGAGGACACTCCCTGTGTAGCACGGCTATGTTGCATAACCATGATTTGGCCGTCGATCACTGTCCGAGACGATGAAGCCGTCAAAGTAGACAGAGGAATGTATGGATAGCGGTCCGTGGAGTCGCGAATAGCAGTGACTCGCAGCAAGGCGAGCGAAAGCGTCTTCCCTGATTGGACTAGAGTAGAGACCGTGTCGTTGAGTCGGAGTAGATGACGAGTAGGGAGGTCCTTTCCGGGGTATTCAATGAGCATGAGTCGAAATTGTGTGAATGTCGATACACGCTCGGGTCGGTTATGTGATTTGCGCTCGTGCCAGCCGGTAACGAAGACACGGCAGATGGTCGCTCGGTGAACATACTTCCCACTCCAAAGCATCCAGTCGAATGGGTCTATCCCTGAGCCACGCGGCATCACAGTCGTACCACATCTGCCTACGATTGCAGCGAGCACCTCTGCTGGCGATGCTCCACCACGAAGAGCAGCAAGGATATCATCTGAGTCGGCAAGGACAGCATCAACACTGACTTGGGCTTCCGATCCTGGAGCCGCCATTGTATCGAGGTCTGTGCTGCATTCCAAGGTCGAGACGATTGGGGTAGGAGCTGTGGGGGTACCTGAAGATGCGGAGCAGGTATGTGCACCGTTTTCAGGTTCGATGTTCTGTGAGACAGTGTCAATAGGACGAGGAAGGGGAGAAGCAGCACCGAGAGGCCCAGAAGTCGGTAGAGATGAGATATCGGTGGGAGAAACAAGTGTATCATCGAGTCCTGGATCCGCGGTAGCATTCTTCGTCGTAGGGCTATCGTCAGAAGAGGAGATGACAGGTAGAGCAGAAGCGTCTTCGCCCTGAAAGTCCTTGTGGATACCGGGATATATGCCTTCGGCGAAGGGGCGCATCATATCGTTTTCGAGATCAGCAAATCTGGTCGAGAAATCGTATGACAATATCGGTAGTTTAGAGTGGTTGCGAAGAATGGGATAGGCTTCTTCGCGTCCTCTTCTCCAGACTGGAACGATGCTGACCGGTCGAACGTGAATGCTACCTCGACGACGCTTTCGACTGATGTGATCCATGTGTTCGTCTCGTTTGACGTTGAGACGGCGATGAGGAGGTGCGAGATGGGGATGCCGGACATATATCTGGCGAATGTCGTTGGCGTGTCCAATATACTCGAGACCCTGCTTGTAGTTGAAGTTGCCTCTATGCTTGCTGTCCTCGTGTATGATGCCAAACTCCGTTTCGAGGTCGTCATCTCCCGTGTCGGTGATGTCAAATTCGCCGTCAGGGTCAAGTCTCTGCTGCTTAGCCACAGAGAGGAAAGTACTCTTGATGAGAGCCTGTGTATCGAAGTAGAGTTGGTTGGGAATGAATTCGTTTCGATCATTGACGAAGAAGGCATAGAGCAAGTGAGCATGACAGCTGAGCGACACGAGCTGGTCTTCAAGCGAGAGGTCGAGGTTGGTATAGGGCTCCAGAATAGTCTCCAAAACATAGCCCAATAGCTTCAGCGCATCCAACTCCGTATTGTCTTGAGGGTCGTCGGAGGGAGGGATCTGACGAATAGAGATGACCCCTTTCAAGAGTTTGATAGCGCGCGGAACGTCTTGTGCATCCTTCGGGTTGAGAAGACGATGTACCGCGTCAGCTCCCAGGCCGTCGACTTGGAGAAGCCAACGTTCGAGACATAGGCGGTTCAAAATCACGCCCCCGTTCAGTCGGTAGCCGGTAAGAGAACACAGCAGCGTGCAGTCGCCTAATACAGAATATAATTTATGACTTTAATTAGTGTTCCTCAAAGCGATAGGACTCGAACAACGAAAGGACTCAGGAGAAGAGAGCTAGAGGACGTACGCTTCCAGATGTGCTTCCAATCGAACTCGATTGTAACTCCATCCAGCCCTGTCTGAAAGTTGAATCCCTCCATGCCCTTGACCATGTCATACAACTCGGGATCCACCTCTGCTAAGTGATGCTTCATCAAAAGCAAAAAGCCGGCGAGACGTCGAACGGCGTCACCGTCAGTGACGACTGCCCATAGCTGAAAGTACTGCAATATATTGGGATTCCGTAGAATGGCATCGATGAACTGCTGGAAGATGACGACCATCTCCGGAGCGGTGGTGGCCTTGCATGTCGGAGCAGCCATGATCGCCGAGACCCCAGCCTCTCCGAAGACCTTCAAAGCGGCCATCATCATCTCCTTCCCCAAATGCATCCTCCCTTCCTCCAAATCCTCGACGGTAGCCTCAACATCAGCCTGACATGCCATGCACGTTGCTTGATCCTCTGTGCAATTGAAGCACCCGCCTCCCATCCGCTTTCCATTCGAATGCCACGTCGCTTCTTGCTCAATAGTGATGTCGTCGATGACCACAGAGCCACCCTTACGAGGTACGACTCTGCTAGGGTAATCGGATTGGGCAATAACGACCTCCAGATTTTTGCGCGAGACCAGAAATATGTCGCGAAGGTTAGCGTCGAGAACTTCGTCGGAGATTGGACCAAAGTTTGGGTGGACTTTGGTCGGTGTGCAGTTCCGTCGGATCGTGTCGATGGAGGGGAGACCGAGGCTATGATTGAGCGAGTATGTGAGAGCAGCGCCGCCCTTCAAGAGGCAGAGGTGACCGAGATCGAGCTCAAGCTTTGAGAAGTTCCTGGCTATGTACTTTTCTTGATCGGCGAGAATGAGAGCGCCAGTCATCTTGGCGATGCTGTCGCCTTGCCGTTTACGAGCTTCGAGTAGAGCTGTGGCCCGCTTTGGATGGAGAGTGACAAGGGTATCGAAGAGTTGATTGCGCTCTTGAATGTGTTCGTTCGCCGTGTTCAAGTCGCGCTTTAGATTCAGAATCTATGACAGAGTCAACATGAGTACTGAAACCGAAGATACAAGTCACACCAAAGTCACACTCAACGTACCTCAACGTCCGTTCGTCGGTTATGTTCCTTTGCATCATGTAGTGCGGTGGAAAGCTGTTCTGGATTCATGGAAGTGGAGTGTGGGTTATCGCTCCGTGCCCGTGAGACGATGCTTTCGATGATACGAGGAACTTTGGAACAAGCCGGACAGGTCCAAGACCCGTCGAGCCACTTCTGACGGCACTCCACGGAGTACGCACGTCGGTTCCTCGCTCGATCAATAGTAATTTCGATTGGGTATCGACGGATGTCATTTGGATCTAACGGACCACAGCGATGAAGCGGGAATGTAGCCTCGAAGCGGCCGAGATCATAAGGCCATTCTATAGAAACGCCGGGACAGTCTTTGACATGAGCAGAGGACATGGAGTTGGTAGAGCAGGAGCGACTTGAATCTGTACGGTTGTGCAGTGGGCTGTATGCGTTCTCTGTTATGGTGGTGATATTGTTGTTAGGAGAGGTATGATCGGATAGTGATGAACGATGAGAGCGGTCGCTGGATGGGGAAAGTATCGGGGATTCGGAGGTGGTAGCAGAACCTCTAAGAGCTCCGCATGAGTCGGATGCATCGAAGCTAGGTGGTTCCAGCATATGTAGCTGAGTTGTATACCCAGACGAAGCAGCTGGGGAGGGTATATGCAAGGACAGTGAGGCGTTGGATGACTCGGAAGAATCAGAGAATGTCATGGAAGCTCCGGCTGGCGAACAAGACAGAGAATGTGGAGCAGATACCAGTGGGGATGATGCTGTAGAGGCGGATGACATGGGAGTGAAGAGGTATGAAGATGGCGATGGCGAGTCTCCTGAAGTACTAGTCGTCGATGTATAGCGTGTATTTCGTGTCCGGTATGATGCCAGTGCGTCGACAAGAGACGGGGTCTTCCCATGACAGGCATATCGTCCAGAGCGATGGTTGTCTAGAGCAATGAAGTGGCCGGGTATAGTACCGAAGTCAACACGTCCATCAAAGCGTGTAGATATCCATCTATCACATCCACTACAGAGGAGCTGCCATGCGCTATTGAAAATGCGAGTCTCGACTTCCTGAGACTTATATGTGATAGTAGGTCCTGTAGTTGGATCAGTGGGAGTCAGAAAGCGAAGTGAATTATGTATGTCTGGATGCAGATGCGAGCGCTGTGGTGATGCAGAAGTCCAGGAATCTAAGAGAGAGCTCGTCGATGTATCAAGTGTCAAGAGGGATGAGGATATCTGTGCATGAGTCTGAGCCCGAGACGTCGAGGAAGGTGGCAAGCTAGCAGCACGGGCTCCAAGATCAAAGTGTGCAGGTAAATCTGATAATACAGTGAGGGGACTAGGCGAGCTGGAGCTGGATGCAAAGGTCTGAGAAGAGTGAACAAGATCTGAGCGCCCAAGCTGATGCGAGTCGAACACGAGTCCTAGTGCAACGGTCGAGTCTGGAGCTATGCGAGAATATGATACATCCGAGTCCTGATTTCTGGAATTGATGGCTTATGAATGGTGAGTAAAAATATTACGGAGAGTTCAAGTGGACTCTTACCAGTTGATCGTTGATTTTCAAGTGCTAGATTTTTCGTTGACCGTGAAGTTCAAAAGTAGTATCAGAATGGTTAAGATTTTGCAGAGACCCGAAGAGTCGGACAATACCTTCATGACCATGGTTGAAACTCATTAAAGTGGACGGAGTAAGATGTATTACAGCATTAGAGAGCAATGAAAAAATAATGAAGCGCATATATCGAGGGTATAAGGATGAGGGCTGGTAGATACAGGGAATGGAGGAACAACGGAGGCAATGTGGCGTTTGTTCGCCGCTGTGTGGCACCGCCGCATTTGGCGACGGAGCTGCCCGGCGGGCCTGATTACGTACTGCGTCCCAAAACATCCTGCATCACGAATTTTGATCCCGCTTGCCTCTTGAATCTCGTGCTCTTTCAACCAGCTCATGATTCATTACACGTACTTATACAAACACAGTCTGCGTTCCCAGAAAAAGACTTCGAGTTGTTTTCAGTGAATCATCGGATTATCAAACGCACGAATTCCCATTACACGACCACCGACAACTACCAACCGGTACCAAAAACAAACTGAAACTGAGAAAATCGCATAAAAACAAGAAAACAGGAGGTAAAAAAAGAAAGAAAGAAAGAAAGAGAGCATAAACGTAGCCGTAACCGTAACGCCGTCAAATAACATTACTATACATCGTCGCATCGTCAGCATGTCTAGGGATGTCCCCAACCCGAACCCACAGGTTACTTTTCTCCGTCTTCGTCGTCGACACCATGCCGGAACATATGTACAGTACAAGCCTCCGCAGGCTCACCCTCGCACTCGTACTCTGACGTTGAAGGACCACCGTCTCCTAGCTCACCCAACGCAACGCCCAAAACTCAAAACCGACCCAACAAACCCCTCGAACGCAAAACCCTCGACAAGCTCAAGCAGCCGCACTCGGCTTAACCAGCTCAAGCCGCCGCCCTCGGCTTAACCAACCCAAAGAACTTCCCCCTCGCCTGTTTCGCCGCCCTCGCCTGCCTGACCTCGTCCTCGATCTCTTCTTCGGAAAGGGTCGGTCCGCCGGTGGAGTACCACACGACGGTGCACATGCCGAGGACGGCGCTGAGGACGCATCTGCACGTTACGTGTCGTCAAGTCAAACCATCAGCACCAAACAAACCGAGTCGGCCCAGGCTCAAAAACGGAGGAGGACGAGGAGGAAGGAGAAGGAAGAAGGAGGAAGGAGACGAAAAACGCACCCAAACATCGCCCAAATCCCCTTCGCATGCCACCCATTATTCTGCTCATAAGGCCCACTAGGCAACCCCTCCAAATCCGTCGTACTCGCCTTGCCCACCGCATTCCCGCTCGTCGCGAACCCGAGCGCCTCGCACTGGTCCGTGAGGGAAGAGGGTAATGGACCGGTGTAGTATGGGTCGGAGACGTTCGAGGCGCGGGATTGGGCGATTAGCGGGGCTTCGATGAAGGTTACGGCGAGGCCGACTTCGAGGTGCCATTCGATGTGGCCTGGGTTCGTATACAGGGCGAAAGGTCAGTTAAATCATTCTAGGCTCCAGGCAAAGGATAGGACGAGAGCCTTGGAGAAGGGGAAGAGAGCGGTGGCCGTGGCCGTGGCCGTGGAGGGCGTGGAGGGAAAGGGGAGGAGCAGGAGCAGAAACGAGACATACAATGGAAGAACCAAACCCCCGGATTATCCGCCACAACTCTCAGCGTGACACTCGACCCAGACGGGACATGGACCGTGTCCCGCCTCATCGGGTTCGCTTGGCCTTCTATGATGGGCGGGTTGAGGGTCGGGTCGTCGGAGGTGTAGTCGTCGGCGCGGTTGATGAGTTGCATGGTGTGGCCGTGGAGGTGGCTGTATTACCCACACACACAGAAAACGAGCGCCAGTCAGCAAGCTTAAAGCGAAACATGGAGGAGCAGAGAAGGAGAGGAAGGGAGGAGAAAAGACCCACAAAGGATGCTTCCCCGCATCCCCATTCATAAGCACGATATCAATCACATCCAAATGATTCCACACATAACTCGTCTGTCCATACGCGCTCACCACCGTCGCGTTCTCGCCCAGTGTGAGCTCGGAGAGGATGCCGGGGACGAGGGGGGCGTTGTAGGTGATGTCGTTGAACATCGCGTGGTTCGTGCCTTTTGTGCGGCAGTATCACCAATCAGCACATGACGATGACGACCAACCACAACAATGATAGGAAAGGACAAGGATAGAGAGTCAGCACCCAACCACGACAGTAACAACAGCGAGTGGGCCAGAGGAAAACCCACCATCATCCATAGTATCAAAAAACACCAACAACGGAATCGTAACATCCGCCGGCGGATACATCGCCACGACCTCACTCGGCACGAGCGCGGTGTCGTTCAACATTGCGTATTCGTCTACGAAGCCGGAGTCGGTTGTTGAGGCGGAGGAGTCGTATGTTATTGAGGAGGTCACGTCTAGTAGCGCACATAAAGACAAAGATAGAGTCAGTATGGGTGCATAGCGGATGAAATGCGGATGAAATGCTGGTGCTGAGAGGCATGCGGGATGGGAGTGATGGGGGGATGGGAGAGTAGTGGGTGTGAAGGAGAGGGGAGAACAAAGAACTTACTAGGATTCAAAGTATCAGGCACCGTATCAAACATATCCGTATCCATATTCGCATGAATCGCCCAATTACTCGGACTACTATCGTTCCTCGCCGTGACGAGGATAGAGTACCGCTGCGCGACGGTGATGGAGAGCATATCTGTTGGATATTCTTCGGTGTCGATCTGTGCGTGACGATGTGAATCGAATCAGCATTCGTCACTCTCAGAATCAACGCTCCCAAAACCCAAAATCAACCTCAAAGGAAGGAAGGAAGGAACATTGAGGGAAGCAAGGACATACCCCATCCGCCTCAACAACCCTCATCTCATGCCCATCAATCCAAAAATAAAACATCGCAAACGCAGAAGTATTGATCACCCTCAACCTATACGTCTTCCCCCCTTCGAACGGCAACGTCGCGTTCTCGTTGAACCCGACCGCCGATGTGGGCCCACCACTGGGGGAGGTGCCGGAGATGGGGGAGAGGTAGGAAGAGTTTTGGGTGAAGTAGATTAGGGCGGAATCTGTTTAGTGTGGTTTCAGGTGAATGGGGATTCAGTCCAGTGAGTTTGTGAGCAGACGAGTGGACGGAGACGAGGACGGGGACGAGGACGAGGATGGGTAGGGAGGGTAGGGCAACGCACCAGGAACAGGCTCCGCCCCACCCGGATTCGCGATATTAATGAACTGCTCGAGCAAATCAGACTGTTGGTCATGATACCAGTCGCCGAGGATGATAGTGTATTCGGCGTCGTAAGCGTGGACTTCGGATTCTGGGTGGATGATGACGCCGGTGCGGAGGCCGTCGACGTATTGGCCCTGTTTTTGGTGGGTGAGGTTGGTTAGTCGGAGTTTGTCATGGGAGGGAGGTGCGTGAGAGGGGAGGAGGGAGGAGGGAGGAGGTGGAGAGGAGGGAAGGGAGACAGGACATAGAGCAAGACGGAGGGAAAGAATATGTGAAGGCGTTAAAGGGACGCGTACGGAGTAATGCGAGTGCGCCCAGTAAGTGCCGTGCTGGCCCGAAGTACTGATAGGAACGGTATAATCGAACGACTCGCCGACGGGGATACCGCTATCTCAACATAAACGAAAAAACAAAAGCAAGTTCCATCAGCATCAGCATCCATAACAGTATTGTTTCATTCAGTTAAGGGCGCGATGCAGGAAGTAGCAAGAGCGCAATGCCATCAAGAGTATAGTATAGTAGGAGCTGAAGGCAGAGATGGAGAGAAAGACAAACCACTGAGAAACCATAACAGCACCGTCCATCCACGACGTCGAATTGAAGAACATGCCATGGTGATGTATCGAAGTCGGCTCGTCGAGCGAGTTGAGAGCGTGCACGAGGAGGTCGTCGGTCGAGTTGACTTCGATCATCGGCGGACTATACCATTCCGTCCCAACATAACGATTAGTGGGTGCAAGAACAGACAAGTAGACGAGAGAAGTAGGAGGGAGGGAGGATAACATACGGCCAAGTGCCATTAACACCAATAACACGCCTCGGATACAGACCATCCGGGTTCGCGTCCTCGACATAGGTGATATTCCACCATATCTCCTTCGTACCCGCAATAACGGGCGAGACGACGGCGGCGAGAAGGACGGCGAGCGTCGAAAGTGAGGGGGAGGGGGACCGCATCTTTGGCTTCCCAGCTACTTCAAGCTACGGAGGAGGGATGAGGAGAGGAAGGGGAAGGGGAAGGGGAGGGTGGAAGGAAGCGGGAGCCGAGGTTTTGAGGACAATCTCAACTCAAGTCTCCTCTTTCTCCTTTTCATTTTCGCGCCGCTTCAGAACCCAAATCAATCAAACCGTTACTGTAGAATTCGAGCGAGTCCGAATGCATGCGAAGAACAAGTTGCGCGCGGACGAACGAACCGACCGCGAAGGTCCCCCTATTCCTGTTCCCGGGCCATTCCATAATCAGATAATCGCTGTCAGAGCTGTCGTCCGTTATCTGATTGTCTTTTTTTGGAATATGAGTTTTACGCGCGATCGTCGCCCTGCCAAGATCTGGAATTCAGAGATCTGCACTCGATGTGAAGGAAGGATGCAGATCCGTTGCGCAGCGCAGTGCATAAATGCCTCAAGCCTCATTGTCGTTCCTGGGCTGTCAACGTCAAACACTCTGCTGCGTCCGGGCTGCTCATCCAGTTTGCGAACTCAGAAGAACAAAAGACAGGGACTGGATATTGGGAGGTCGGTATCCATCGCGAGCTAGCGTTATCTTCGGGGTATTGGAGCGCTTGCATCGGTGGCATGATTCTGATAAGTGCTGCTTAAGGTGCTAATAATACTGCATCAAGTCCAGCAGAGCGAGGCGCATGTCCGCAGATAACTATAGATCCGGACCTGGGCTATGATAGAATGAATTGCGCCCCCGAAATCTTATCAGATTCGAACCATTCATCCATCCAATTTCCCCGCTTCGCTTCTGTCTGGTTCGACTCTCCCTCTTGCATCAAACCACACCTCAACGCGTCTTCTCCGAACGCCCCGATACGATGCCTCCCTTTTTATACCAATCTCGCTCTGAGTACCAGTGTTCCTGACCGTCCCCCCTCCGGTCTTTCCCTCTTCCTCCTCCTCCTCCCCCCCGTGAGCGTAAGTAAGTCAAGATGGCCAAAGACCTCTTCTCCGTCCCCATCTTCTTCATCGTCTTCCGCGAGACCATCGAGGCCGCCATCATCGTGTCTGTCCTCCTCGGTCTCGTCGAACAGATCGTGTACGACGAGCCTGTCCATGGAGTGCATCTCAGACACCAGCTCCCCGCCCTCGTTCCCGCCACCACTACCGCAGCTACTGACGAGAAAAGGTCAGAGTCGGCTAGTAATAGTAATGAGGGTGGTATGGCCGCAAGAGACTCGGAGAGTGGGAGGGACGAGGTGGATGCGGTGCAGGATAATGCGGAGGAAAAGAGGAAGTTGATTAGGAAGATGCGGATTCAGGTTGGTTTTTATCCTTCCTTCTCCTCCTTCCCTTCCCTTCCCTCCTTTCCTTGACCACTTGTACGACGCGATGTTGATATGTTCGTGTTTGTCTATAATAGATCTTCGCGGGTAGCGCACTAGGCCTACTCGGCGCCCTCGCCATCGGAGCAGCCTTCATCGCCGTCTGGTTCACCCAAGCGTCTGATCTCTGGGCTTCGTCGGAGGATCTCTGGGAGGGTGCGTATCTCGTCCCTCTCTCTCTCTTTCCTCCCTCATCCCTCATCCATCAGCCCTCATCCCTCTCTCCTCACCCACTACTTCGTCTGATTACTGATGGTAATGGGGTGATGGAATAACAATAGGCATCTTCGAGCTCATCGCCTCGATTATCATCTTCGTCATGGGCGTGACGATGCTCAAGATGGACCGCGCAAAGGCGAAGTGGCGTATCAAGCTTATTGAAGCGTTTTCTGGCAAACGTACGTCTTTGCTCCCTTTCTCTCTCCCACCCATCTCCTTCTCTCCCACCTCCATTCCTCTCACCCTCCCTCTCACCCTCCCACCTCCCATCTCACCTTACTCACACATGCACATCACTCATCAACTAAACACCTCCCCCCCCCCCCCCCCCCCCCCCCCCCCCCACCAGGCGTCGACAAACGCACCCGCACCTCCCGCTGGATCCTCTTCCTCCTCCCCTTCATAACCGTCCTCCGCGAAGGCCTCGAAGCCGTCGTCTTCGTCGGCGGTGTCTCCCTCGGCGAGCCCGCGACGTCCATCCCTATCGCTGCGATATGTGGATTGGTCGTGGGGTTGATTGTGGGGTTTGTGATTTATACGTTTGCGTCGAGGAGTAGTGAGTCTCCCTCTTATTCCCTTCCACATCCGTCCCCCTGCCCTACCCATTGTCACCCGAGAGCAAGTGCTGATTGATGCGTGTGTTGTGTATAATACAGCCCTCCGCATCTTCATGATCGTAATGACGAACCTCATCCTCCTCATCGGCGCCGGTCTCTTCTCCCGCTCTATCTGGGAGTTTGAAAGCAATGCGTTCGCGAAGATAGTGGGGTCTGATGTTGATGATACGAGCGGCGATGGGCCGGGGTCGTTCGATGTTCGGAATTCGGTTGTATGTTCTTTTGCTTGCTTCTTCACCTCCCTGCTCCTTCCCTCTGCTCCCCTTACCTTTCCTCCACATTTGCTCCCGCTCCTCCCCTCCCCCTACCTTCGGTTCTAGAATCGGGAATGCTGACCCCCCCCTCGGATACCCACAGTGGCACCTCGACTGCTGCAACCCCGAAAACAACTACGACAACGGCGGCTGGATGATCTTCAACGCCATCTTCGGCTGGACGAACAGCGCGACGTACGGGAGCGTGATTGGATATGCGATGTATTGGGTGGCGGTGATGGGGGCGTTGGGGGGGTTGAAGTGGAAGGAGGTGAGTGCTTGCTGTTTTCTAGCGCGTGTGTGTGTGTGCAGCTTTCGGGAGGAGTGCTGATTTTTTTTTGTGTGTTTTTGTGTGCGTGTGTTTTTTTGTGCGTGCGTTGTGTTGTGTGTGTACCTATAGGGCCGCATGTCCTTCTTCGGGCACGAATCCGCGATCGCGCGACAGAGGAGGGAGAAACGCGCTGCTCGTGCTTCTTCTTCTCCGGCGGCTGCTACTACTGAGGGAGAGAAAGAGAAGGAGAGGAGTATTGCGTCGGGTGAGGGCTCGGGGGAGCGGGTGGGAGAGAAGGAGGGGATCGAGGAGTTGAGGAAGTAGGTTGTGGTGGGTAGGGAGAGGGAGAATGTGGCGCGTGGCGTGGCGCAGAAAATTAGAAGCTCTATGATCGACGGTCGATGGTCGATGGTCGATTTCTTCATTTTGTTTCGTTTCATTTTATCTCGTTTCGTTTCGTTTGTCTGTTTGTCTGTTTGTTTTAATCTGTCTGTCTGTTTGCTGTCTTGGGGTCTTATGCTTGTTTATTTCTCATCCGCTACTTCTTGTTTTCTCTTCTCTTTGCCGTTCGTTTTTATGTCGTCGTTGTATAGTGTATATACATGCCATGTTCACGTTCACGTTCACGTTCAGTTTATGATGGTGATGGGGATGTGATGCGATGCGATGAAGAATATAACGAATCGATTCTCTTTTCTCTATGCTTTTCTGCTCGAGTCGATGTCGATGTCACGTTGATGTTCTCCGTTCCTCTTCAAGTTCAAGTTTTATGTGTGTCACTTCGTACTTGTCTACTTGTCGGTGTTGGTGTATATACTTCCATGCCACGTTCACGTTCAGTTTATGATGGTGATGGGGATGCGATGAGTGGTGAAGAATATAACGAATCGATTCTCTTTTCTCTGCGCTTTTCTGCTCGAGTCGATGCTGGGGTATGAACGTCCGTGTGCAGTCTTTAATTAATAATTCATACTAATAAGATAACTCCCGAGTCGCGATGACTCTGCTGCTGTTCTGCAATTGTGAGGTCGGCTGCTGTCCTGCAATTGCGAGGTCGAGCGCCAGTGTGTGCTTGTAAGCATAGCATGACCTTGCCTGTTCATGGTGGTGGAATAATACAAGAATACAAGTCCTTGGAGTTGCAGGTCAGTTGAGAAGGATAGATTCGAATTCGACGGAGATGGAGATAAAGCTCAGCGGCAGCGGTGAGTTCAACCAGTGAGCTAGGTAGGTCTCCGGACACGGACGGGCAGGTGATACGCACATTGCACATCGCACAAGTACTCTACCATATTGCACATATCAGTGAACCATGGCGAAGAACTCGAAGGGAGGAGTCGAGTTTGAACATTGAACTCGGACCTACCATACTCATGACAACCTTCTTAGACTCTGAATAGAACAAGACGCCGTTCGAGGACGTCCGTACTATCACGCTACTACTAGTTATTATTATAACAATAATAAGTAGCCTCCACTGGCAGCGTGCAACATTCAGCCATTAAAGCACACGACCATCGCGTCCTCCTTGAATTTCGAATTTCGAAGCACGAGATATGAATGGACACCACCCGGGCCCATATGTGTCTATCCGCGGGCTGGATGAGTTATCTGATAACGGTGTAGCTTTGGTGTAGCTATGAATAAGACTCGGACATACTTATGCCAGCATCATGATCAGCATCAGCGTCATGAGACTGTAAACGCTTCGACTCCGTTTTCCGATGAGAAAGCGACACTTCTATCATGCATGCTTCGTCACGATGGAAAATGGTAAGTAAGAAGAAGGACACAGGAATAAACGAGTGTCCTGGGAGTACCAGTCCTGACTTCTCGGAGCTCTATCTGAGTGGATTACTACCCCGGAATGAGGCAGGAGGGGGAGCGGTGGTTCGGTTTGGTTGTGCACGACTCGGAGAGCTCGGGCATGGGACGTGGATGTGATTCGGGTGGATATGTCGAGTTAGGAGAGCGGCAGGTCTATGTGCCGTGATAACCTTGAGTGAAATGGTGGACAGCTCGATGTCTGAGTGAAGCCTTTAGCCTGGCCAGTCCACTGGAGCCCACTGATTGCAACGCGCACTAATGGTCTGAATACCGCTCCTGAAGCATTTAGAAAAACGAAGGACATCTACTACTGAAAAGAAGTGAAGATATACGGAGGATTTTGCTACTTCGCATAATTTATTCGTGGAGAGAGTCCACAATCGTTTGGTGATGGTGTGGTCACGGTCAAAGGCAAGTTCAACACGGCCGTGACCGATCGCCGGAGAAGTGTCCATGCCGGAAACGTCCGGTGTCTCACGCCGGCCGCGCCACCCTGGCACACACATCACGGAAATCTGCCGAGTCCTGCAAGGTCATATATTTCGCTCGCAAGGTCATATATGTGATCCAATCGCTGAAATACTCCTACAACAAGTGAATTGGGTTATCGTGCTCATTCACATATTGCAAGGTCTATAGCAAAGGTACCCAAGTTACTATAGGCCCCCAAAATCTGTCGAGGGTCACATCTCTTCAGCCCAGGTTGTACTTTCGAGTGTCCATATTGACAGCGTAATCGAGCAATGAACCGTTCGCGGACAATAGCGTTGTGTATTGGGTAGCGCTACAGTACACAGTGGTACATAAGCATAGAGGGCCGAGGTAGCAATTACAGGCGGGGCGTTATACAGATCGGGCAACAGCAGCAAGAGACGAGACGAGACCAAAGAAAGTAAGAAACATATAGTAGTTCCTGGCATCGGACAGGAGATGCGAGTGTGCGTAAAGGTGCTCAAGATGAGGTACGAATGTAGGTAGTTGCCCGCATACGACAGCGCGTCGCGTACGACGTTCACGCTGTAAATTGATGATGTCATCCCCTGGTCCAAAGACGAAGCACAGTGTCTGCTTCGTCTTGTGCGGAGGGGATGTGGAAAGGGACGAGAGCAAGACGAAAGCGAGCGCGAACAGGGAAACAAACAGGGACGGAACGAAACGAACGCAACAACGCTAACGGACTCCACCTGCCACCGTCGCGTCAACACGCGCTCGCCTCGCGAACCTAGTCCAAGGGCATCCGAGCCGTATAGCCCCATGTGAAAGAAAAGGCTTTGGCCATCGTAGAGTAAAGGCTGGAGCTGAAGATAGAGTGACCAGCGAAGGCTTCAGACTTGGGGGAAGAGAGGATGATGGTGGTACAACTCGAAAGGAATTCAGCCCGCACAAGAAAATAATGAGTGCGCTGGCGAGTCCCACGCTGAGTCCCAAACTGCACCTTCTTTGGTGACGCATCGATTCCGGCCGACCTCGGCCGGTCTAGATATGGGGCTGATCCCAAGCCAATCCAACATTTCACAGCTTTCTAAGCTTTAACAACCTGTTTCAGCGTAAATAAGTGTTTTCAAGTGCAATATAACTGCAGTTAACCCACGGCCACCTTGCGCCACCATTTATTCGGTACAATCAATTGCAAACGTCGGCGGGAATCCGTGATGCACCTGCTCTTCTGACTTCATGCAAACTTACAGCTGAGCGGTTATGGCAGCCTCATCTTCATCTTATAGGACTGTACTGTGAACATAGTTGTTATGGCTCATAGGTAATCCTCGCTCACCTGTGTTTTCACCCTCGGAAAACGCCAACGCAACGCCAACGAGTCTGGCAGCCGGAACTCGCCAGGTCATGTTTCATGAATCTTGTACAGATCCTCTCGGCCTAGGAAGTATCGTAATCTAGTGATAACGCATCATACAGTAACAGACTCTGCGGAAGACTGACACAATACGACCGCTGGGTCAGAAATGTCTCGGGATGATCTGGGCCATACCGTTCCCCTCAGGAGCCTACTGGGCTCGTTCTGAATCAGTGTCACTACTATCCATATAAAACTTACACTGTAAATCACTTGGACTCTCTACCGCTTCATCCCCCCTACCTCAGAGACCGCCCGGTGTGCACTTTTTCCTCCATGTTCTCACTAGTAACCACGCTCTCGCTTGCTCTTGCACTCTCTGACTATGCCAGGAGCGCAAGCGTGCCGAGTTCTCGGCAGTACGACCAGCTTGCTGGAGAAAGCATCGGAGATGATCCAGTGGTGAGGACACCGGGGAAACTGCGCGTCACGGAAAATTCGGGGGTCTGTGGTATGTATTTTTTCCTTTCAACTGTCACCGGCCTTTTGTGTCATGAGTGCTGATCCTCAGTTGATGGTACAGAGACTACACCTGGTGTTTACCAGGCTTCTGGGTATGGAGATATTGCTCAGGACAAGAGTATTTGGTACGTTTGACATTTACTCTGTAGGGGATCAGTTTACTTATAACGAGCTATACCCGCAGGTTCTGGTTCTTTGAGTCTCGTAACAATGCCGAGACGGATCCGCTCGTTGTGTGGTTCAATGGTGGTGTATGTATATCTCACACCACATTTACATGATATATTACTGATGTATACTTTGGATTGCCAGCCCGGTAGCTCTAGTATGATCGGTCTCTTCCAGGAGCTCGGTCCCTGTCGGATGAACAACGACAGCATGGGCGTCTCTCCAAACCCCATGTCCTGGAACAATAACGCGAACGTGTAAGCTTGACATTGATATCTTTTTCTTTCTGTTCGTCCTGATATTTACTATGATAATCAGTCTTTTCATCGACCAGCCGATTGGAGTCGGCTACAGTTTCGGTAACACGACGGTGGGCACTTCACAGCAGGCGGCTAAGGACGTGTGGACGGTGAGCACTTTGTTTGGCTCTGAACTAAACCGCGAATCGTTGTACTCATCTCGAAACTTCCAAGTTCCTCCAAGTATGGTTCAAAGACAAACGTTTCGCTGCGTATGAGAATAATGATTTCGGTATTTGGACTGAATCGTATGTGTCGTCTACTGTTTCCTTCCTTTTCACCGTTAACCTCCCTTGACCCTCATCCAGGTATGGCGGACACTATGGGCCTATATTCGCGGAGTGAGAACGCTAGTCGCTCCTTGTTCAAATCTCGAGACTAACTCTGCGGAATTTCTAGATACTTCCTCGAACAAGATGCAAAAATCTTTGCGGGTGAAATAATTGCGACACCTCTGAACCTCCAGGTCCTCGGCATCGGTGATGGAATAGTTGTACGTATCATAGCTTCTGCCTCATCCTACTTCAGTTCCTTACTGAGATATACCACCGCCCGTCAGGATCCCTTGACGCAATACCCGGGATACATGGCCTATTCCGCAAGCAACCCATACCACCCCTTAGTCGACTCCGCGACCCTATTCGAAGCCAACACATCCTACTACGCCCCCGGCGGCTGCGAATCTCAGATCATCGCCTGCAACGATCGCACCACCGGAACCGACGACGTCTGTTCTTCGGCCTTCAGCTACTGTACCGAACGCGTCCTGGCGCCACTGGCCGGTCCTTACGACTACTACTATGTGCCTTCGCAGAACCCGGATCCATACCCTGCGGATTTGAGCGTATATCTTACGGATGAGGGATTGATGGAGGCGATTGGCGCGAATGTGAGCTGGTCGATGACGAGTGATGAGGTGTATTGGAATTTTGCGCAGACGGGGGATGAGATGAGGAGTTCGAGGGTGTCATTGGAGAGGGTCATTAATAAAGGGGTGAGTCCTTCCAACGGCTACGATTTGGAGTGAGATCTGTATACTGATAATATTCGCGATGTTGCTACAGATCCGGACAGTACTATATGACGGCGATGCGGTACGTATCGACGATATTTCATAATATTATAGACGTCCGCTCACACACGAAAATTCACTATAGGATTACATCCTCAACTACAAAGGCGTCGAAGCCATGATCGACAGTCTCGAGACTCGCTTTTCCGACCTCTACCGAATGCAGGACTTCACAGACTTTACTGTCAACGGTCAGCCTGCGGGTCTATACAAGACTGCAGGCACTTTCTCGTATGTTAGGTTCTATGGAGCGGGACATGAGGTCCCTGCGTATGAGTGGACGGATGTCGAAAAAGGAGCGGTGTGTACTTCTATCCTCTTGATATTCAGAACACGTTCTGAACTACTGCTTTCGTTGGAATGGGTGTATGAAAAGGCTGCACTTCAGATGTTTGAACAGGTCATGTCGGGTCAGGGGCTGTTCAGTACATGAGGGGTCCATTGGTGTCGTCGTTCCAGTTGTTGTATTACTTTATCCCGGTGCTGGGGTTATGGTTGTTTCAGTCTGTTTTGTGTATTTCTGTGTATGCCTATTTATCTGTATTATATCAATGCGTTGTATGACTCACGACTCGATGAGCATTCAGTAGTACGTAGGGGGTCAGAGTGATTTTTTGGGGGACATAGTATATTATCTCCAAATACTTTCACCTGCTGTACGGTCTGCATATATCCGCTTCTTCATGACCATGTAAGAGCTTCGTGCACTGGCAGCGCGAACATGTTTGGGCCACGCGATACTTTCCTGTGCCACTCAATCCGGCATCTACCGTCACGTTCCCGGCATGTTTGAAGTTCAAGTTGCGGGCGACTCGCAAGTACTCCTCCTCTTCCCCCTCATACCTATAGGTATTTTGTGTGGATTTCGATCCACCTGTAATGTGGATGTCTACCCACATCTTCCGATGCATTGCGTCCCATCTCCCTGTCTGATACACCAAAAATATATGCGCACAGACCACTTTCAGCATCCGAGTCCTCCACCTAACCGGAACATCCCATCGGCCGTCCGTTGGCAGCCATCGGCGACTTCCCAGCTACACCAGGACATACTCGTGCTGTTCTCTCTCATTCCATTAGACAACATCCGCTGCAGGCAGGGAGTTGCGTTAATTCCCATGCACGCTCTGGCCCTGCGACTGAAGGTATATAAGGGGGGTCGTAGCAAGCTCAGATGTCCCGTCAATTGCGCTTTCGCTATCTTTCCACACGGTTCACAACCCCTGTTGTTCTCAATCCACCATCATCTCAACTAGCTGGTCCTTTTTCACTTTGTGCTGTCAAGTCGCTTCACGTTACAAGCTTTCACAAGTCAAGCCGAACTCGTACCTTTCAGACGTCTGCTATTACGAAGATGAGCTCTGGCGACGGTTTCTGTGACGATTGCTTCAAGCGTGAGTCTTTCTTTCTTGAGGATTGATGACATCGAGAGTATGCGGGTGATAGTACATCGTTGAGCGAGAGTGGAATGCTGATGCTCCTGGATCTGCGCGAATGCTGGTCTTGTAGTGGTGAAGCATGAGGGAACGCCAGAAGGTATGTTGCTCATTCCATCCGTTCTCGAAGGACAACTTGTTGAATGATGATGGGTTTCGTACGCCTAATGTCCGCTGCAGGCACATTTGAAACCTTCGATGGCATCAAGACCTATATCGCTACGCCCACCTCCGACTACCCAAAGGACAAGGCGATCTTTTTCATCAGCGATGTGTTCGGGCATGCTTTGAACAACAATTTCGTGCGTACACTCAACTTCACAACGGGACTTGAACTTACACGCGTCTTACCCACCCACTGTTGTAATCGTTTTTCTTGACCGCGATGTCATGTTTGCATTACAGTTGATTGCGGACGCGTATGCCAAGAACGGATTCAAAACCTACATGCCCGATTTGTTCAACGGTGATCCAGCTCCTCTCAACCTTGGCGAACCAGGCGTGAGTACATACGTCATCGACCGCTATGTTTCTAACTCTGAAGCTGAATACTATCCGTGGATGTTGATGTAGGTCGTTTGGGACCGCGCGACTTGGGGGCCTCGCCATCTCCCCGAGATGCGATCTCGTTTGGATAAAGTCGTAAAGGCGATGAAGGAGCAAGGACTCACCAAGTTTGGAGCTGTGGGGTATTGCTTTGGAGGTTTGTTCTTCTTCCACCCTTTCAAATCTTTTACAATGAAGAAGGCGGCCCTAACTGCTGTCGCATCTGCCTAGCGCGATACGTGTTTGACTACGCGTTCGAGAAGATTATCGACGTGGCCGTTGTTACCCACCCTTCTCGCCTAGAGATTCCAGACCTCGAGGTATATTTTGCTCCTCAATATTGGCTATTGTCTGCTACCAGGTATTAACGCATCCATATAATCATAGAAATACGCGGTGGAATGCACTGCTCCCCTCCTCATCAACAGCTGCGAGGTAGACCCGCAATTCCCCAAAGAGAAGCAAGAGGCCGCAGACAAGTTCCTCGGAGGTGGTAAGTTTGCCCCGGGATACAGCCAGGTGTACTGGGAGGGCTGTACGCATGGATTCGCTGTACGTTCCATCCATTGTCGTGCCACTGAATTATCCCTTGGATACTGATGACGTATTTTGTCCAGTGCCGTGGTGACATTGTGCGTTATTCTTATCTGTATTGTCAAATTTCCCCGCCAGCGGTACAACTAATCTACTTCGTGTCGCACAGAGTGACCCGAAGGTGAAGGCGGGTAAGGAAGGATCGTTCAAGAACGCTGTCGAGTGGTTCCAGAAATACCTTTGAACGCATCCAAACCTCTTTATTTCCACGGTCGTCGTGGCGAACGCATATTTTGTTGTATGTATTACAAGAAAGAAAGTGCATTGGAAGGCGCATGGCTCTTCACCCCTCGCGCAGCCACAATTATTTCTTGGCTAGACCTTGAAGACTGCTCGTACCGTCGACACCAGTCCGTGTGTTAGGGCTCGGACCGGATATAACCAGCAGAGGCCTTGGAGGCAGGCTCTCCGTCGCTACTGCAGTCTTGCGAATCATGCGGGCACAGTTCGACTCTTCTTTCTGGTACCGAACCAGTCGACATTAACATCCACATGAGATCCCTATGTAAGTCTGCGACCCACGTCTCCGTCTGACGAAACTTCATGTTCTAACACAATATCTGATAGTTGAGTATAGCATGACGAAGCGCACTCCATGCGCTCATCGAGCTTCTTTGCGGAGAAAATACTTGGCATAATTATAGATCTAACCACTTGAGGTACTCCGGTTCACTCGAGTGCAGTTACTATTAGGGCAGAAGTTCGTCTCCAGGCGAAGGCAATGGGTCCCTCGGGGTGGACGTCTTCCGCGACTCTTCCTTTGCATAGCTAAGACGTATGGACCATACGAGAGCCGAACGGAACGAAGAGTGGCCATGCGTTTTTCGTGATATGTTATCTGAGACGAGGTCATTCCTAGACCATTTCTTCGTCTAGGTCAAATGGGGTTCATGGCGTTCTAACAATATGCACTCATGTGAATGCTCGCCTACTAGTACAGGTGTTGCGGACATACCATGCTGCTCCTCATTTCCGCCAGTATCATCCACAAGGTGCGTACGTTCGTATTTGTAGTCTAGAATAGAGATAGGAGGTTCGTTCGCTGATAATGGACTACAAGTTGCATTACGACAGGAAAGATGGAAACAGGAGCCTCGGTGTTGGCTTCTCCAGTTTGGGGTTTCCTCGTTGTGTGCGGTCTTGGTGATCTTTCCCGCGAGGTTCGTTGGATGATAGCAGCAACAGGTTCACATGAAACCCACTCGTCGTCAGCCCTCCCTAAACTTCTCGGCTTGTAGCCTTACCGTCCATGCCGTCCATGGAGGAGCATCATGCTACTTTTTGACCCTCTATTTGCATCGCCGTCTTTCAGCTTTGCCGACAGTCTTCGGTTCTCTTCGGCTTCGTGTGTCACGAGAAATTCGTAAATGATCCTCCGAGATGATAGTGCTGGCAGCAGCAGACTCAGGATCATGACTATTGTCCTGCGGATCTAGAGTCGTTTCTTTCAACCAAACTCGAACTCGGGATTGCTACTTCCCGTTCGTTACCTCGACAGAAGCCTCGAGTTGTCGATCAGGGCACAGTGTTTTTTCGCCAAGCATTCTCGCAGCATTTGTGTTTGTGGGCGTGTTTTTTCTCTTTTTTTTTCTACGCTCAGATCGCATCAGATAACTGGACCAGATCCTTCCCAGGGCGAACGACATAGTAACCAGTTGCAAATGTTCCAGGGATCTCCTTTGTAGATTGTTCCGGCTCCGCTGCAATGATCGCCCATTACGTTTTCAAATCATTCTTTTCGAGACAACCAAACCTCCTCATTCGCGCCCCACCCAGCGTCTGTTCTTATCTCACTGACTCTCATTATCATTGGTCCGAATGGAGTCGCACGACCGATACGACTTCTTAGAGAGGACACCCGACGCAGAAATATGACAATGGACACTCTACCTCAATGCTTTCGTCCGTCGGTCTGTCCATCGTCCCATGAGCTCGTACGCAGCTCGAACTCACCAAAGCGTTTCACAGTTTAATTATACACAGGACGGAAGAAGAACCGCTCGGGAGCAAAAGAGGAGCTCCTCCGAGGCCCTATCTGATTAGATTTATATTCTTTCGGGACATTCTTTATCAGATTGGCTGTTGGAAGAAAGTTTTTCAGTGGGCTGTCTTTATCTGATATGATATGTTTTGCCAACTTCCCGTCTCCTCCCTGGAAACTTTGCGCGGAGATCTGACCGTGGCAGACATGATTCGCGTTCCCCAAAGGTTGGCGTCTCCTCCCTCACATCCTCGTACAGGTTTTTCGACTTCTTTGACCGATGTGTTCAGCCTTCCCGACCTAGGCCTATCCCCTTTTCAAGTTGACAGGTGAAATTGCCCCATGCTCTTCTTTTTCGGTTCCTGCCAATGCTAGCTATCGACGAACGAGACTGCCGGGGAAACAACGCGATGATGCACCGAACCGACTTGCAGACAATTGCCGCCTCTCCGAGTCGCTCGAGCCTCCTAATCCCATTCTCGGCTGCGGGTGATGCCTTCCCCTCTTAAGACTCCATTGCGATTCGACGCCTGGCGGCTTTAGGACAGACCCCACCCCTTCCCGCCATATCGTCCCTTTTCGCTTCCTCTGTACAGTATCAGCAATGGTGGCTCAGGCTCAAGTCCTTGCGACGACTGCTGCAGACAAAGTCCTCCGCAAGAAGCTGGCTAAATTGTATCCTTACGAGGTCTGGTACTTTGTTGCTGCCTTCATCTTCCTACTTGGTATCATCCGGGTCGTCTCCGAGACATACTCCTATCTCCATCGTCGCGGACACTTCACAAACGACCCAGAAGCTCTCGCATCCTCTCGCTCTACTGGCGCTATCTCTCTGAGACGGTTACATCTCGCCATCGCCAATGCATACCGAGTCGTCGCCTTCAGATCCATCGTGCCTATAGGAGGTGGCCACTCGCTGAACGTCGCTGAACTCGTCCTTACGGGAACATATATCATCATCATGTTCACGTGGACTCTGATCAATTGTTCGTCCTCTTTCTTGGCTAATGCCGTGCTTCCATCTGACACATATACTTCCTTGCAGCGGGTGATATAGACGGCACGAAGCTCGACCCCCAGTATTGGGGTAATCGCGCTGGAATCCTCGCGACGCTTCAGACTCCCCTTATCGTTGCGTTAGCCATGAAAAATAATATTATCTCTTGTGCGTCTCAAGTCCTCTCTTAGCTTCTGGCATCGACACTCACGCGTCAACAACAGTGATCACAGGCGTTGGCTTCGATAAGGTACATACTACTAGCCTATGCTGGAACGGTGTTTGCTTACGCTGTTACTCAGCTCAATTATCTTCACCGAATGACGGCTCGTGTTGTCTGTATTATTCTGTTTATTCATATGGGTGGCAGGGTAAGTCCATGTGATTCCATATTCCTCTTGACAATCTATCTTACCCTCCAGCATAGGTCCAGATAGGGTAAGCCATCAGACTGAGACCTCTCATATTTCGACTGAACCATGCAATTTTCACAGGCTTTCCGGAAATAACACTATCACTCTAGAACATAAATGGATGATTTGTGGGATCTTCGGCTTGTCCGCGTTTGCGTTGCTCTGCATTGTCTCTGTCAGACCAGCACGCCAACTGAACTACGAGGTCTTCATCGTCCTCCATTTTGTGCTGATATTGTGAGTACACATGCCCATACTTCTATAAGATGCCACTGAAAGGTCGATATTTCAGAGTCTTCCTCCTTGGCAGCTACTTTCATACGGCGGCGAAAGGGTCAGTGTTTAAAGCTCCTGTATATTACCTATTCTCCCAGCTAATGAGATCTTCGCCAGATATGACCAGTTCATGTGGCCGTCGTTCCTCCTCTGGGGTCTCGACAGACTTATCCGCGCTATTCGCGTTGTCGTATTCAACCATTCATACTTCGGCTTCAAGTCCGGCCTCGGTACCTTCAACGCCAAAGCCGAAGTCGCCGCTCCCGGCTTCGTTCGTCTCACCCTCCGGAGGCCGAATCATTTCGGCTGGTCCGCAGGCCAGAGCGCCTTCATCACCATGCCGGGTGCCTCCCTTCTGCCGTTCGAGTCCCACCCCTTCACCATTTCTAATGCCGATGTCAACTATGCGAAGTCCACGCCAACGTCGTCTGTCGACGAGAAGGGCGACATGGTCGAGGCTGCTGAGGGGCATGGAAAGGATGTCGTGTTCTTGATCAATGCGAGGCAAGGGTTCACGAAGAGGCTTCTGGATCTGGCGGAAAAGGGCGGCTCACTGAAGGTATTCTTGGATGGTCCATACGGTGTGCCACCGCGCGTCGATGGACACGATACCGTTGTTTTCATTGCTGGTATGTTTCTCTTCGCTTATATAATTCTAGACTGTAGAGCTAACAGGTAACATAGGTGGCTCTGGAGTGACATTCACGAACCCTCTCTTCGTCGATCTTGTCCAGTACGTCGATCTTTTTCATTGAGTTGTGATACTATAGCTCCAACTTCGATTTATAGCCGTGTGCGCAAAAACCCATCCGCCTGCTCTCGCGTCGTATTCATCTGGGCAATTCGTCACCCAGGTACGTCCTCTTACATATTCCCTCGTCCTAGGGCCTTCCCTCGCTGACCTCGTTCCGCTATCATATATCTAGACCACATGAATCTCATATACTCCGACCTCCAGCAAGCCCTCCTCGAGATCCCGACCTCCCTACACGTTGAAGTCCGCGTTTTTGTCACGTCTCCCCATGTCGATTCCTCTTCCCTGTCTCGAAACACTCAGCCTCGCGATAGCGAAACGTCATCCACTGCCAGTGTCACACACGAAGGTGATGAAAAGGCGGTGTGGAAACTGCAGCATATGCCGCATACGACCGTCACGAGTGGCAGACCGGATGTCGAGGCGTTGTTGACGGAGGCAGCGTCGCTGACGATGGGTGGGAGTATGTCGGTAAATGGTCAGTTCTCTTCTACCTCAGTTATTGTGCATCGTGCCGACACTAATTTCTTTGTTCTCGTCGTCGTCAGTGTGCGGCCCCTCGGGTCTTACGGACCGCGTACGCCGTCATCTTCGTTCCTCCGAGGCAGGGCCCATGGCCGTTCTGCGCGGCGGCCCTAGCATAAACCTCTTCGTTGAAGCGTTCGGCATGGCTGTAAGTATTCTTCTACGATGTTTAGGCATTCAATGCTGACGAGAAGCTTCTGCAGTAAAATAACACAAGACACCCCCGCTCTTGATGCTCGCAACGCCCAGTCAACGACACCGTGACGGGCACGACGCATGTTCACGCATACGATAACGATATGCATGGTTTATTCTTCTTTTCAACTCCGGCCGTGTTTCTTTTTCTTTCAGCTTAGGACGAACGTCCTCCATTTCGGGTTTCAAGTACATACTGAAAGTTCGTGGCTATTAGATGCGTTCAGTACTCCGTGTCATCAGAGTACTACTTACATGTATACATTAGACGACTGTATCACGCTTTCATTGAATTACATTGTAGCAGCACTGAACGATCCGCACACAATTCCTCTTGAGATCTCTAGGTGCGTATACATGTTTAGCATGTTCGTACTCTTCTGTTTCTTCCGTGGCGCCACACTGCTGGCCGTGTCGCATGAGAAGGTCACAGGTTGAGAAACTTGCGAGGAACCGTGAGAAACGTGATCATTTGAACTAGCGTTCCGCTCCGGGCTCCCCCTCTTTCGTATACATCGACGCACATTGGATGCTGCAAGCTAAAACCTAAAAATGGACACATGACTTTCAGAACGCGCTGCGATATTTCGCGGACATGGTAACGACGCTACTTGGCCTCACACACGAGCCACGCAAGCTTGAGCACAACGCCTTCAACACAACAGTAGCAAGATAGCATTGACATAATACAGTAAGGTACAGTGTGATCGATGACAGCAATGACAGTGACATGACACGAGAGCGGATGGTGGAGATCATGAGTAAGTGAGAAGAAGGGGTGGGGATGAATGAGGGATGAGGTGGTGGGTAGAGAAATGAGGGATGGGGGATATACGGTATGTTGAGACCAATTGATGACCGGATGCAAAATGAACAGACACAAAACCCATTAGAACCTAAGAGAGCGAGACTCACGCGTAAACGTGGGTGACGCTCGAGACGAAGAACGATGAAAGAAATAAAGATGGTGAAGACGGGAGTATGGATGAGGAATGATGTATTGAAAACCACGAGGAGAAGAAAGGGATTGACACTGACGAGTTGTTATCAGCCTCGTCTCTAACTTTGCGGAGCCGAGGCGTTATGCATATAGGGAAAGAATATAGTTTAGCCCGTGTCTGCCATGCCAGAGATGATGGGAAGGATGAAAGAGATGACGGAAAAAGAAACGAGAACATAGACAAAAGAATGCAAGAATCAATCGTCATACCATCAGTGTTACGCGACGCGGACAGTCCTATGGCCAGGAGTCCGCCTCGGGCACATTGACCGCACCACCGACCGGCCCATTGCCCAATTCGACACCGATCTTCTGCACCATTTCCCTCCCTAACGGTTCCAACGCTCGCTTCCACATAGCCCTCCTCCGCCTACCCTCGAAGATCCCCTCACTTCTCTCCCCTGTCTCACCTTCCGGTCCAAAGACGAACACGCTATTCTCTCTCCATGGCGCCTCGCCATACGCGAAAGCCAACCATTTTGATTGAATCGTATCTCGGATATGGGTGTACGTCCATGGGGTAACGACGGGGACGCCCCACGACTCGTCAGAGACGGGGCCCGTTGAGGAGTCTTCAGAATAAGAGTCGTCCGAGTCGGAGAAAGAATCTGGGAAGTCGTCGTAGGAGGTAGGGCATTCGAAGGAAGTAGAATCACCAGCATCGACGGAGGCAGGACGTGCGTTATCGAAAAGGTATACGAGGTCAGAAGCATGGTGTGGAATGCCACGCTTAGGGCTCTCTTGGTCGAAGACGTAACGCCACACTCCCCCGTTAGCGTGTGCTGTGGCACCACCGAGCTCTTTTACTGATGGACCAGGTGCCACTTTCACTTTCCGATGGGCTTCGGCAGTGCACTCGGTAGGCCACGCGAAGCGTGTGTCGTTTATCAGGTCGAGGATGCGGTCAGGTAGGTCTTCCTCCGGAGTATGTGCAGATATGTCGTAAACCCGGAGAAGGACGGATGCTTTGGTCAGTGAGCCACATATGGCTTTTATTCGACGGGTGACACTGGACGGGGTCCAGAGGGAGGCGGAGCCAGAGTAAAGGAAGGATTCGAAGGAGCAGTCGCCGATCATGATTGGCTGGTGAATTGGTGGTGGGTGAGTGTGAGGAGACAAATGGAAGTGTTTAGGTGCGATGAAGTTGGAAGGGCAGGGAATGTGATGAGAGGCGACGTGCTGATCAATGACAGAGTGACCGGCGAGTGGATATGTCGTAGAATGTGGCGGTGAGTGATGGTGGTGATGGTGACCATGATGCGGGAACATCCTCTCCCTCCACCCATGAACGAAGAAGATTCCATCATCAACAGCCCGCGAGCTGAAGGTAACGCTCACGAGCTTGGAAGCGTCGATCTTCCGGAGTTCCTCTACTGAAGAGACCCGAAGGAGCGACATGACTCGCGATAGATTGGACCCCGCGGCGTGGACTTCGGGGATATTATGGTCGATGAGTGGGCTTTGAAGGATGGCGCGCTGGAATAAGGGATACGCAGCGTTACTGGAAGAGTGAAGATGGCATAGAATGTCTGCAGCGCCCGTCGACTCGCCAAAAACAGTGACATTTGAAGGGTCGCCACCGAAGTCGAGGATGAAATGGTTGACCCACTGAAACGCCACCTGTTGATCGCGCAAGCCGTAGTTCCCAACACCTTCGTCGCCCGCTGCTTCGTTCTCCACTCGAAGTTGTGGACTCGCAGCGAATCCTAGCAAACCAAGGCGATAACTGCCCACGCCAATGGTAAATATAGTGATATGACAAATATAACACAAGGTGGAGGCGTACTTGATCGTGACCAGGATTATAGGCTTCCCCAGCGTGATACTATTCTGGACGAATGCACCGCCATCATAAAGCCAGTGGGAACCAGAACCACGGTTTCCTCCTCTTTTAATGAGAAAGATGGTTAGGGTTCAAGCAATAATAGAAGTAGAAGACGTGGACGCACCCATGGATCCACAGCATCACAGGTAGCCTCGAATCCCGCGTCAGACCTCCTGGGCAGGTGATGTTGAGATTCAAGCATTCAGACTCGATCTGCTTGAAGTTTTGTGGTGGAAAATCTTCCTCGGATACATTAATGAGTTCTTCCTCCATGGTTTTCCCGTGAGGCTGGGGACATATTGGTCTACGCAAAATGAAATGAACGATCAGAATAACAGGCGAAGAACACGATGAATGAAACGCACCCAAAGCGTGTGGCATCAGTACGAGACATATATGTGCTGAACAACTTGGACTGTCGAAATCGTCCAGGTATGCTGGCATACTTGATACCCCTATACTGGTGTATTGAAACTTCTGGAGTAGAAGCTGCGTGTGGTATGCCGGTAAACGTCGTCTTCAGCGTCGTGTGGCGAACGACAGGCTGAGATACCACATGTGCGGGCATAGCGGGACTGCGAGCGACGAGGGAGAGCGATAGGGGCCAGCGAGAATGTGGGGTAGAAGTACAGAGTGCGGGGTGAAGGGGGGAAGAGGGGAAAGAGGTGGAGTAGGGAGAGGGAGAGGGAGGTCTATAAGGGGCGAGGTCATACTCTCAGGATGATGGATGATGGACTGTTTCTCGGGAACGCTTCGCGAACAAGCATCTGATCCAGCGTCACATCTGGTCATGGACTTGAAGAAACTCAAGTCGTCCGCCGAAAGAGGAAGCCCCGCACCAAGACCAGAGACACGTGATCCCGTTCCCTTCCGGATCCTTCGCGTCTGGGCTGCAGTCTCGAGCTCATGGGCGTCATCCTCGAGAATATACTACAAGGCTGACCAAACAGCGTCTGCCGACGACACAGCAAAGACATAATACAGGTGAATGGGGGCAACAATTGCCCGGTAGCGTTAACAAAACCGCCCCAGCCCCTAATTGAGTACGGATGCTGCCGAGATGGGGCACCTGCCAGGCCCACCCATGCCGTCGAGATGGTCGAAGTCAGAATGTTGGGCAAAGGAATGTCCGACATGCCCCGAGTGAGGACATCGGCCCCGCGCGTGATTCCTCCCGCCCAGCGCAGTACAATCAGTTAGCATGGGGCCACCGAAGGAGTGAAGAACCGATGACAGCGTGATGACGCAGGAGTAGGGCAAGTACTGAAGCGCAAAAAGCAATGGCGCGTTAGGGACTAACGCAACGACAGTATATTTCAGTGCACATAACAAGCATGACCAGAATACAGTTAACACTGAATGATGCTCGTGGACACGGGAATGCCTACCAAAGATAGTAAGGTATTCGTCGCACGCCACACTTCCTGAGCCTTCGCAGAAGATCCGGAGAATGTACGGGGACACCGCCCATCCTTCTGGATCTGGGCTTGGCCTGGACATAGAAAGCAGACATGATGCATGATGAGCGGGGTCAACCGGTCAAGGCTGTCATTGCGCATGTATGCAAGTACGTCGACGCCGCTACGTCAAGCAGAGAAGAAGACGTTGCAAGAGGAGAGTCCACATCACAGACCAACGAACCATACCCTTATATGATTGGATGGTGTGAGCCGTCGCGGTATTCCCATTGAGCAAGAGGAGCGCCCCGGGAGGCCGACAATCTTTAAGAAGCGATGTCGATAGTCGGAACGCATATAGCGTACTTCTTGTGGCAACCAGGATTAAACGCATCCTGTGGCTTCCAGATTATCGAAACATTGCAGTCTGCGTGAAGGATCGCGTACATCTGCACATCCGTTTTCGTATGACATATTTGACCTATGCAAACTCTGACCGCGAAAATGAGCGCCACCTTGTGTAAATTGTGAAGAGAAACGACTCACCTCAAACGTCAAGCGTACCGAACACCCGACATCGATATAACACAGTACGTACTGGAAGTTGTTTGTACCATCTTTATACACACCTATTAGTAGGATATGTGCATGGATAAGTTCAGCATGATCGGGCCGTGTCTGGCACTCGCCCCAGACAAAACCTTGCAACGATCAATGCACGCGAAGCGTCGCGTACGCTCGAACACGCTAGCTTTGGGAGAGCTGTGTAAAACATCGAGAAAAGTGACTAGGAAATGAAATTACAACACGCATGAGAGACGAATAGACACGACCAGAGTTTGACAAGTTCATCCAAGATGGTCACCGCTGCGAAAGACGCGTCCGAGGTGTTTTCAACAAAATGATTTTAAGCTCCGCTTCAAATATGCGGAGGATGCCCTATCGATTCAAGCCTGATGTGGCGTCGTGCCACAACGGAACTGCAACATAACTTGTCTTGGCTACATAAATGTACTGTTCCTACGATAGAGAATACCATAACCTGGATGACTTAGACTATGTATATCAATCCAGCCAAACTAAACCTCCTCTACATAATTCTGCGGTAATATACTCGTTGTCGTCTTTCCATCCCACGTTACGGACTCTGCGATGCCCATTTCCCTCAATACTATGACCTGCGCTTCGGTAACCTCGCAATCGACTAGGACGAGCTCCTGTAGTGCGTACTGCCTATCGATTACAGTACGTGAGGAGATGGCATAGATGCAGTCCATGAAGCAGTTGGGGAAAGGAGTGTCCGGACGGAATCGCCAATATCGCAGGCAGAGAGAGGATAAATGCGGAAGAAGTGGAAGCTCTACGGGGATGCTACTCCCGTTTGTGTTGGACGAAAGGTCTTCCTCTTCCAGTGAGCTGACCGTGATAAGGCCCGAGATGAAGCAGGATGAACTGGCTACGAGAGCGAGAACAGGGAGGGAGGGCGATCCATGTAGCACCAGCCTCTCCAACCGAGGCATATTGCGCAGGAACTGAATCCAGAAAGCGAGTCGGAATTTCAAGGTAGGCAAATGATATTGTATCACAAGATCTTGTAACTGATCCAAATGCAATTGCTCGCATATCGTAGTAACGATATCACGATTGAGCTCTTGCTCGTCCCACTCGGGCCCAGGCGCAGAACCGCCGGAATCTACATAGTGAATGGCCGCCCGCATTGCTTTTTGAGTGAGGTTATGAATGTGACTCATATCAGTGTGAATCATGTCCACATGCAGTGGAAGGTTCCATAAGGTTACGGAGGGGGAGCTAATATCCACCAAGAGCGCTCGTATAGGGGGGGATGAGATGGATGGGATAGCGCTGAGCAGAGGGATGACGGTTGCCGATGGTGGTACTTCCTCGTACTCAATGTTATGGTCAACTTCAAACTCGAAACGACACTCGGGATGGACACGGATCTGTTGAGCGAAATTAGCACACGACCCCGAGAATCCGCAGAGAACAAGAGTATAAATGTTCGGGAGTTGCACGATATCGGAGGGGGGTGAAGTAGGACTAGATACGCGCAACTGGAACGGCTCGTCACATAAGACATTGGAGAGACATAAGTTTTCTAAGTGTGGCATCTGACCTATGGCATCCAATAATTCAGATTGGCATGGCACGAGCTCAGCATAATCGGAGCAGCGGAGCTCTAAATGGATGAGATTGCGCATGATGGGCGACCGCAGGATCTCGTGGTATTTAAGTTCTCCTTCGAGTCGCAAATGTCGAAGATGAGGAGCGTTCTGTGAAAAGATTTGAGAGGGGAAGGGACCGTGTGAGCTGCTGTTAACCTCGATGACTGCGGCTTCAAGCGTCGGTGCCGGGCGCGAAAGCAAGTCATCTATGCTGCAAGTATCAGGTATGTAGATACCCAACCTCCGATAGGGTGACGACGATGACAGCAGAGAACAGATGGACTGAAACGTGTCAGGGTCCTCAAAGGGTCCGCTAAGCTCCAGTGGCACGCCTCTCACGCGCTTCGCCATCTCCTGCGTCCACAGGGGATTTTCCACCCAGATATTCGCCCAGATCGATGCACAGTTTAAAGCCACATTTCTCCAATAGCGACAAACTTGCGAGGTAGCTATGAGCGATATTATATCGTCAACCTCCTTCCCACGCTCGGCAGGGAGGTTCACGGCCAAGAACGTAGGATCAACATCGTCCCGGAAGTCCATAAGTGGCGCGACGTTGGACAATATGGTGACGAGAATCTCCGGTGGAAGGCAGCAGACAGGAACAAGGTCGTTCTTCATAGTGAGAATCTGCTGCCTATAAGCGTCCAGATTGCTGAGCTCAGCATCAAGGTGCTGTGAGGCGAACAGTGTCTCGTGCCGAGAAACGTTGACACGATGTCGATCTCGGATCACAGTCAGCCTGTGTCTTGCCGCTGTGGACCAAAAGTCATCGCTGTGACGGTAAGACACGACGAGAAGAAAGAGGGAATCAACACCGATCTGCTAAGCTAAGAGGGAATAGGAGATCCATACCCCGTCGCTGCACACATAACAGAGAATCTGTCGGTTATTGATCTTCGGACTCGAGTTGCTCAACCGTGAACAAAGGCACCCAACGGTGGACCTTCACAACGGACTCCTTGGCGGGTCCCTACGGCTCTGTTTAGATACAGTATTGGTTCGTGAGTCATGCTGTCTAGCAGTGGTATTTATCTCACTCACTGGTAGTCGAATATGTGTTGAGGAGGTCGATAAGCTGGGGCTGCTGGTAGAAGTCAAGAACAATGATGAATTTGGCATTGCAAGCGCTATTTGTGCGGAGTCGAACAAAGGAATATTGCCACGTGGCCACCAAGAGAAGTGCGGCTTCCTGAGAAATCTTTCGAATTATGTTCTTGCAGAGCACTTCTAGTCGCATGATTCACAGCGAGGTAGACAACGAAAATTCAGATTCAATACGGGAAGTGAGATCGTACATCTTTCGTGCAATCTGTTGAGCGGAAGAGCATCGACTGAACACACCTGGAGCGACTGATAAATACGGAAACGGTCTGCAAAAGCATCTAAATAAGATTGACAGTGAGGGATACACACTGGATGGACACAACAGAGTTCTACTATCGCAATTATCGCTGGTGCACGCTGGATGAACACCCCCGCTCGAACTAGGAAAAAGATGCGTCGAAATGCACACTGTTCAACCTTCGTTTTCACTCCCCTTCCCATCTCACCTTCAACCCATCAATCTTAGATCATATCCCTCAATCCCATCTCTTCGACTTAGTCCTACCATCCCAAATAATCGCCTCGGCGATCCCTAGACTTTCCAATGCGGCGATCTGGGCAGCAGTGATCGTGCAGTTGACGATACGAAGCTCTCGTAATGCCGTACGACGTTGTGCGCCTTCTACCGGACGAGAGGAGATCGCGTGAAGACAGTCGAGGAGGTTTTGGGGTAGAGGTCTTTCATCGTTGAAGTGCCACCGTTGGAGACAGATGGAGGACAGACAAGGAAGAAGGATCATACTTGTGTTCCCCTTGTCCCCTTCTTCATTATTCAGGTTTCCATCCTCATCCGACGGATATGTAGTTTTGTGTTGAGAGGCAAAACGTGACGGCATAGCGATAATCTCGAGAATTTCGAAATAAGCTGCATGTCTGAGTACGAGGTTCTCCAGGCGGCGCATCCTCTCGAATATAGTAGACCAAAGGCCGAAGTCATGCATACGCATATACGGTGTATAATCGATGATGAGATCCTTGAGCTCGTCCAAGCATAGACGCTCACACGTAGGTTTGACCATCTCGAAGTTAATGTCTTCATCTCCAAGTGTATCGTCTTCGAACCGGAAATCTAGCCTGTTGCCGACTTGTTTCGGCGGTACATCCTCTTCCTCAACGCCTGCGAACAACAGATTTGGCGAAAAGACGACATCCCAACACATAAAGTGATAACATAGATTATATGTCTCGATACGCATCCAAAGGGTCTGTATAGGTAAAGACATGAGCCGAGGAGCTGCGCCGAAAAGATAGGGCACAGTGTCTTGCGGTGAACATCCGTCGTCTTCGTTCCGGTAGGTCAGACGATATCTGATACGACAATCGGGCGGAAGCCGTATGTGTTGCGTGAAATTGGCGCACGAAGAAGAATATCCAGCGAGAGTAAGACATGACATGGAAGGGAGTTGTACAATGTCAGAGGACGACAAGGATGCAGAGGGAAGAAGCCTCAAAGGTTTGGTGGGAAGGACATTATCGAGAGCCAGATTATTAAGGCGTGGCATCCGTTTGAGCGCATCCAGCAACGCGGGAATCGAGGGAATGGGCGATAGCGGTTCTTCGGAGAACAGTTCGAGGGAGGTTAAATTGTGTAAAACAGGGGAGAGAAGTAGCTCGCGGTAGCCATGGTTCCCTGCGATGCGGAGGTGGCGTAGGCGAGGGGACTCCTGAGAGAAAAATTGAGATGAGACATTGATATTCGGTCGCTGGTAGTTATATATGCCTTCCAGCTCGATGTGCAGGATTTCCAGCCACGGCGCAGGTCGCGCAAGTATGTCTGCCACGCTGCGACTGGTAGGAATAAATATACAAAGTCGTCGGCATCGCATAGAAGCCAGGCAGGCGGATATGAAATCCAATCTATTGAGTTCGTCAGAACCGTAGAGCTCCAGGGCCATGTCTTGCGCGCGAGTCAGCATCTGCTGAGACCACGCGATATTCTCGGTCCATATATTGACCCACAGGCTCGGGTAATGCAGAGCCACGTCTCTCCAACGGCGGCAGACTTGCGAGATGGAAATGATGGATAAAATGTCCTCGATATCCTGCTCACGATCTTCAACCTCGTGGCTTTCGCTGGAGTTTTCAATATCTTGGTACATAGTGACAGCTCCGTCGTTATCACGGGAGCTCACGACTGGTGCAATGTGGGAGAAGATAGTCATGAGTATTTCAGGAGGGAGACGTGCGGCAGGGGCGAGAAGATTCTTCTGAGCGAGGATTTGTTGCCTGTACTCGTCTATGTGTCGAAGTTCAGCATCGATGTCCCGTTCGACGAGCAACGGATCCATAGCCTTGGAAAGACTTGTATGAATACGCTCTGTAATGGCATCCAGTCTATATCGTGGCGCCGTGGTCCAGAAATCATCGCTATACCATCAGTTAATACAACGACGATAACGTGGTCGTCAAAACGGAGTGAATCGTTGAAGAGAAGATACAGAAAACATACTTTGTCGTCATCTGTGAGGTTGCTTGGTAGGCGCTTGGGTTCTGAGGTTGATCCTCTAAGACATGTGGGAACAAATAGAGTTTCATTGAGTAGCTTGAAGTTGGGGATATTGATCTGATCACCGATGAACGACTTGTAAATCGCTCACCTCTTCCGGGCCTACTTCTACTATGTCAAAGGGTCTGCGACTGAGTGGATTTCAGGTGCAGTGGCGCGAGATAGAGGGTCGATGAAAGCTGAGGCCTGAAGACTTGGTGAGGAGTCGACAAGTTCGCGAGGAGGAACTGATCAGCGTGTCATGGACTCGCGGTCGGTGGTCCGGTGAACCGAAGCGGAGCTCGAAAATACCGGCGCTCGGTGTGGCGTACAGGTGCCACACATAGAACAATTCATTTTTACCTCTTTGCCGGACCCCGCTCGGAAAGATTCAGCTCCAGATGTACGCAAGAAAACCATCTACGTATGCATTCGTGCGCAAACGACGGTGGATGTACTGTAATCTACAAGTGACGTATAGCGTGAAAGGAGCGATACCGGACGATGTTGAAGTCCGTTTTGGTTCATCCATCCAACGACGTTGAATCTTCTGAGATAATACAGTGAAGCTGCCGCAAAATCATACACGCAACCCAGCCCAAACTCGACTCACCCTCCACGTCGAACTCCAACCTCAACGGACCAAAAACCAACTGAATCAATGAACGACGCCCGCGAACTGGATGAGCAGATCGCTACTGCCCCGCGACCATCCGGTCCCATCGTCACAAAACCACGAACTGGATGAACAGTCCGCCTTCCGCGACCGACTCTCTACCCGAGAGTCTAATCCTCTAATCCTCCTCCTCAATCCCCGCCGGCTTCTTAATCTCGCCCACAACACCCGGCAACGGCCACCTCCTCGCAAACTCCCTAACCTCCCTCGCCAACACCTTCACCTGCTTCGCGCCCTCGCCCTCACCCTCCGACGCGACCCTCACGAAATCCTTCAACAGCTTCGTCCCGGCCTCTTTCTGCAGTGCGAGCGAGAGCTGAACGGAGCGGTGCAGGAATTGGGCGACGGTGCGCACGTCGGATTCGAGCATGTTGCGGGAGGTGAGGGCGGAGGTGCCGAGGCGGATTCCACCAGGGACTTGGGCGGAGACGTCACCGGAGACGGCGTTCTCTATTCGACACAATTCATAGCACGGTCAGCACCAACCTATTCGAGAAGAAGAGAGAAAATGAAGAGGGTAGAGAGCGAGACGCACTGTTGATAGTAATGCCCAACATATCGCCGACCTTCTCCACCTTACTGCCCGTCAACCCAAGAGGCCTCAAATCCCAAAGCACCAAATGGTTGTCCGTCCCGCCAGTCTGCAGCTTATATCCCTCCTTGACGAGCTCGTCCGCCAGTGCCCTCGCGTTCGCCACGACCTGTTTCGCGTAGGCTTTCCAGGACGGGTCGGCGGCCTGCTTGAGAGCGGTGGCGATACCGGCGATGGTGTTGTTGTGAGGTCCGCCTTGGCAGGCAGGGAAGACGGCGTCGTTCACGCGTTTTTCGAGGTCGGCGCGCGTGGGGCCGTCTTTGCGGAAGAAGACGAGACCGGCACGGGGACCACGGAGGGTTTTATGCCTATACACAGTTTAACATTTAACAAGTCGACGAAGCGAGAGGAGATAAGGGAGGAGAGACTCACGTAGTAGTCGTAACGACATCACAGAACTCAAATGGATCCGCCAACTCCTGCGCCGCGACCAGACCGCTCGTGTGTGCGATATCGGCCATCAAGTACGCGCCGTGCTCGTCCGCCGTCTTCCTCAAACTGGCGTAGTCCCAGTCGCGGGGGTAAGCCGAGGCACCGCAGATGATGAGTTTGGGTTTGAAGATGCGGGCTTGGGAGGCGAGTTTGGGGTAGTCGATGAGCTGGGTGTCGGGGTCGAGGCCGTAGGGGAAGGATTGGAAGTAGATGGAGGAGGCGGTCATTTTCTTTTTGGCGGTCTGTATGGAAGGGTAGTGGTGGATTCAGTTGAGGCGAAGTGTGAGGGAATGGAGGATAGGGGACGTACGTAGTAACCGTGGGTGAGATGGCCACCGTCAGGGAGACCGAGACCCATGAGACGGTCCTGCGGTTGAAGGAGCGCAGTGAGGGCAGCGAAGCTACAATCGGCACACGCACGTCAGCGCAGAGTCCTTGCGGGGGAGTATAGGAAAAGACGCACTTAGCAGTCGAGCCGGAGTAGGGCTGGACGTTAACACCCCATATTTTTGGGTCGAGATGGAATGCCTCAAGAGCACGCTTCCTGCAGAGAATCTCAAGCTCGTCGATCCACTCGTTACCACCGTAGTAACGAGCGTTGGGGAGACCCTCGGAGTACTTGTTGGTAAGAATGGAGCCGTTGGCTTCCATGGTTGCCCGACTGGTCAAGTTCTAATTCCATGACGTGAATAAGTGAGGTCGAGTGGAGTGTGTACGAAAAGAGGAATTCCATACCTCAGAAGCGATGAGTTCGAGACCAGAGTACTGCCGCCATGTTTCCTTGTCGATGATGTTTTGGACTTCGGGATCGATTTCGGAGAGAGGGGCGTAGAGGCACTTGTTCTGTAGTTAAGGGTACATGTCAGTATCCTAGGTCAAAGCAATAGATTGCAGCCCTTAGGGAGGGCCACTTTGAGCATAAGAGACTCCTAAGTGGTGAACTCCAAAAAACATAGGAGCTATTCGGATCATACAGCGGGCGAGAGGTGTACGTAACGCATGCCGTCTGCCTTCTGCAATATGCTGTCACCACCCCAAAAGACCATTCGTGACCCCACCGAGTGCTGAGAGACTGGGGGGCAGTCGCCACAATTCGTGCCGGACAAAGTCTTGCTCGTCCTCGCAAGCTCAGCCAGTCCAAACAACAGGACAAAGACAGCGCCGCTTCTGTCCTACAAGACTTATGCCTTCAATAGCATTCAAGTCCGGAGCAAAAATCCCCAAAAATTGCTCAGAACCCCGCAAACCAGCTCGGTGAGTCATATCAAAGCATATGAACGCCAATGCGGGGAAAAGGAACGAACAACACAACAAAACAAATCGGAACACTCACAAAGTCGGGAGTGGAAGCCATGGTCCTACGGGCAGTGGAAAGAAGGGGAAGAGAGGAGCGAAGGGGAAGAGAACGAGAGAGTAGAGACGAAGAGAGACGCAACATCGCAAACGGATCGGCTGTCAGCAAATTTAAGGAGGGCGCCTGTACAATTGTCGGCGGAACAGTCCGAAGCCCCAATCGAGGGTTAGGTTTTGTTGATCTGGTCGCTGGATCGCACCACAGTCTCCTGTCGTCGGCGTCGTCGTCGCTGCAGTCGTCTGGCACGGATATTCTCGATATTTCTCTAGTTCGCGCAGGTAGGTATAAATGGCGTCGGGTGGCGGCGCCGTCGGTAACCGGAGCGGTCCACACAGAGATAAAGATGGAAGCCCTCGGACTTCCGTTTCCGGCTATCACGTCCTTTGTTCCCTTTGGCGCCGGCACGCTTCAGACTCGCGCATTGTCCACAGCCACAGTCCCCGGTTCTTGTCCCACGTCTGCTCATTGTTTCCAGCTAGGTCCTATTGTTGTATTCTCCAGTGTATATAATCCCTGCCATCGAGCAATATAGAATGGTTCAGGTTTCTTTCGTCCCACCACTCTCTTCACCTAGACCGCGAGACTCTTGAGCCCGGTGCTCTTTCTCCAGCTTGCACCTCTCTCATTTTTCTTGAAAATATTATCCTGCAACAGCATTCGTTTGAACGATTAGACATTATCGATACTCAAGATGCACTTCACGACTTCCCACTCGTTCCTCCTTGCCGTTCTTGCGTCTCAAGCCCTCGCTGCCCCTACACCGCGCGCCGAACCTGTTGTACGAGATACCGCTGATGGTGCGTTCAATACAATTTCCACATTATTCATACTCTAACATATGGGATATCTCAACTCAGTCGCATCAGACTCCATAATCAACCCCGGCGCTGCCGCGTTCAATGCTTCCCCAGACGACCCCACCACCATTCATCTCAACCGCCGTCAACTCACCTCTTCCTCCGCCGCGGAATCGTTCTCGTTCGGAGGTATAGTCAGCTCTACGGCTGCTGCTGCGTCTGCTATGGGTACAGTGCTGGGATCGTCGTCAGTTGTTGGTTCTGCGGCTGTTACTGCCAGTGGTAGTGCGATTGGGGCAGCGAGTGCGACTGTCGCTGCAGCCTCTGGTTCCATCACTGCCGTTCCCTCCGCTTCTTCATCCGCCGTCGCAGCAGCTTCTACCACCACATCCACAGGGACAGACGGTATACCCACAGTCTACATCTTCTCCACCGTCACCGTCAGCGCCGGTGCCACAAACGCCACCGCTACAGGAAGTGCTGTCGTATCAGGAGCATCTGGAGCGAGCTCGTCAGTCATTGGGGCATCCGGCGTGAACTCTGTGCTCAGCGCATCTGGAGCGAGCTCTGCGAGTGCCGTTGTGGCTACGGGTGCTAGCGCCAGCTCCGCCATCGCACTCTCCACCGGCCTCTCCTCCATCCCTCTCTCCGCCGTCTCCACATCCTCAGCCCAAGCTGCCGCCAGCTCCGCATTCGGTGTCGCAGCCGCAGCGCCTACATCCTCCGCATCTTCGAATTCATCGTTCGCCACCGTCATCAACCTCAATTCGGGCGCTGCCTCTGCTACTGCGAGCTCGAGCGCGTCGTTCGATTTCGAGAGTGTGTTTGGGGGTGCTGTGAGTTCTGGTGTCGCGGCTGCGCGTGCGAGTGCTGCTGCTGCTTCGGGCGCTGCGAGCGTTACTGGTGTTAGTGCGACGGCGGCCCCCTCGTCAGCCGCTTTCAGTTCAGTCGCTCCGTCTGCCAGTGCCAGTGCCAGTGCATCTGCGTCTGTTCTCGCTTCCTCCGCCGCCGCCTTCCCAACCGTATCTGCGTCATCAAGCATCGCATTCGATTCCGGCATTCCCACCACCTCATCCGCTGTCGCCGCCTCGGCCTCCGCCGTTGCAAGCTCAAGTTCAAGCTCGGTCGACAGATTCTCCCTCTCCACCGCCGCAGCTGCGAGCGCTAGCGCTACGATCACTTCTGCGCCTTCCTCTGCCACTGCGAGTAGTTTGGATTTGTCCTCTTTGTTGACGCAGACTTTGTGAGCGAGCCATATAGATGGATAGGGAGTGGTTCGGCGTCGTTCATAGAGGCAAGAATGGACGGGAAGAAGGTGGAGGGCAGGAGGAACTGTATTAACATGGACTATCTTTCTTCTTATGACTTTAGATATTCGGACTTTGACTGCTGAGCAGTTCTGAGTCGAGACGAACTTTGTAGCGTTAGCTTTGCTTGTGACTTACTTACTACTGGACGTTATAATGGACTGATGTTGCTTCTACTATTGTGTGTGCACAGTAATTAGAGTGCTGCCGGTATTTTTGAGTGAGGAACGTGAACGGTAGGTGGCTTCCCGAAGTGCAATGGCCCACGAAACATACATACGCAGCAAATGTGTGATACTGTGGCGCACTAGGAGTCTGGATAGATGAGGTTTCTTGCTCATTTTATCCAGCTTCTCTCTATCTCGCAACTTAAATTTCACGAATGAGTACTTAGTCAGTCATGAGCGATTCCAGCCACTCATGAGTGCACGTAACTCTCTTCACAGCGCCAGATCCTGTTTTCTGTACGGGTAGAAACGAGAACAATCTTGTTCTGCACGCTCAGAACTCGTCCGGACAAAGGGTGTATGTGTTCTGTGACAGCAGAATTTAATCGAGATTCATTTCTGCGTTGGCAGAAAAGAGGCTCCTTCGCTGTGCTTGCAGTTTCGCTGATGGCCAGCAGCTGGGCCACAATGCCACACAAGATTTAATTTGAGCTCAGCTTTGAGCTCCGCTTTGGGAGACAAAGCAATGCCCCATTCTTCCCTTCATCTTCTTTTGAACCAGACGTGCTGACAACACATCCAGGACACTTGTTCCCCCGTCTACTGTCACCTTCAGTATCAGAGTGAGTATCGAGATTTTTGAGTCGCGAAATACTCATAGTCCACTGACCCTGCAGCGTTAGATCATCGCCGACGCCACTTGACTTTTGTTCACGATCAAGCACTCGAGGATTTACTAGTCATGTCGATGAAGTACGCGTTCTCATATTATTGAGATTCAATTAAACATAAGTATATGTGGCTGATAGTATTTGCTTTGAATTGTTACTTTTTGCGCAGTGATGATCTCTGGTCCGTAGCAAGGCAAAGACTAGCCTTCATCAGCGAGGGCCTACAAAACGGCCCGGCTTTGGATAACTCACAAGTTATGCTGGCCCGACAATTCCTCGCCAGGGAGGCCTTGAATATAAAGAGCTATGCTCTATCACTAGCGTCTCTGAAGAATCGACTTACCCCCATCTCCCGCCTTCCGCCCGAAATCATCACTGCCATCTTCGCTCACGTCGCGCCACTCATGGATTCACGCACCAGCGACGAAGCCGCAGCGTGGATTGGGCTGTCCAAAGAGTCTTGCGAGAGCCATTTTGACGAGTGGAGAGAGCAAGAGATCCGGGATATCGAATCTCTCATCTCTGCGTCGCAGGTCTGTCGCCGCTGGAGAATTATCGCCCTACATAGCGGGGGTTTGTGGGCTAATCTATGGACCGAGAACCCTCGATGGAGAACGGAGATGCAGGCGCGGGCATCCACACGACAAGCTCCTCTGGAGATATATCACCCTCGTGGCGATGAATACACTGCGTGGCTGCGTGGTGTGCTCGCTAGTGGCTTGCCCTACAGACGGTTATGCATCAACATGTCCAGCGTCGACACTCTAGCAGAGGTACTGTCGCAGCCTGCACCCTGGCTGGAAGTCGCACACATAGAATGCGACTCCCGAGACGATAAATATGACTATCAAGATGATCCTGAAGAAACCCCCATTCCTTCTGACCTGTTTGCCGGGATTGCCCCGCGATTACGACATCTGCGTATCGAAGGAAATTATTACCTCGGCGACATACTTCGATCTCCCATTGTGCACAACCTGAAGTATCTCGAGCTGGTAACCGATGATGCAAGGCCATGGTCCCTCCTTCCATCTACCCTTGATCTCCTCCATGCGCTCAATCAGATGCCCCGCCTGCAAATATTGAACATCGAGTGTTGTCACCCTATAGAGCCTCTTCAGCTGCGTACTTCTACCACGTCTCACCATCGTTCCACCGATCTCTTTCTATTTCCCAACATCTCCCGTTTCAGCCTGCGTGGTGACGCGGCAGGATGCGCCAATTTCGCCCAATATATACGTCTTCACCCCGAATGCCGTCTGGAGTACTGGATGGTCTATGACCACTACGAGGACGAGTACGCAGCTTCCGATACCGTATCCCCTCTCTTCAGCGTCATTCCGGACTCTCCAGAAATCCCCATCCGCACATTCTACATGAGTGTCAGCTCTGGCGACCTGGAGCACGTAACGGCTTGTTGGGACACCCGTCTACCAGCCGATGCCTTTCTTTCCGCTGGCAGCAGTCATGCTGATACAGTCAACATGAAAACCGGCAAACGGATTGACCTTGGTTATCAGAGTGCGCACGAAATACAGCCACAGGACTCTGTGGACTTGGCTTATGAAGTGGTGACCAAGGTCTTGCAGCATTTGCGCTTGGAGACGCTACAGGACCTCGTCATCGATCAGAAGGGGACTATAGAAATGGAACGGTTCGGTTTTTGGCCTGCTGTGCTACGTCTTCTGTCATCAGTGGAGAAGTTGGTTCTCTGTCGATCCGCTTCGTATTGTTTGCCCATCCTCCACTTGATTGCCTCGCCGGTGCATTTCGCATCGTACTTCGAGCCCGCCAACAGTCCTATCCTGACATGGTCGACAAAGAGCAGTCCTCCTGTTCCGGACGATAATCCAAAGGCAACAACTGACATTCCAATTCTTCTTCCGCTCTTGTCCTCTCTCTATCTCAGAGAATGGAAATTCGATCCCACCGCTCCCCTTCCCCAAGAATTCCTCGAGTGCCTGCGAGCCATCGCTGCTCGACCAAGACGTGAAGACAATGGTCTCGCGCTCCGCGAACTCCACCTCATCGATTGCGAGATTACGGTAGAGCAGGTGCAGTCATTGTGGGGTATGGGGATCGCGGACTCGGTTGAGTGGGACGGGAAGACGGAAGGGACGGATGTCCTATCAACGAACACCGATGGCGAGTCGGACGATGACGAGGCGGACGATGACGAGTCGGACGAGGTATGTCTCGTGTTTTTGTTTGTGGCTGGCCGAGTCTGACTCTGTCCACAAGTCAGTTCAAATGTAGCGATCCGAAGGCCTTGCTGTATGTTACGAGTACTGGAACTGGAGAACATATGGAGGAGTCATTGAGCTGGAGCATTGGCATTATAAAGTCAAAAGATACGGAGCGAGCGGAAACGCGACATCGTTTTCTGGCGTCGTCTACCTACGCTGTCCTTCTCATCACTCGTGGTTTTTCCTGTTATAACTACACAATCAGAGATCGGTATAAGTATATAATTCTAGCGTAGGATAGGCTGCCATAAGGTACTCCGGGATATATAGCTACCCGTTGCGTGTACATCTAGCTGTGGATCAACTTCATAAGTTATGAACAATTATGGCCTCTTGCTGATTCGGATATTTCCCTGCGTCTGATGATACCCCTGTTCAGTTTTCTAGAGTGACGGATAACCTCATCCTTTCTACGACCAACAAGCTGAACACGATCAGATCTAACAGATCCCTGTCTGACCGTTCTCCAACCTTCTCTCTGGCTTCTGGGAAAACGACCAGCTCTTGCGCCCCGCTTGCTCCACTCGCACTACGTTTGAATGAAGAAGGTAACAGATCGGATGGAGTGAAAGTCGCAAGGAGCTGCCATTTAAGCGGTGAGCCTGAGTCTGTGAGTCTGATCTTGTAACAGCTCATAATCTGGGAGAGGTAACACCAATATGAGCAAGTTTTATGTCTTCTGCATGACGGGACTAAAAAAAGTAATACGTACTTGAGCATTTGGAGCCCTGGTTGATCTTACCCAACGGAAGCGGGAGTCGGGGAAGTTGCATACCCAAGTCTGATTTATAAGAGAAGCGAGATAGCGCACCGTGACAATTTATAAGGGAATAAAGATGGTGGGATGAGCGAACGGATGACTGCGGTGTCCCACTAACGAAAACGTTCAAAAATGTCTGATGGTCGCCAATGCAGATTCGAGATTTAGCTTGCGACAACCCCATTCTGTCAAATGTGCCTTTAGTGAGTGTCACGAGGGGACCACCTATGTTGCTTGAGTGCTCAACAAATGTAAAACCTACTCGAAATCACCCACAAACTCTCCGTTTTCGGTCCCCCCTTTCCTAACGGTTGTGATGTAAGACAAAGGCATGAAACAATTGTGGGCCACAGAAACATGGTACAGCGGTCGAGTGTCTGTCGCATCCGATGGCGGTAACAGAAGCATGGAGTTGAAGGAAAGTGTGGAAAACGTATACGTGGTTGGTCCAATAGTGTGGGATTGAGGTTCTTGCGATGGCGCAGGGGTTTGAGTACCGTCCCATGATAGCACTACTTCTGAGGGAGGGGGAAGATGCCCGGTGCGTTGATCTAGACCAGTGCTCACATCCCGAGGACGATCAAATCCGGAAAACGGTGTTTCAGGATGTTCTGAAGGAGGTTCGAGAGAAGCAGGCGTTGTTCTCGGCGTCCTCTCTCTACCGAGGACCAGGCCGTCATCAGCGGCAGCGACAATTTCGGAGGCGTCTTCAACAGTGGCGTAACTAGATGAATGAGCGTGAGCGGTGGTAAGTGTTTATGTTATGATCACGAGAGTTAGGCTGGCCTATGAGCAAAACTGGCATTCAAACCTCGGAGGATAGGTCGCATGCGACGCAATTGACACCTCGTCACCGCCACCAGGCACCTGAGAGTCGTTAGCAGACAGATCAAAGGCTGCACCCGTGTCGTCTGAATGGTTTTGAAAAGAGGTATAACTAGGTGTGCGGCCAAGAACGTGAGTCAGCTTTCCGTGATAATACTGGCCTCCAATCCGCATAGTTTACATAGAGGAATCAGAGACCTTGGAAGAACAGTCGAGTTTGAAGCTATCGATGCTCCGTCATCGTTACTAGATGTTTGACGAACTGTTCTGCGACGCTGAGAGTTCTCAGCCAGAAGACGTCTCATAGCGGCTTCTGTGACAGAGATAGATGTACGAAGACAAGGACGGTGGTACACAAATGAGGTAGTCCACGCTTTATAACGTCTCCCCAGTCGACAGCTTGATCAGAATAGCTGTGCATATACTAGATAGAGCGAAACAAAATCAGGCAAGGACCAGATATTAGGCGATGCAATCATTTCCTCCACGATGGTGATGGAAGAGGGGAGAGACTCGTACTGTGTGGCGACGCATCCGGGTGCCACAGCAGCCGCTTCACTCTAAGCCCTAACCAGAAACCGTGGTTGGCCAAGACTGTCGAATTTTGTTTGGCGTTTGAATTTTTGCCGGTGTACGTTGGACTGCGACGTCAGTGTCAACTTCGTGTACCTTTCCCTTGGGTCTATGAACCTCAGTAGGTACGTGCGCTCTCTATCGTATATCAACATATCTACTCTCGATGGGGATCAATGAATCACAGGACTCTCTTGCTGATTCTTGGCGTTAATGATATCAGAGCCTAAGGTGCCTCCACAGGTTTATTGAGATCAGGAATACGAAACTGATTCTGAAACATATATATCTGCGCAGAACAACGCTCGAGGTAAGGAAGGCATATTTCGAATGTACGTTCGAAATATAACCGATTTTCTCCAGGTAGACAAAATGCTACTCGACCTCCCACTCGAGCTCCAGATGCTCGTTTACAAGCATGCTCCGAAAACCACCCTTGTCTCATTGATGTGTACATCCTCGCATATTCACCGCATCGTCGAGCCCATCCTCTACCGCGAAGTAATCATAGATGACCAGGCCTCCGAGGATCGAATGATGGCGCTTATAGATTCTCGACGTGCTCGAGGTTTCATCAATACAACGGAAAACATATCGGAAAGCGACTTGGAGACCCTGGACGGCCCCACTTCGTTTTCGCTATTTCGCAAAACGCTCATGCGCAAACCATTCCACTTTGGCCCTCTTCTCAAGTCTTTGGAGATCAACGAAGTGTCTATGGAGCTCGAATGGGACGAGTTGAAGGAGATGTTCCTCACCATGCCGAACCTCCTCACTCTGTCGATCACATCAGCAATGGGGGGATGGGACGACGATGATGTGTCCGTGCTTTCTCGCGTTACCCCATCTATTCGTTCCTTCTCTTCAAAATCTCTCGGACTTTCCCCAAAATTCATCTCGTTCCTCGAAACCCACCCCAACCTCAAAGTCTGGCATCACGGAACAGGCAACGGCTTTCTAATGGAACCCGAAGTTCCTGTCCCCGCTCATGTCCTGTCTCGAATTACCCACTACGATGCTGCCATAACGGATGCCGAAAAGACAGCCACTCTCCTTCGCGGGATGACCAACCTTGCTCACCTCTCCCTCTCCCATTCGGCTTCTTTCAAGGAGACCTTGGACGAAGCAGCTTACGGCGCCGCACTTCGAACCGAACTAGGCGCTCTCTCTGTTTGTGGAAAAGGCCTAGTCAGCCTCTTCTATAGTCGCCACTTCCCCACTACATGGCGCATGAGCACCCCAGGACCGGGCCGCTGGGACTCGTTCCTCTGGATCGTGAGGAACATCTTACCGAGGACGCCCTCCCTTCAGCACTTGCGCGTCGACTGCTGGTTCCTCGATACTTCCACCCTGATAGAGCCACCCTCGGATATTCGACCTTTTATTCCGAAGACGCTGCGCACGTTTCAAGTTGTTCGCCCCGGGCTCATTCCTTGCGATGATGACTCTGGTGAGGATGAGGTGGAGAGATGGCCACCTACGACGGAAGTCGCCCTCCGCGTGGCGCGTGTTGTCTCTGCGGTTATGCCATCCGTAGAGAGGTTTGATTTTCTAGGTTGTGATATGTTCAAGGGGAACGATGGAATTTGGAGACGGAATACTTCGTCAGACGGAGTATGGCCTCTAAACTGGGCAATCATGGACCTCCAGTATAGGTCGTAGCACTCACACTTGTGTTCTTCATGTCTCCCGACCCTTAACTACTTTGTTTTGCTCGCGTTCTGTCTTCTGGTATCTATGACCCTAACGCGGCCAAGACTCTGACTCCGGGTCCTGACCATCATCCTTCCCAAATCCTTCCGCACACAGGCTCGGGCTCTCTCTTGCGTAATTACACTGAAGAATGCTTCTCCGTATTTGAGGCGTGCGTTCTCTCGTGGTGGCCACAGTAAATGATTCAAAAAAAAAATAGAAACGTCACGAATTGTTCTCAACACCACCCCACGACCGTCGGCGCACCGTCGGGTTTCCTACCGCCGGCGCCATCGGTACCACATTTTCCAGACCAGACTGCTTTACGAATCATTACGATGACGACGATTGGTCGACTCTGAGCGACGCAAGAATAATTGTCCGAATTCGGGCTCAACATGGGACAGATTCACCCGGATCGGAGATCCGATAGCATTATGGATCCCGGCCGAAGTGTTCATGGAGCTGCTATAAAGCATACTCGGCTTTCTCATCCACCCCATCGACGCTTCCCACCAGACGACGCTGTAAATCACCACTAACACCAGCACAAAGGACGTATCGAGATGAGCTTCTGCAAGCACTGCATCGAGGGTGAGTCTCGACGCTTTGAAGCTTCTTAGTTCGTTTCATTTCGTGGAGAAGCGAAGCCAGCATTCCATCATCTCAGGAAATGCACGGGGCCGACACCGCATTGTTTTGAGAGTCTAGAGGCCTCGATGACGCCTAGAACTTTGACTTTTTGACTTTGTTCTCAATGTCGAAGGAGTTCGAAACTGATTAGGAGTTCAACTTGAATGACTATGCTGTATAGGTGTTGTTCATGAGGGCGAGACCACTGGTGCGTTCCTCTCCTACTTCGCATGTGAGGCATACGGTACTTAATTATTGGCTCGTTGCCTGCAGGTACTATCGAGACCATTGGAGGGGTCAGGACATATATCGCCACCCCATCGCAAGACTTCCCTAAGGACAAAGCCGTGCTCATCCTCACTGATGTATTTGGCCTTGAGCTGAACAACAACCGTGTGCGTATTATTCGCATCTCTCAGTTATTGTCGAGTACTGATAGACTGCAACTCGCTCGGAACAGTTGCTCGCCGATGCGTACGCGAAGAATGGCTTCAAGGTCTTCATGCCTGACTTGTTCGATGGTGACTCCGTCGCAGCCGATGCTCTCAATCCAGGGGTACATATCGCTATTTATTTCCGCATAGTCCTCTCAGATATTAATATTAAGCCTCTCACAGTCAAACTTCGACCTTATGGAGTGGTTTGGACGCCACGGACCCCAGATCATCACACCTATAATCGACAACGTCATTGCTGCCGCTAATGAGCAAGGTTTCAAGATCTTCGCAGGTGTTGGTTATTGCTTTGGAGGTATGTGTTCATCTTGCTTTTTCGGCCACCTTCCTCCTCAGCACTTCGTACATACATGTTGACACATTTCATACTGATTTTCGATACATCTATAGCTCGCTACGTCTTCAACCTCGCGTTCGAAAACAAGATCTCTGTCTCCGTGACCGCCCACCCAACAATGATTCAGGTCGAAGATCTCCAGAAATACTTGGAAGTCTCGAAAGCTCCTCTCCTCATCAACTCTTGCACGACGGACCCTCAATTCCCTCCGGAGAAGATCGAGGCGGCGGATAGGATTTTGGGCGGTGGGAAGTTCGCACCTGGGTATGAGAGGGTGCACTGGGAAGGATGTACGCACGGGTTTGCGGTCAGGGGCGATATCGTACGTCTTTCTCCCTTGTTTGGCCTTTCCTCTTGTTTTTCTCCTCCCGTATCGAGTTGACGCCCCTGCAACATTTACTCGCCTTCTCCGTTCATGATTTCTGGATCCAATGTGGACCGACGACTGACTGCTGTGCTTCATGTTCCAGTCCGACCCTAAGATCAAGGCGTCAAAGGAGGGATGCTTCAAGAAATGTGTTGAGTTCTTGATCGCCAAGCTCTAACTAGGAGCTCGCAGCCGTTGGTAAAAGGAGAGAGGCAGATATCCGGGAAGGCTAACGCGTGACCACTATTAGTCCATACGATTAAGAGAAGTATTTGTTCCGTATGTAAGAGGGTAGATATATGCATTGCATCATCCAGATGTTCACGGGCGAGAAAGTGGTGCGACGTCTTGCAAGTGATGACTGTGTGAGGAGGTTCCAGGATGTTTGCCGCATCGCAGAAAGCCAGATTTCGCAGAGGGACCACACGCCATTAAGCCCCTGGGAGCCTGTGTGGCCCCATCTTCACCTTCGATGTTGTTCTCGTCTCCTTGCCTCAGGACGTTATTAAGACGAACGATGCGAGTATATAAATCCGAATATTTAATGCCACGTCAATGAGACAAGAAGTACGGGGGAGAAGTAGAGTTTGTACTCTGAGCCGACAGAGCGGAGAGGGACAGAATACTTATAATTATGGACAGCTTGAACACAGCTTACCGTGAGGCTCTTGGTCCGATTTCAATGTTGCATGGCGGGTTATGCAGAACATCTGATAATATAGTCCTTGAAGAAGAGGAAAGTTGACAACTCGGGACGCCGGACGAGGTATATTTGGCATGGACAGGCAGTCGCTTGCGTCAGGAACTTGGACGAGTCTTTCGGATAGCGTTTCTGGGTAAAATAATCGACAGAAGTCATCCAACCAGAGTGAAGACATGCTTAGAGTCTTTGGCAGAAAAGCACACACGATGAGCTTAGGCCGTGGAAATAGAAAACCCAGTGCTTGGGTGCAAGTCAAGTGCAAGTCGACGTCAGGACACGGTCCAAATCAGAGAACACAATACCGGAATATGCCGGGTCATCCACGTGGCCGCATCTTCAGGCCCAGATCTATCCCAATCGGGTCTTTCCTTTCTCACTCTCCCATAACTTACCATCCCAACGAAGTTCAATCCGAGGCGGGTGGAGGGTGCGCGACAACCTACCGAAAGACACCTTGACTTCAGGACTAATGCAAGTGAAGATCGGCCGCGGCCAGGTGCCATCTTGGCCTGTTCTTACTGTGGTTTTTCGACCATAAGTTCGTGGGAAGATTATGTCAGACGTGACACTCGCCAGGCCACGGTTCGTTTGGCTGGGCCACGCGTGACGAACCAATGAAATTGTTCGCAGTACGACCCAAAAATTGATTTTCGGACAATTTCGGTGCAAATTGGTCACGATTTACTGTTCGTGGGCCCGCGTATCTGCGTGACCATTGGGTCAAATATGTTCGCCGGCGCACCCTGCGTGATGCGTGACGAACATATGGTCGAAAAACTACAGTACTGTACTTTTTCGACCAAGTGTTCGTCACACATCACGCAGAGGGCGTCGGCGAACAGTTTTGGTCCCGGGGTCACGCATACACACGGGTTCACGAACAGAAAATCGTGACGAATCTGCGCTGAAAATCACCCAAAATTCAATTTTTGGGAACTAATGCGAACAATTCCGCTTGTTCGTCACGCGTGGCCCGCCCGAACGAACCGTGGCCCAGCGGTGGTCACGGCTGACATAATTCTCCCACGAACACTTGGTCGAAAAAGTACAGTAACTTGTCTCCCAAAAAGTACACAAAGGACGAGCGAGGCAGTGCTATTGACAACATGACCTTTGTTCGGCTAAAAGCAGACATTCTCTTGAAAGTGGCGACCTTCTGGGCTGTTCCATGCGCTTCCCTCGTATCTGCTTCGATCAGTGTTTCCATCAGATTATGGCACGCTACGTACCCTTTTGTGCGATATCGATGCTGCCGAACAATGCAGCGGAGTTTGAACATGCATGTGTCCAAGAGTATATAAGAAGTGTCGCATTCATCCTCCTGTTTTTCCCATCTCTTGCGCTGACGTCCATCTGAAGTAGCACTTCTCTCCTCTGCCCACCGGCCGCTTATAGATTGACAGGTGCGTAGCTCCCTTCTCATACTTCTTCTATTGTTTCTTTTCGCTGCTGTTGTTTGCGCCACTCGTTAAACTTGTCGATCCTTTCTTTTCCAACGTCTGATAACTCCTCCCCTTCCCTCCTTTCCATCTTCTCTCTCATGTCGAGTCTGCTCTTATGCTAACATATCGCGATTTCGCTTGATAGACCTCAAGCCTAAGCAACACCAAGACACAGCAACATTAAAGCACACCAACATCAAGGCACCTCAAGTTTAGGCTGGTAGTCCTTGGGTAGCCTCATTAGCGCTGGTCGTCGTACGTCTCTCCACCCTTGTGCTTATGATCGGCAGGCACTCATCTAGCTTCTTCACAGGGCATCCTCTTGCTCTGGTCATGGTCTTCGTACCGCGTGTTCAACACCGTCAGCCCTCCTCGTTAATGGTTCCCTCGTGGGCCATTGCTGTCTTAGTGCAGTCATGGCGAGGTTGTCTCTGGCGTAGTCGTTCCACGAAAAACTTGGCTATCCTGAGGATCGTCGGCGGCCACGATGGTGGTCGTGGTGCGTTCCCGTCAACCATCTCATATCCTTCCTTCTACTGACGAACTCCCTCTCTCTCCCTCTTGTTCATTAGCTGCTCTGTCTAGCCATGGTCCTCAGAGGCCACATGTCTAGCACCCACGGGTTAACTTAGGCAAGGTTGTATCGCTTTGCGACCCCGGCGACTAAGCTCTTACCCCCGAGTCAACTGCATGAAACCTGGCAGACTTTGTTGTTTTAACCTCCACCGCGGGAGGCTTCCGGTTCAACGACCACTTTCGGCCTAGTCACCCGAGGTCTGCGAACCGGTCGTCGTACACCAACAACAGACGTTTGTCTAGATTGTGTCCGTTCCGGCTCCGGCTGGCTCGACGCGTCGATGACACGAAGGCGTATATCAAGCTAGGGCTCATCTCACGTCGGTACGAGGGTGGCTTTGTCCTCGGACAGGTTCTGGCTGGGCCGTGACAGCCCAGTCGGGGCTATAAGTGCCTATCGCCGACAGGCAATGCTCGACTTCGGTCAGGCGCGCCGGGAGTCAGGAGTTACGCGACGGCTGTTGGTCCGCTTTCCCACAGGATCTGCTGGATTGAGAGTGTGACACAGCGGATACGGTACTTAGGGTGGTCCCTGCGACCAACCGACGTCCGTCATGCTCGACTGGTCCACTTCTCTCCAGTGCAAGTGTGGTCTAGATACATGGGTGCGCCGGGAGATAGCACCGGAGGGCTGGCTTTGCCTCTGCCCAAGGTGTGTCATATTTTTCTTTTTCTCTGTGTTCGCGAGTAAGTGGCTGACTTCATCTTGATGACGATTGGGTTCGCCCCCTGTAGCGTCAAGACGCGAAGACACCGCCCGAAGAGCGCCATCAAAAGACGTGCCAACGGGACGAAGAGGACACCGAAGCCACCAACGAGGTCGAAGAGGACGCCGAGACCACCGACGAAGACAAACCCGAAACCAAAGCCAACAACAATACGGCCCAAGAGCGCTTAAGAGATGTGCCGCCGTCGAACACCAAGGCCAGACGTGCCGACAAGAACAAGCGAACACCGGAATCAACAGCCGTACGGCCCAAGGGCGCACAAGATGATGTGTAGCCGGCAAAACACCAAAGCCCCGAGCTCTTTGGACCCGAACCACCATCATCAGGTGTTTTCTCACGGTCCAAGGCGGCACCCTCTATGCGCAACAGACAGCGGACACTTAGGTGTCCCTAACTAAAGCCATAGAGGATGCTGGAGTTGACAAAACCGCTCCCACTGCTGCGTCTGACGCAGTGGTGAGCGTCCACCATAACGCAGCCAGCACTGGCAAGGGGAAACCCTCAACCGATAGCTTGCGTGAGCCTGTATACGCGCACTGTGTACTACCTGCAATACTACAGACCCCGCAACGAGTAAGGCCCACTGCAGACCTCTCACTGTAGCCAAGAGGCCGTACCAGCTTCAACCACCAAGGAGGCCCACAAATCGACTCAAACGATCGCCCGACACGATAGACTGAGCTCACCGTAAGATATAAAGTCGGAACAGATACCAAACCCACCTCACCAACAGCGTGGAGTCGACACCCACATGCGTGAAACAGAAGAAGGGAACACACAAATAGACGATAATAATGTACGACAACCATAGACGACGACGACGACGACCACAAGCAGACGTCCCAAACACAAAGTCGAACATGGTAGGGTTAACCTAACCCTAATCCAGGTCCTAAGGACGCCACACGCGTCCAAGATGGGTACCAGCAGCCATGAGCTCCTCCCAACAACCAACTCCCCCCGACAAACACACACCCACACACCTGCCACCTACCCTCAAACCTCCCTCTACCAACCTCGTGAACGACACTCAGGACACTATGAGCCCGCAAGACCCCACACCAGAATGCGAGGAGAACGCAGCCCGCAAGACCATACAATCCCCCACTACGAGGGAACTACAGCGACTATGCACGCACAACCAGAACTGACCCATTAACCCAACAACCAACGAACCTACAAGACCCGCAGACCAAGCTCTCTCTCCCCAAGTACGGGGTCGAGGACCGCAAATGGACCACCGTCCGTCAACGATGAGCTGGCAATCCCGCCGGTACGCAAAGCATAGGGAAGGACAAGCGCGGGCTACCTGGCTAATATTCCCCATAAAGCAAATGTCACCAACAGGTAGCAAGATGTTAACGTTAACGGGGAAGACCCGATCCCTACGGGATGCTCTAACCCGCAGCAGTACGCCCCTCCCCCCATCCAACCGAGACCTGAACGCGAATGACCCAATGGCCCAGCGCAGCAGCGGGGAACCCACAGGGAAAGACGAGAACAACAGCCTCACCAGACGAACCAAAGTGTCCCAAGGCAATGACGGAAGACTCAGGTGTAAACGATCTGGTACGAGAATATTTAGGCTGACCTTACAGACAAGGTATCCCAGTGCTGAGCCCTGCTAAACACTGCTCTTACTACCCGCACAGACCACTCCGTCCGTCCTCCTCCACTTCACTATGCCTTCTGACCAAGATCGTCCAGCAAAACAGTCTTACGCGCAAGCAGCAAGCCGGTCCCCCTCCCCGCCGACCCAAGCCAACGCACCTGTGAATACCACCTCTCGTACCCCGTCTAACCCAGCCAGCTCTAACCCCGCGCCACGTACCGTCGCGAGGAACGACACGTCCCAGACGACGAGCACCCAAAGAAGGAACTCGTCCCTCCAGACGAGCACGCCCGCACGCCCGGCCACCACTAAACCCAAGCCCAGACAGTCAACCGCTCAATCGGGAGGTAGACCATCGGCAAACGACGCGTCCACGCGACCTGCCACCCCCTACCCAAACACCAGAGCAGCCCGGTCGGCTACGACGGCACCGCGCCCCTCGCAACCCCAAGAGTCAGGTATCCCTCCCCAACCCCACGCCTCCAGTACCTCCCATCCCCCTCTCCCCACCAATACAAACACCGCCGTCACGAACTCCTCCGCAGAACAGTACGCAGCCAAGCACTCGCTCACCACCGGTGCGAAGAAGGCGCGGGAATTAGAAGCGAGGGCGGAGAGGGAGAAGGAGGCGAGGAAGAAGGAAGAGGCCCGCGCTGCGAAAGCAGAGAGAGAGGCGATTGAGAAAGCTGAGAAGGCGGCGGCGGCGAAGGAGAACACCAAAAGGGCGGCAGCCAACAAAGCAGCCAAGGACCAGAAGAGAGAGGAGGGGAGACTGATACGGCTCAAGATCATAGAGGAGACTAAAGAGCAGATGGCCGCTGAAGAAGCGGCGGCGGAGCGGGCTGCCGCTAATGCCACGAACGCTGAGGACGACGGTGCCTCCATCGACGCCCCTCCGTACCCCCAGTCGCCGCCAGCCCGGAGAGGAACACCCCAACCGCGAACCGAGGAACGCGACCCATCTCCCCAGAGCCCTCCAAACGGGGCTAAGTCGAAGGGGAAGCAGCGAGCAACCTCCCAGCCGGTGCAGGTTAGCCGCATTATCTCTTTGCCTCTATGTCTCCGCTACCCTGAGACGACCCTCAGCTAACCATGCCAACTAGGAACCGAAGAAACGCGGGAAGGGGAAGAGGCGCCAGCGCGACCCGTCGCCTCTGCTCGAACGTAGCCCGACCCCTCCTCCCTCGCACCATGATGCCGCAATCGAGGAGCAAGTGGAAGACAACAGCTCTGACCTCTTCGAACCCTATGACCCGGCCTTTTTCGAAGAGGCGGAAGAGGGCGTAGGCACGTCATCCGGACTACGACAAATCAACTATATACGGAGGCGTAGAAGCCCTTACGCCTTCGTCTACGACAACGATAACGAGGAATACCCCTTCCAGGACCCCGTCGAGCGAGGTCAGTAAATCTCCAAATGTCCCCATCTCCCGTGAATATTAAGCAGATAGTCTAATCACCCCTCATCACCCGCACCCCTCACCGTACCTAACCGGACACGCGCAGGTCCCTCCCATACCCCGCCCTCCCGGAAAAGGACACGGATCGATCAATCCCCAGACGAGGACAGACCAGTGACACGCCAGCGAACCCGCGCACCCAACCTCGATGACCCCGAGCCGGAAGCAGACGCCCCAGACCAGTCCAACGACAACGATGGTGAGCCCAACTAACGGGACCACACCCAGCTAATTACCGAGACTGACTCAGAGTCCGCAGCGCCCTCTTCCAAATCACGGGGAAGGAAACGGAATCGCAGCAAGAACCGTGATGCCTCCCTCCGACCGCGACACCGCCAACGCCGACACTCCCCCTCCCCAGAGCTCCCCAATCTCGACACCGACCGAGACAACTCACCCGCCCCCTCTCCGGGAACGAGTATCACGCCAAACGTTCCCATAGTCCAGGGCAGACGGTACTACCCCCAGGGCCTTACTGACTGGCACAACGTCAGCAACCTCGATCGGGCCTACATGCAATCCTTCGCCAAGTTCTGCCTCACCAACCCAGGAATCTCAGCCGCAATCTTCGACGGTCGTGCCCCCACGCAGGCTACCGCCTCGGCCGACGCCGGTCGAATCCAGAGAGCGATTGAAAGCTTCCTCCAACGCAAGGACATCCGCGTCTCCCCTCCGAAACCACAGGATACCTCCGCCGAGGCCCTCAGCGACGGCCCATTCAATTTCCTCGTCTCGGGAATTACGCAAAGCGAGCGCGAACGACTACTGGCGACCGCAACCATCTACCATGACACAGACGCTATCCACACTTCGGCAGTCGGTCTCGCTGACCCTGAGATTCAGACATACCTCGTATCCTTCACAGGCTTCGCAACGGAGGACGTAGCAGAGGTCGAGAGGACGGTACGAGAGTTGTTCGTCGCTGACAATGAGCTCAAATCGATCTTCGATGACATGACCCCGGAGACCCATGACCCCCTGGAGACCTTCCGCTTCTTCCTGGACTCGATCTGGGGTGTTCGATGGGAGACGAGGAGCGGTGGGGGAGGGACACGTACCACCTTCAATATCCACGCCAGAATCCCGTCCAATAACCCGACACATCGACTAGCGGTCACCAGGCGCATTCGCCGTCTCACACCAACGAACCCTCTCCTTGGATGGGTAGAAGTACACCCCGGGTATAGATGCACGAGATGTCACGCACGCGACCACCCGAGCGGACTTTGCCCCTTCCCGCTCCAAGCCGGATGGAGGGGCCCGCCCCCGATCCCTTCGCAGCCACAAACGACGCAAACCCAACTCGCATTGCAAAGCCCCAGCGCCCAAATCATCCCCGATATGCCTCCGGACCTGGGACCAACCACGCAAGCACCGCCGCAACCGACCGTAACCAACCGGAACCGGAATCGAGGCCGAGGAGGCAGACCGGGTAGGAGAGGAGGGGCCGGTGGAGGCAGAGGAGGCGGCCCGACGAACGGGGACGCCTGAGGCCGCCCCGCTGAGGACTCCCATATACGACCGAGCTAAGGATACCTACGAGAATCACGCTTTGACTAAACCTTCTGTTCTCCCGCTTCCCCCTCATCTTTTTATGCCCAGTACCGCTACACCTCTTTCCCACTCCTTCGCCCTTGAAAACACGATCACCCGCGCCACGTCTAGGTCATACATGATGCACTGATGAGGTCGTGAGCAACCGCTACGACCACGCCTATTTACGTTCCTCTCCTTATGACATAGCATGTGTTTTGACGCCTTATACACTCGTAATGCCAGGATGATATTCCATACGGTATACGAGACCCCACGGAATGCAACGAGTGAACCAGTAGAGGCACACCCCAACGTGAAGACGAACAAAGGGGCCCTCCTTCGATATCGCACGCAATGCAGGGACCATAGCCTGTGGCCGGAACAAACGCATCAATTTGAACGGAGCCTAAATATGGAAGGAACCACAATCACGAACGGGTACGGCCGGAACAGGAACGAAACTATAGAAAGTCCTCAACGAAATTATTAACGAGTGACGCAGCAACAAAACTGAGTAAACGAAAGTACGGGTGAAACTGAAACAAAGAGCGACACTGGACAGAGATAAACTCCGAGTTATGGTTAACGGAAACGAGGTAGCACAAACAAAAGTAAGCAGACTACGAACTAAGTCCGAAGGGGTGCAAATAGACGGAGTGGCACCTCTGCATGGAAGAACAAAGGAACCGACCATACCCAAAACAACAGACAACCACCCCTAGGGGTAACTGTGAGTCCGCGTATGATTAACATCGCCAAACCCGGAAGAGACTTACCCTGAAAGCAGCCGGCCCTCGGGACAACGAGACAATCTCAGGAATTACTCCTCAACCCTGGGCCAAATCCGGAATCAGTAAGGCATTCGGAGCCCGGAATGTAAAGAAACACACCTTATGGGCGAACTGGAGACCTCACTACCCTCGTCATTGCCATCTTCCTCCGCCTCGGCTCCGTCCTCGTCGCTAACCGAACTACCCTCCGGGGGATCCCTCAAAAGCTCCTTCATCTCCTGATCGATCCGAGCCAACTCCTGCCGCTCCTTATCCGCCGCCGCCAACATACTCGCCCTCTCCTCCGGGGAATACAGGATTTCCCTCCTAGCCTTCTCAGCCTCCCACGTCCCAGCGAACTGATCCAAGCGGGCACCGGCTGGCTCGATATCCCATTGACCGGTAATCGCCGCGAGAGGGTAAGAAAGGGGAAATAAGAGGCCAACGAAGCGATGATCGTATGGGTCGATTCGACGCCAGAGGTCCACAAGGGCAGGGCTCTCGACGTCGGTGGGAGTCGGGACGGCCTGACCAAAGTAGGGAATGACAAGCTCTTTCGGAAGACGGAGGAGCCCCGCCTCGCCTTCGTTGTACACCCCGGAATTATAATTGGCAAAACAGCTGACGATGGCGGTGTCACGAACGGTATAAAGCCAAGACCCCATGGTGAAGTCGTACGCGGCAAGTGCCCATGGACTGACACAGAAAACCCGCCCAGTCGACACACCAGGAACCTCGACCTCGCCAGAGTTAGGTAACTCCACCACGGTCAGAGTGAAAGTATAGGGCTTGTCGGGGTCGAGCACACGTCGAGGATCAACCTCACCAGTGCGCGAGCTGATGGCGGATGCGACATGGTCATGCCTGATGGCAAACCGGCCGATGACAACCAGTAGGTCTCCGAAATCTGAACATACCGCAGCTCACAGTTTACCCTCACAGACTCGTAAATGGACAAAGATGAGACGCACCAGGGGTTTCCATAATAATGGGGCAGTATGTGAAAATCTTGGAACAACAGAATGGGAGAGAGAGCTGAGGTGAAAGAGGAGCAAAGTAGCGATACACCAACCCTTTAAATCCTGGTCCGCTTGGCAGAGCGCTTGACATGAATTCGAAGGAGCTGACGGTGACAACATGCCGTAGAGACTGCGCACCCCTGCGCCATAGGAACTCACCTGAACTGAGACTGCGCCGCTTATATGTGGATATAATACGTAAAAGATGCATTTATTCATGACCCACCGCATGAAGAAGTGAATTGAAGGCACACCACTGACTGTCACCAAACCCACCCCATGATCCACACCATGTCACTAAAAGACACGACTCAGGGATGGAAGGCCGACTATCGCGGCACAGAGCATGTGCACTGACAGCAGCCTGAACTGGTCTTCACCCCCGCCAAGATTGGAGGAACTCCAGGCCTTCCTGTTTGACAATGCGCAAACAGGAATGCCTGGAGCCCCATCAATCCTACGGGAGGCGAAGAGCAGCCGAGGCATAGGGGTAAAGGGAAGATGTTTTTCTTGAACCGCTCCCGCTGAGTGGTTGAAAGTGGGGGACCAGACGCGGGGTTGTCCGGCGGTTCGCTAGCCCGAACAACCCTAACGGTGCCCCACTCAGGCCGGGATTGAAACTCCCCAATAGCGAAAGCCTATTAAGGTTTGACTGGCGCTGGCCGAGAGGTCCCCGGGATGACAGTGCGACGGTTTCCAGCGGGAAGGGCCTGACCACTCTCATCTCCAGTCACCCGTGTTGGGTCAAGCACGCTCACCTCCTGAAACAAATATAAATGAACAACCTTCGGTGCTTGATAACGGTTCTGGTATTCGCCTCCCCGATTCCGGAGAGGGCAGAAACTCCACCGTCAATAATGCCCTCAGGGAAGGTCTCGGAGAGAATGGTGACGGGCTCAATGTAGATATAAGAGTACCGGGCCCTACAAGGCACGAAGACGCCGCTACCCGCGGCGTAGAGTCGGGCCACCGACCCACTCATCCTAGTGGTACAACTAGGAGTAGGCGACCAGACAATGGTGTCAGACGCGAGGCCCAAACAGGCACGCAACAATGGACAAACAACGATCCGGATCAGATCAACAGGAGACTACCACCCGGAGAGCGAGCACGACGGAAAAAACAACGCAGAACGAAGATAAAAAAGAAGACGAAAGCATGGCTGAGGATCTCAACACTCAACATGAACGGCGTCGGCTCAGAGCAACTCCACTCCGGGAAGTGGATGAACATCAACTCCATCATGAGGGACAGGAATATTGGTGTCCTTGCTGTCCAAGAAACTCATCTAACAGACGAAAACCTCGACAACCTAAACCAACTGTTCGGCAAAAGGCTAGTAATCTTCAACTCACCACTTCCCGACCGCGAGTCGTCGGCGGGGGGCGTGGCGTTTGTCCTAAACAAAGATAAAACAAACGTCCAAGACATAGTGACAAGGGAGGTAGTCCCTGGGCGGGCATTGCTCCTCACGTTAGCATGGCACGCAAACTTATCCATTACACTGTTAGCCGTATATGCCCCAAACGACTCAATGAGGAATAACGAGGAGTTTTGGAATGAGGTGACCCTCTGGTTCAGAGATCATAATGAGCCACTCCCGGACCTGGTACTCGGTGACTTCAATATTGTTGAACAGATGAAAGATCGCCTGCAATCGAGACCGAAACCCGATGATAAAAAGGCAACCGAAGCCCTCAGAGCAATGAAAGAGGAATTTGGGCTCATTGACGGCTGGCGCGATACCTTCCCCGACAGGAGAGACTTCTCCTTCCAATCAGGGCGACATGAGGGAAGCTTCTCGCGAATCGATCGGATCTATGCGACCCAAGAGGTATGTGATACGGCTCTGAACTGGTCAATTGATGAGACTGGGCTACTCACCGACCACAAACTAGTATCGGTTGACATCGTTAACCCAAAAGCCCCATTTGTCGGACAGGGCAGATGGAAGTTTCGCCTGGACTATCTAAACCACACAACGTTGATGAGAATGATAGAAGAAAGAGGACAGGAAACACTTACAAAAGTACAGAGCTTCGAGCCGGCCTCGCGAACCCAAAATAGGAACGCACAGGTGGAACTCCATGCTTTCAAACTGTGGATAAAGGAAACGGCCAAGGAATACGCACGCTCTGTCAAACCCAGGACCTTTGCAGGGCAGATCCAAAACCTCAAAAAGAAGAGGGATCACCTGCTGCGAGCAGAGACTAGAGGAGATTGGGCTCTTCAGCTCACTAATATTGATAAGCGGATCAAAGATCTAGAGCAGCGACGACACATGACAACGAAGACGACTGTAGCTGCCATGGACCGTGTATTAGGCGGCCAGGTTAACAAATATACCTCGAGAATCCATGAGACAAAAAAACCAAGAGACATCATGTTCACCATGAAGATCCCCGAGTCTGACCCACCAAAGTACATCGGAAAGACAAAGAAAATGACCGAGATGGCAAAAGAATACCATAAAAACCTACAACGCGACGACGAAATAGAGTGCGACCCAGTACAACATACCCGATATATTGACGATGTCCTTCGCGCTGTTGAGAAAACCCTGGACGAAGAAGACAGCGAGAGGCTATCTAGGCCCGTATCAATCGAGGAGCTCGAAAACGCCCTCAAGCTTTCTAAATGCGACTCGGCACCCGGAATCGATGGCATCCCGTATGAGCTATGGAAAAATCTCTGGGAGCGACATAAAGAAAGGAAACAACGCAACCTTCCGAGCTTCGATGTCCTCGCCCTCCTCCACCATGCATACCGAGACCTCGAAGTCCACGGCGCCAGTACCATCGCGCAATTTAGCGCGGGCTGGATGAACCCAATTCACAAGAAAAACGACCCTAGAAACATTGAGAACTACCGGCCGATTACGCTCCTCAACACCGACTACAAACTTTACACCAAGGCGCTAGCCCTACGCCTCGCACAAGTTGTCCCGAAAATCATCAACGAAAGTCAAGCCGGTTTCGTACCAGGGCGGGCAATATTTAACCAAACGGAATTGATACAGGCGTAGCTGTAGCCTGTTTATAAAGAGTCCCTATAGTAAGACTGGGACTCTATACAGAGAGCCCATCATCTTACTGGCCCATGCTAATAAGGGCTCTTTATTAAAGAGCAGTGGTGCTGGTGGGTATTCTGGCTGGAAAAATGGGCGAAAAAATAGGCAAAAAATGCGTGAAAAAATGGGTGGGTAGGTATGGGGTGTGGCCCCGGGGTAGGGGGTGGTTTGGGGATGGGTAGGGGATGGGGTAGGGGGTAGGATAGGGTAGGAAAATGGGGGGTAATTGTGCAGTAGGGCTAGGATAGCTGGATGCAGGGTATGGGGAGGATGTATGGGGCTAGGTATGGGCTCTGGAGCTAGGGTAGATACATAGAGGAATAGGGATAGAATGATGGGCGATAAAAATACGGAAAAATACGGAAATAATAGTAGGAATGCTAGGATTGGTATATCAGGTACTGTGGGGGTGGATTGGTAGGGGAAATGGGGTGATCTGGGGGTGTTTTGGTAACTTTGTGAGTTTTGTGATTCAGAGCGAATGGATTGCAGGGGTAGGTGTT